TGCCGGCACACGCTTTTACATCCAAGACAAACAAGGACAAGCGATTCGATCCACAGCCACTGCAGACCTAATTGATGAGGATGATAAGCATGCCATCTGTCCTAACATCTTTTCATGAGCTGAGACAGTAGCACTTAACACAGGATGTGTCCTATTGAAAATTTAGCAGAGGCAGATTAATTAAAACTATGTGAATATTTATTATATAAGCCTAATATCACAAAATAAGTCATTTAAGACACTGCTTATTTGCAGATGATAAAACACTTTTCACTTGCTGTTTTTGGCTCTACTTTGATTAACAGAGTATGTGTCTACATTTTCCATAACAGTCAAGAGAGAGTAAAAAACATGAAAAAACAAACATTTGATAGAATCTACCATCAGAAAACATTTTTCCACTTTATTGGTAAATCATTAAAATAATTTGTGAGTCCTGAATTTATTGATGGAAAGGAAGCCACAGTTACTGCACACATTATCTGAATTTATTGCCATATAGACTGGTGTTATTAAAACCAACACACATATTATATACTCTGTCCTACAATCTGAGTCTCCTGCCCTGCCCAGAAAGATTCAATCACCTGCTCACGATGCATAACGTATGCAAAAGAGCAAAACAATGTACAGTGCTAAATTAATTCCTACTAAATGATTTCTATTTTCTGCTGATGGTGAAAGGTTTTTACATGTTACTTCCTTATTTTACTTAATAATTCTCCAATTTCAAAGTCTCAATTCGCTTTGACAGTTTCATTGGCAAATATCTACTGTATATAGCCTCTACTGTAACATAGAAAGTACAGATACCCTTGATTCATCCACTGTCAATGAGCCTAAATACACTTATATGATATATGATAGACAATAAATACTCAGCGACATCTAATCAACTTAATCAGATACACATGTATGCATGCAAACACACACACGCAAACACACACACACACACACACACACACACACACACACACACACACACACACACACACACACACACACACACACACACACACACACACACACACACACACATTCCTGAGGACCACACAACTGGAAGAAAAGCCGTGTACTTACAAGGAGACTCTGCCTTATTCCGTTTCTATTTTTCCCCAGACTTTGCAGGACAATAGCAATGCTTTAAGAAACGGGTGAAAGAGCGAGAGATGGACAAAGCAGAAGGTCATTCCTTTCAGAACTAAAACCCCGCTGGAAGAAGAGCAGAGTAAATGGCTTACGGAGAGAGAAGGGGAAAGAGAGGGAGAAAGAGGGAGGGGGCGGGAAAACCAGACAGCGAGTGAGAGGGAGAGTGGAAGAGAAAGGAAGAGTGAGTGCCGGAGCAAATGTAGGGAAAAAAAAAAACAAAAAAAACAAAAAACACAGGGAGACAGCCAGGACCAAGAGATAGGGACAAAGAAGGAGGGGTGGAAAGAAGGACAAATGAAGCGTGTTTAAAGAGGCATTCCTAATCTGCCTTCATGTCATCCTCTTTGATATCCCTACTGTTTCAGGACCATGGACAGAGCACTACCTGTTACTGTAAATGGAGAGCGGTGTTTGGGAAGTCAAAATTAAAGGAAAAAGATAAAGGAAAAGAATGGGACAAAAAATTACGCGAGCAAGAGGTTGAATGTAAATATCTGTAATATTTGAACCCCTATGAGTAAATCATGTGACTACCAGCTTACTCGCACACATGACCAGAGTCAGTTTAAGTAAAACCTTGCCCAGGGACTGTCAGATTGACTTGCTGATCAAACAGTGATGCAGATCAATGCACTGTTGTTCGAGAACTAACGATACACAGTAGCTTGCATGCTGGGAACATCAGAGTCAGGTGCTGTTTCGCTGTTGCCTACCTCAGCTGTATCTGCCTGAACTCAGCTAGACCCAGAGAAACCAGTGACTTGATGAATGGTCCCAGCATCTATGAATTTCTAATTTTTTCCACCAACTTCCACAAAAGCTTTCCAGTTTCCACTAAAATTTACCTTCTAAGCAAATTTTCACTTGTGTTAAATTCAAATAGCAGCAAATTCAAGACACCACTGGAAAAAGTGATTCATTGGGCTGTGATCCCACTTTCACAAGCTGAGGCAAAAAACCAGGCCGGCAAACCCATAAGAAAGGTCATGCTGAAGTAAGGAGAAACACTGCCCCCTGCTGAATGTATAGGGTTTCAACTACAGTGAATAGCTTCAGGAAGCTGTTAGAAATCCAATCCAAGCCTAAATTAAAATAAGACCCACTCATGGAATGATGGGTAATTTACGAGAGAGGGCTTATAAATAGAAAGGCTGCAGATGTGACACCAGTAGTAATGAAAAACTAAAGTCACCGATTCAAGGTTCAGGTCAGTTGTACACAGGGAGAATCTCATGGCTGACAGACAGAGAGTCAACTCAGTACAGGAATTTTGAAGTATATAACTGGATGTAAAGATTTTAGAAATGACACCATATTCCAAAGCAGAGGATTAAGGTAAAAACATAAGGATATCAAGTTGTAACTTTGATCTCTATCGATAAACATGATGTGTCCACAGTTTACACTGTGCTCTCCTGAGGAGATCAATAGGAGCTCTTTGTTCCCCTGACAGAGAGGGGAGGGCAGGTTAATGAATGTAGGGCACCCTGTCACTGATCCATGTTTGTCTGACACCATGGACAAATAATGAGATGCTCAAAGAGAGCCTGATGGCAAAAATATCCATAAATTTCATTTTGATAACCTCTGACAACATATATACTCATTCAGTGACATATTAAAGTAGTACTCTTTAGTAGCAGCTGCATGTGCAGATATTTGATTTTCTGTTGACGGACTCACACAGTGTCGCTTTTCTCACATTCTCTTAAATCCTCCTCCCACAGATAGATTAGCTGTGAAAGAGAAAGGTAGAAAAAACAAAAGACATGTATTCTTTCTCTAAGCTTTAAAGCATTTACTGACTCAAAGCTTAAACCAAGTACAAAAAATGTATTGCTCATAAAAAAAATGTATGACAGGGAATTATAGCACTAATGCAATAAATACTATAGCTTTCAAGTTTTGCGTTTTTTAAACAGAGTATTTAGTAAATCGTTTAAGAGGTTCTGACTGACAGGGCTACCTCGGCTTGGATTTCAGACTCAACAGAAACCCTGCACTACAAGCTGGTGTGGACTTGGAACAAGCAAGCATTTAGGTGGCAGGGAGGGACTTTTGGGCATTGTCAGATCCAGTTTCCAGCTTGACCCATAATAAGGATTTTGTTTTTTAATCTGTCTCTCATGAGTCTCCAGCTTTACTGAAGAGCAAAACAACTGCACTACATCTTTAAATGTCAACAGTTTACTGAGAATAGTGGGATAAGGAAAAATTGCTGAGTCAGTGACAGACTTGTGAGTAAAAACGTATCATTAAGTAGGGAATGGCACCAATCCGTCAAGCAAACATGCTGACCACACATGAGAAACAGGTAGGTACCTCTGAGCACACCACTGAAGCGAACTGGGCAATGAGCAAACAGACAAATGGTAACTGACAGCTTGAGGAATGAAAATATATACAACATATTATAACTGACCTTTATTTTAACGAATAGCTAGTACTTCAATCATTATATTAGAGTAAAATCATGGTTATACTGCAGGCTTATATTTGGTTCATTTTTGTCATAATTTTTATGTTTTACCATAACCAAAAAGCTAGCTGCTTAATTTTAGCATTAGATTGCAGAAGCATTTATATTATAGCTTTTGCAAACCTAGTTGTCAAAACTATCTCAACTAAGGTTGCTCTTCATTTCACTACATTTCCAACAGATACTTTCTTTTAAAAGGATTTCCAGAATCATTAAACTGAAACCATGGATCTTGCCATGGAGCCAGATAAGAACAGTGATGCCAAACTAAAAGAAAAGATATACATGTTTAGATTTATGTGTTTTCCACCTGCTCTGGCTGGTGAACTACTTCTCTTGAAACGTACCTGGCAAAACATGTTGTGCAAAACATAGGTTAAATACACAAAGAGAGCCATGTTCTAGTAAGGGATATTATATAACACAGAACATCAAACTGTGGCAGCACAAGAGCTGTCCAATTGAACTTGACAACAGACTTGCTGCCAAAAATATGCATTACACAAATACACGCACACGCACACACACACACACACACACACACATACACATCAAATACTGTGAGCTGGTCAATAGCCTAACCTTTTCAAAATACAAATACAAGCATTCCTCTCCTGCTTACGGGAAGTGGTAAGCTAAAAAGCACTCACATTCTCTCCCTGTCTATATTTAGTGATCTGACTTTCAAATGGAGGCCAGGGGAATATATAGCCTGTGTCAGTCTCTGTAGACCCCGTCTGCAAAAGACTGTGGCGGAGAGGGTATGGGATGATGCCAGGGTGAAACGTGAAGAAAACAGTCCTCCCAGGCTTTTCCCACAGCCTTTGACCAACAACACCTAAGGAACCATACAAGAATAAATTGCCCCTTGGAAAGGAGAGTGTTCTGTTGTCAGGAGGAGGATGAATGGAAGCTCAGTTCTCACGGTACCATTAGCATACTCCAGTTTGTTTTCCAACTCGACTGAGCAGACAGCGCTGCCCTCTCCTGGCTCACGCAGGAATCTGAATTACATTAAAGAAGAAGAGCTGAAACACCAGCTGTACTGAATATCAAATAGCAGGGGACGCTGGAAACCAGTGGCTGGACTGAGAATCACGTTGAACATGTTGAGTCAGTACAGAACACACCTTTCACCGGGCAGGGAACGCAATAACTGAACCAACAATTCAGTTCAGAGGATAAACACACTCTTGGCCCAGACTGTATAAGCCCAGCCTTTGTTTGTCAAGGTTAGATTCTGACCATTAACCTCCTGCTCCGGTGCCTCATGGGGGCATTATGCTCTTTTAGCTTGAACTGGCATAATAAAACGCATGTCACGCATCTTAAATCTTAAATGTAAGTAGCTGCTTGCTTCAGCTGTCCTTACCAGATTGATCGTTCATCATGCGGATGGCTTTAGCTTTGGCCAACTCCAGCGCTGTGACCCATCTCTGCCGCTCCACTTCTGTGCTAGCCTTCAGGTGGTAAGTGCGGCCACCACTGCTCAGGACAATATTGCAGGCGTCCTCTGTGTCGATGTGAGCCGTGGCCAAGTTGATTGTTCCACGACACGTATGGGCCATCTCCGCCTGCGTCCTGCAACAAAAGACCAGGCAGAAGGAGAGAAATAGAAAGACAGAGAGAGAGAAAGACAGGCAGACACAAGCGAGAGCTGAGGACATTGGTCTTGGATATGAGTTAATCATCATTGCTCATAGAATTTGTCCTAAAAGCAATTCATTCATAAATAGAACATTGCAAAAATATAATTCAGCAAGGTTGTAGGTAGGAGGTAGCAACTGACATTCCTATGGCCAATAAGCACAAGCAGGGAGGCGAGGAGGGACAGAGGACTGCCACAGTGATCATGTCAAGAGTCACCTTGAAAGCCAAGCAGTAATGGAAGTACCTGTTCATTCGACTGAACGCACGCCATCTCTGAAGCACATCTATTCATGAAACCTAAACCTGCGTTAGCTAATGTAAAACAAATGGGATGGTTTGAACTTCTAATTCGCTCAGCGTGATCTGCCTGCCCTGTTGTGGGTTTGCAGAATTGTGGGTATTCTGTGTAGCCTCCACTAAGACCAACTGTTGCACATTCAGTGGGCCACAGTAGTCTAGATAACAAGGCCATTGTCTGGCTCCAAGCCTGTGTAGTGAACAAAACCAAACAATGAATAACAGCGTGAACAAAGAGAGAACAGAGTGTGAGAGGTGGTAAAAAATGAAAGAGTGATAGCAGGGGAGAGGGAGCCAAAGCAGTAGGGTAAGAGATTAGAACAAAGAGGAAGGGCAACAGATTTTGTGTGCAAGTCTTAGACAAAAGAGAAAATTCAAGAGAAACATTAAATTTACTGTTGTGTGGTGGAAAGCTGGCTGTCTGACATTCTTTCTCAGTTAGACAAGCTAAGCCGCAGGGCAGGGACGGACCATCGTGTCCCTCAGAGAGCTGAGTGTATGCAGATTTTCAGTGCAGCCACAGACAGCTGATTTTGCTGATTAACACCTTCAACCCGAGGGCAGCAGCTAATCAGTGAAATCACATGCTGTGGTGGTTGCTTCAGATAAAACAAATCCTCAGACCTCCATGTCACAATTGCCCGTCCACACCCTTGGAAACAGCCCACTTTGAAGCATGCAGCCATGCAATCATGTGGATTTGTCTGTGGGCGCTAACATCCATTCATCCATCCTCAGTGGGCTCTCACTGCCACAAGCAGCTGCCTCTCAGCAGCACTAAGCCCTACACCAGCTCCAGTCTCTGTTGACACTGACAAGGTGGCTGCCTCCCTGCTAAGTCAGAGGTTGAAATGTATTTAAAAGTTCTGCCAGGCAGTGACTTCCCTCAAACTGCCTCTACTGGCTGAAGTCAAGTCTTGTTATGATGCCAATCCAGAACAACGCCTCAGTGTACCGCTCTTCTGCTGGCGCTCGGTGCACATCAGTTGTGCAGTCAAGACCGCACTGGGGCCATGCGAAGCCGTGACGAGGCCGGGCAGAGATCCTGAACAGCCCAGTTTCCAGCCTCGCCCAGTGGAGCTCAGCTGCAGAGTCCTGGCTGTAAGAGGGGCAACAAACTGAATGTGCTGCTGATGAGTAAGATGAGATCCATGCAGATCGCCTCTACCCTGTGGGGAGGCGAGGCCATGCAAAGGCCATGAGATTATAGTCAAGTAAACTATAAAAGCTGGGAAAGAGAGATAAGGACTACAGGGGCATTAAGGCTCTAGAGGGGGAGGGGGTGAAGGTGAGTGGGGGGCGGCTAAGGGCATGAGAGAGGATCCTGCATGTTGCGCTGAGCCAGGAGAGAATTGCAGTGCTTTACCTGTCAGTCCCCTGTGCACACATCCTCATAAAACACAAATCCACCGATCTGGAGCATGTAATGACAGAACAACAACCAGTGAACAACACAGAACAGACGGCCATAAGCATGAGGAGACATACACAGACGGGCAGGGGAAATAGGACACAGTACCCAGAGCATGAGAATGTAGATAGGTTTTGTTGTGGCTCAGGGCTGAAATATCACAAGACATGGAGGGAGAGAGCCAGAGAAACGCTGGGGAACATGCCGTGCTGAAGACAGAAAAGAAACATAAGATGAGAAAACCAAAGCAGTGATAATGCAATATGGACAGCATGACATGACCTGCTGAAAGACTGAGGCAATGAGATGGTGAGAATGTGGCCAGACTCCCTGCTCAGTTTAACGTCACTTTGCTGTTCTCACCTTCACATAAAAACAAAAAGACCACCAAGACAGGCACGCGCACAGAGTCACTTTTACACACACACACACACACACACACACACACACACACACACACACACACACACACACACACACACACACTGTAGCCTGGTGCGAAGACCAACGAAGAGCCCATTAACAAGATTAGATCACAGCATCCACATCTCTAGCTCCAGTCACTCTGCTGATGTGCCAAGCTAGTAAACAGGGTTCAGGTCAGGCTTTACCCTGCAGCTGGGCCCAAGGTTGGCTAGCTCACCACTCTCCCGCCACACCTCCCTTCACCCAGGAGGTGAGCGTGCCAGCAGTAACACCATAACCTGACTCTCCAAAGGAACACAAATGGTGCCGAAACCCCCTCTGACCACTTACACTGATACTATCTAGTTACTCTCCTGCAGAGAAGGAAACGTGGCCGGCCTAGTCTACTATGAAAGACAAAGCCAGATTCACTGATACGGCAGCTCCAGTAGCACTCAAAGCTTTAATGCCCTGTAATCTTCACTAAAGCACCAAGCCGGATTTACTTCAAGAGGTGAGCAAGTAGTGTTGAACGTATTAAAACTGGGAGGAAAAGTCAATAAAGAAATTAAAAATGAAAGGAGTTCAGTGAGAGAGGGAGGACAACGATCTTGTCACATGTCCTGGCAGAGACGGCACAATGAAGCTCTTTGGGTGGATTAGGCAAAAGGCTGATGTGGAGTAAAGACAGTCAGCCTTGCAGTGTCAGAGCCAGAAGTAATCAATAACAAGTGCAACGTTGAATCTCTATAAAACTCATTACAATTTAACAGGCGGGAGTGCTGAGTGTGTCAGTTTGTCCACAGAGTCAAAGCATTGATTACAGTCCTCCACTGCCCTTTGGCTTCTCAGCTACAAGCTAGAGAATTAGGCCTTTGCTTTGACAACAGAAGGCCTTGGGAATGAAAGTGATCCCTCACCTTATTGGCTAGACCTCTAATTGGCAGTTGGTCACTATTGATTTATCAGAAATATAAACTGGCCTTCTAAAAAGGGAAAACAAATATTTAACACTGCAAATCAAACAATTGGTGAATGCATGCTGGGCTACATCTGATGTGACATAAGCTAGCTGAGCTTTAGAGTGCGTCTCTGATTATGGAGTTCAATCTGTCATGAAATGTCTCTGCATTAAATCATATCATACACCGAACTTTCTTTAAAAAAAAAAAAGTGGGCCTATGTGTTTCTCACAATGCTTCAAACACACTAAAGTCACTGAAAATACTTGTGTAAGAGCAGCAATTGTAAACTAAAGTATTATTAAATTAGTCTTGTAATTGTAAAACAAGAATAAAAATGTGCTACAGAAAATGTACATCAGAGATCCAACACAAATATCACTTCACATACAATGAAGACGCCATCATTAACATGTTGTCACATTTGCCTGACTGTTTCCCTTTTACTTCACTCACAATAGAAGTCAGACAGTCAGTCAGCCAGAGAAGGCGCACACAGAGGCACACAAAGCCCGAAGTCAGACACACACAATGTGGTTTGCCAGGAAGACATCAGTGGAGGGGACAACTCATCCGCTTCACTGCCTCTGTGCTCAGATGTCGACAGGCTACCTTTACCTCAGGGACAGCAGTCACCTTACAACATAATGGACTATTAATAGAGGGTAGAGGCAACAGGCATCTTTCCTTTCACCAGACAGGAGTAGGGCTTTGGCTACCATACCTCTGTGTCAAATAACACTTTGCTGACAACAAAAGACAATCAGTCTGCGTGAGAAGGTGTGGCACTGGGGTGCTGGGAAAGAATGTAGCATGGGATGAAATGGGCTCCAAATGTGCTTTTAATCAGATGTTTTTGCAAGCACAACCAGCAAAGAATGATTTCTATCCAATCCAAACATTTATATTTTGGAAGATTGTATTCACGACTTTTGGAGCTGCAGGGAAGCATGGTGAGTCAAAATGTTGCCTTGCAGTCAGAGGACCCAGATTCAAACCCTCACACTGACAAGAATTCACCCGACAGAAGAGCCTTTAAACAAGGCAGTGAATCCCTCCCTGCTTCATAGCTGATTTTGCAACCTAAACTCCCAGTGAAAGATGACATTTGAAAAGACAATTATCCTGGAGGGATCAGCTTAGTGTCATATTAATCATTTTTATTACTACAAGCAATTATAGTTTGCAATAACACGTTAAGCTGGAAGGTAGAGGCTTTTTAAATCATTTCTGATTCAAGAAGGCTTTTAAACTTCACAGCCTCAGCTCTGACTAATAGTACTGTTAGCAGAGGAGGTTGGGTGCACCTTCATTCTGCTGTGAACCATTTAATTAGGAAAACTGGGTCAGACAGGGTGAACAAGTGTTGCAACAAATATTTCATTTCTCCTTTTATGTGGACCATGTGTATACGCAGGTGGGTCAGGGCTTCATGGTGAGCCATCATTAATTGCTTCATCTCCATTCGATAGTGCAAAAGGTCCAAAGGTTGAGTCTATTCATGAATAGATTTTCTTGGCAAGATGTATACTTTGAAGCTAAACATAACAGGACTCAATATTAAGTTTAAATTGGTAAATGTGCACCAAGGGCAGTGTGATCTAGAAGGTGACAGAGCAAAGTGTTTCAATGTTGACAAAAGCAGTTAAGTAGCAGCGACCAAGCTGGATAAACATGAAAAAGCCGTGCAATGAAGGCAATGAAAACAGTCAAGCTCTTGTATGACAAAATAATTACAACTTGGAGGTCTACTTATAGCTGTTTCAAAACTTCCAACCACATCTCACTGCCTTCATCAATAAATAAAACTGTCTGGCTGAAAGTGAACCTGAGAGTTGAACTTATTTTGTCACACATAACAATCTCAAGGTCAAGATTGAACTTCCTCAGACTGGACAATGTGACAGTTAATTCACCTGCTTCCAAGGTTGTAACATTAGACTGACAAGAGAAAAGAAGCTGTTGTTGTTTTGGGGGGGAAATTGAGTTAGATTTGCTTTAGACAGAAGAACAAGACTTGTTTATAAGAAAATACTTGTTGAACTCAATTTTCTCTCATGACCTAGTAGGTTTTCATTCACCTTTATAGTCTACAGGACACTTATGTGTTGAAGAAAACTGAGCGTGTTAAGGGCTAAATATTTGTCACCAGCAACTGGACAAGCCTTAGGATCCATTCATTGTTTCCATGTTGTGCCTGTACACCCACACCTGTGGAAACATGACTCCCTTGCGGGAGGCACCTGAGCCACAGGTGTTGGGCTGTCATATGGCCAAACTTAGCTTACAGTTTGCAACTGTGAGATCAGACTGAAGACAGACTGAAAATGACAGTGACCATCTCTAAAACACTGTCTCGTTACACTGATCGTATACTGGGCAGCCCTGTGACGTTAGCTGGTGCAATGAATGAATGAATATCGCAGAGTTATATGAAGCTCATAAAGAATAATGTTTTTAAACAGTGAGATTAATAGTTTAAAAGGCAATAATTAGCACGTTGACTTTATTTACGAGACGTTAAAAGAGCAGTCAGTGTTGTCGTGTTAGTGTCACTGTGGAGTGGACAGCTGGATCGTCTGCTGTCAGCAGTCCTACTGAGGCTACGGGCTAGCTTAGTTTGCTAGCAAACGTCGGTACTTGCTGTAGTAGCCACATTTTTGTCACTTTACCGAATCGGAAGCCAAGATGCTATTGCTGCTGTGTGTCGGTCTGTCTGTGTTGGTATCTTTCCACAACCCACAGTCAGTCAAAGTAAAACGAATATGTTTTGTCACTGTCAGCTTTAAGTAAACAGACAGCTTTAGCCCACTGCTAGCCAGCTGAGGCAGCCAGCTGTAATGATGCTCCGACACAGAAATATGACTCGGCTGTGCGCGTTGATTTTGTGAAATGTTACACTCTGCGTTGGCAAAATTTACCTGTAATATGAGAGCAGGCCATTGCTGAGGACAAACCATCGCCGCTGGTAGCCTTTCAAATAGTTCGTCCATTTAAAAAGCCAGCCTTTGTAAGTATCCGACCCTGGTGCCGGGGCCGCGGCAGAGGCGGATGCCGAGCCCTTCCCTTGCTCGCTCATCCTCCGCTCCGCCGCACGCCGAGGGGTGCAGGATAAACCGGGGACAGCGAGGACAGAGACACTACCCCACGCGAACTACCTGGGCAAGGAGGTCAGCGCTTACGAAAGAGCTCGACAGAGTGGGGGTCCGGTCTGGGCCGACAGAAACCACGGTGAACCCCCTTCACATGACGCCGGAGGAAGGACGAGAAGTGATGCCACGACAGTTTGCTGATGCAGACTGCAGAGGATTCAGAGCACAGAGCTGCGCTGGATAGAAAGGAAATTCCTTACATGGCCTCCACATTTTCTGATAAGGCTGTCACCAAACCAAGAGTGATTTCCATGACGACAGAGCCAAACAGTTTATGGCTGTAATTATAGAAGGAAACGACTGCTAACCTGGTCTTTCATATAGTATATGTGTGAATGGTAATATCCGCTCTATCAATTCAAGTCTATGGTTCCGACCTGCACCACGTGATGTTGTTATCTAAACATTCCTAAACATTTGACATGCGGTTTAGCTGCTGATTCCAGACCTGATACCAGTCAGATGAGTAGACTCTACGCAGTACAGACCATTACATGTTATATGCAGCAAACACACACACACACACACACACACACACACACACACACACACACACACATAAATACACTGACTGATATCAATACACAGCAGTGATAAGCTTCCCTTTCACCTGTGAAGATCTTCTTAAATCTAAGGAACCCTGAATTCATTACAGTATGGGGTCACATTAGGGATCAGGTGATCAACTACATGATCAGAGGGATCCATGTCTGTAATCCACAAAACTGGATTGCCAAGCAGAGCCCAGACCTCCAGGGGACCCAAATGCCCCAGAGCCATTGCCTGTTGATTGATCTTTGTTGTTTCCTGCATTAATCTTATCCTATGTCATAATTTTAACTTCGTAACTTTAGTTTATATTGTGCTCATATGGTGCATATTCTCAACTGAAATGACGATGATGATGATGATGATGAATGAATGATGATTGGCATTTGTGTTTTTAATTAGGAATTGACACTGGGCTGTAGATAAAGGGATAAGAAGATCAATAATGGCCCAGCAACAAACTCTTGCTCTTGGGGTCCATGACAGGTTACTGCAGCCATATTACCCACAAGAAAAAGTAGAGGAGGGGTGACCTGAAAAATCCTCATCTTTTGACTCTCCATCACTTTACCATCAATCAGCCACAAATTTATAAATTGATGCTTGTCATTATCACACCATTAATGAAAGTAGGTCAGTTATTACATTAGGGAGATCACCAGATGATCATCTGGTCCTGTTGCGCACAATAAAGTATGCATCTCAAAAAAACAACTGGAATCTGATCCATCCTCTGCCTCCAATTAGACTCCTGATGACATCACTTTACCACAAGATGGCAATGTTGTCAAAGTGGTTTATGTGGTGTAACTGTCTCACAGGATTGAAAAGTGACCAGAGAAAGGTTGCTGTTCTCAAATGCATTTAATAATAAAACAAAATTACCCACAGTACTAACACAGTAAAAATAAATACAAGTAATGTTTCTGATAAAAAACTGTAGCCCTTTTTATTTGGAAACGCGCACACAAACAAACTGATGAGAACTCATGCTACACACAGTTGCTTTCTAATGTATCTCTGCTACATATTTCATTTTTTACTAGAAAAACAAAATACTAACACACCCATCTGCCCTGATTGAAGGGTTCAAAACTACATCTCGGAGAGAATCATGAGCTAGTGCTCTCACATGCCAGTGAAAAACGACCACATTCACTCCACTCAGCTGCTCATTACAGTGTCAGAAAACCATGTATTACAAAAAATAAACACAATATCACATTTTCACATCAGTGCAATTAAACCCTGACCCGTTGGCTCTACCAACAAAAGCATGCAAGTCAATTACTCTAAAAATCACTCTTATATACAATAGGTCTGCTTACTTTCAGTGCAGCCATATTCACAAAGTACCTAGCCTAGGCCTAATCAAATGAAAAAGCAACTGTTAATCTCACAACATTACCAATTAGATACTATTCAGATACTGATATGAAAGCTTTATTAAGGTTCCCTGTGTGTCTGTGATGTACTAATGGGGTGTTTCGTGGAAGTCATTGAGCTCTGCCTCGTTTCTGCAGGATATCTGAGCACGAGTGGATTACATCTACTGTGTGAGGCATTTTTAATATAACATGGTGATACATATAGTCAGACAGGACATCCTTGTGGGATTTTATTGCTCCTTCCTAATCTAAAGCTTCAACATCTGTCTCTTATCTTGCTGTGTCTGTCCTTTGCTTGCCTGAATGTCAGCTATCAAACCTGCCTTTCTCTGTCTCCATCTCCCTCACCATCTCTCACACACACACACACACACACACACACACCCACACACACACACACTGCGTGTACAGGTTCTTGTTTCAGGCTCTGCAGCCTCCTGCAGGTCCCCAGTTCCCTGGATTTAATGTATTCATCAGAAACAGACACTGAGTGAGGGGAGGGAGCAGATTAAAGTCCTACAGTACATCATGATAAGGGACTGCAGTATTTTCTGCTGCAAGACAACCTTAAAACACCCTTCATCTGAACAAACAGCTTTTACCCTAGGCCAAGTTTGTAATGGGGACAGGGAAAGAAAAAAACGTAGGCTACTTCTCACAATCTAAAATTAAACACCATCTAATCGTATCTCTACACACCAGATAATCTCTCCAGAATGGAATATGTTTTTCTCTTTATCTATTCTATCTTGTCGACCACTGCTCTCAAATAAATCCAAATATGTCAGGTACAAGCGTCTGCTGTTGACCTTACTGACTATGACAAATTCAAAGGAAGACTGGATGATATTGCTGCCTCTTCATTTTGAGTCTCACTAACACAGCTTCCATCCTTTTAGACCCAGATACAGCCACAAGACAATCCTCAATAAGACCTGCTGCAGCCTCAAATACCTGCCTGTCTAAGTGACGTGAGAAATATAACTGTGCTATGCTAATCATATTGTTTTTCACCTGCGTCCTCTCGTACCTCCTTCCTTGCATCTACACATTTAGCAGAATTTGTCTAGGAAGTGGTCGGATGACCATGTGTGAAATTTCAGTGTCTTTTACAGCGCAAGTCTAATAAACCTCATTTTGAAAAATCAGCTCAGTAAAGCAGGAGGCCACAGGGTATTTTTTCCAGCCATTTAGATAACAAGTCCTTTTCTCCACTGCCGCTCCACGTCTGAGGTGAGAGGGGTGGAGGGAGCTCTCAGGGTCACATGATGGTGCAGCGATTCCTCTGTAGCGCCCCCTGCAGACGGATGGAGGTGTGGTTCTGGCGCATGCCCCGCGCCACAGCGATGCCCAGCAGCTCTTTGAAGAGCAGGACTACATGCCAGTTAAACTTGGCAGAGCACTCCACATAACCGCACTTCCACGTCTTCTTCACCAGGACTGACACTGCCCTGCGAGGCATGAAGCGCTGCCGCTGCAGATCTCTCTTGTTGCCCACCACCAGGATTGGCACCTCACTGCTGCTGCCTTCCCTGCAGGAGCATGTGAAAGGTATTAAAAAAAAGAAAAAGAAAAGAAAAAAGATTAGTTTCAAAAAGCACAGTTATCGTCATGGTGTTTGTCACAGTGGTTGGTTGGGCGTGTGCAAGATGTCTACGTGCAGTTTTTCCTTTCTTCTGAGGTGTGCGGGGGCGGACTGGAGGATTAGAGCTCACAGGCTCAAGGGGCCTCCCACCACACTCTGCAGTGGCTGGTTCACAGCATTATGAAGTGTGAAAATGTACGCAAGCCAGAGATAGGCATAAATTAGTGGCTGAAGACTTGTGTTTGTATTACTTACCCCTACAGTGTTAACGATAAGCATCAACATCTAAGATGATGTCATCAAGTCCAACTGTTTTCCAGTAACACCTGATTGGTGATGCTTTGGAATCAAATCAAGTTTACTAGGGCAATGTAGATAAAAGTAGCTACTGGAGGAAATTAAATTGGATTGTAGAGCAAATACTATGAAGGCAATAAGGCTGATTATATAAATAGGATTTCTAACAATAAGATTAATTTATACTCTGTAGTTGGGGAGCCAAAGTCACTGGAGCTGGAAGCTTTAATTGTTATTTTCTCATGAAAAATAATAATATTAGCATATGAGTTATATAAAAGAAAATGGTAGTATGTCAAGTTGAATTCACAGAGGACTAATAAATCAGGTGCATTATGAGACTTGAAGGAGCAGTGATGTGTTTAAGCACAAGACATCTGCTGACTTGCTGAGCTCAGTGTCAGCTGAGGTATGAATCGCTAAAGCTGCTGCGTTAACAATTCATCTCTTCCTCTTGTACTGAATATTGTTTTCTTTTTTTTGCCTCATCTTCTGACAAGGACTTGCATACATATGCATATTATCACATCTGCCTCAACAGATGGACAGCTCAATAGAAAATATAATAGAGCCAGAGAGATACAGTTGTTTGATAAATTAGACTAAAAACCCACAAAAAAATGTCATAGTAAGGTGTTGTTTCACCACGAGCCTCCAGAACAGCTTCAGCGCTCTTTGTGAGAGATTCTCCTGCTGTGTGGAGCTCTACTGGAGGGATTAACATCATCTTTATCTAACATATTCCCTCATTTGGTGATGGTGGCAGAGAGCACTGTCTGACTGCAGTGCTGCTCAAAAATCCCTAGGTGTTCAGATGGGTTAAGATCTGGTGACTGCAAGGGCCATAGCATGAGACTCTCATCATTTTCGTGCTTATCAAATCGTTCAGTAACCCCCTGTGCACTTGCATGAATGCACTTACATGCACACATGTATCCAAGTCTTGATGTTGTTTTTTGAAGTATCCAAGTTATGTGATGTGTCCGTAACCATCAGACAGCATAGCATAGCATATCCAGGTTTCTGTTCATTACGTCAAGATGATAAACAATGTAATGCTGGTCTACACCCTGAAGTTAAAGTCTGACACTGGTAATGTGGAAGATAAACTGATCTGAACTGAACTTAACATGCAGAAGCTGAAACTGAGCTCATCCTGTGCTGTTGTTCTGCAACAGCCCTGCTGTCGTATGGCAAAACAGTTGAATCTGTCTCCACTCCTGCTGGAACGCAACATGGCGTCATCTGGCAAGGACCTGTGCTGGCCAATCAAATACAGTACGTGCAAGTACTCTGTAATGTGAACGCTTTATTTCTGCTGTTTACCTGGCGATTGTGGCAACAAAACATAAAACAACGGACGCTGTAACAGCACTCCAAAGTTGTTGTGCAGTGTTTTCGAGTCTTATACAGTTTTAAATGTATTTCTATCTATTGCTCAAACAGGAGTGTGTGCCTGAACCAACACACCCGCACCAGCACACCCTATTGCATTTTTTAAACCCAGGGTTGTTACAAAAATTGTGTGAAAGACACACCTGCACCACCAGAAAGAATCAGAAGCCTGGACACTGTATGATCTTGTGTACAGAGATATGAATAACCAGGATAAGACTTGAAAACCGGGATACCAGAGTAAATGTGAACGCCATCATTCTCATACTTCCTTTAATTTGTCACATGCATGTGTGAATTTTGAAGCCCTGCAGCAAAGTTATTAAAGATGTGGACTTGAAAAACATCTCACTTTTCTCCTTTTCACAGGTTGTGCTCATGTAACAGACTTAAAAATATCTCCACGCATATCTGCTCAAGCTTGAGTGTCTTAGCACATCGTGATGTACTGTATGTGTAGGAGTGTGTGCATGCATCTGTTTGTGAGAATTGGGGGAAACTTTACAGAAGTAATGGAGGGACAGAACACTGTCACAGACTTCACTGAACTGAAGGTAGGATGGCCAACAAAAATAGAGCAGAAAAATAAGGTTATTCTGTCACTGAACAGATTTTGTCTGAAGAAATTTGAGGAGTATTTCAAGTATTTTAAGCATATATTTTTAAGTTGAGTAAAATGAACAGATGAATTCATTATAGTTGACATCTACAGTACAGCCACCATGAGCTGCAACAGCTTCCATTATTCATGATTTCAGTTTAAATAAAGTATCTGTCGCTTCTCCACTCTTCCCTCTCCTCCTCCAGTCTGAACGCAGATCTTTGTCCTATGATTACACATTTCTCCTGTTTTCCATTCCTCTTGCATCCACGATTTCTTCCCCAGCTGCTGGCGATAATGGTTTTCTCTCACGGGCCAGTAAGGTGGGGATGAACTGTGCAGTGGCAGTTTGGTCATGTGCAGTATAGCAGAACAAATGAGGCCACTCATTTTACCTTTCAATATGTAAATATATGCAGGTATGCCAACAACGAGGATGATAGAGTAGATGATGCCTTTTCATTGGTCTTTTTTCCCAGTTGTGATGGTTCAAAACCAACAAGGAGACCTGTACTATATGTTATGTCCCTCTGGTTGTCAAGCCCCCTGTCTTTTGCTGCTGTACTCTGTCCAATAAAAGCTGAGATATCCTAAAAAATAATCTTTAAATCACTAGTGACATCTCAGGCAGCTCTCATGCAGCAACACCAGAATCAAATGTTATTACTAAACTGTCAGGATGCACGGAGGAGTGTGCTGAATTAAAAGATATCACCACAACCAGACTATCTATCGCTGTCATACTGTCACAAACGTATAATTGTGCGGCTTTGTGGCAGGGCCGTTAAATTGCATGCTGTCTGCAGATGGGTGACATGGTGATGTCATTTGGAATAACCAGCGATGGTTAACCAGCTGTCTGTCAATGGGTGTACGTTCAGTCACAGTTGAGAGTGTGCTGTTGACCGTACCTGTGCTCCACTATCTGCTGTCTGATCATTTTGACGTATTCAAAGCTCTCCACGCAGCAGATGTCATACACCAGGATATAGGCGTTGGCATTGCGAACACCTCTGCAGCGCAGATCCAACCACTCCTGGAGGACAGACACAAAGAGATAAAAACGTAAATATACAAATAAATAAATACTGTATGGCCAAGAGAAGCTCTAGGGATGGCATCAGTCTGTCAGTCGGTCCACCACTCTGGTCCAAAAGCTATCATATGGATTTTCATGAAAGGATTTGGTCCATGGACAATCATGGTGCCCAAAGGATTAACCCCAATGACTTTGGTGATTCTCTGATATTTCCACATAGTCCCACTTTGAGATTATTTGTGGTTTTGAGTGAAATGTATCAACAAGTAGTGTATGTCATGAAATTTGGTAGGGTACAGGTATTCATGCTCTCTTTGAGAGAAAATTGAATGACTTCTCTGATAATGCCATCATCACATCAACTTTTAATAATCAAATACTTTGATTCATGATAAAACACTAATGGCATTCTCATCAGCCTCAGCTTTGTGTTTACACTGTATATAGCAAATGTTAGCATGCTAGCCCCCTAAACTAAGATGGTAAATACTGGAAATATTCCCTGCTAAAGATCATTGATCATCGGTGAGCATGTTAGCATGCTGGTGTTAGCATTTAGCTAAAGGCACTGCTGTGCTGCCTCACAGAGCCACGAGTATATACTGCACCTACTTATAGAATACAATAATATTAGGGGGCAGCTAACTGAACAGCATGTGGCATGTGTTCCTGTAATTATTCTAAAGCACTGGCTCAGTGTCATAGTTCATCTGCCTCTGCTGCTTATCCTCTGTGAAAAAGTGCAGAGTCAACCAAGTCCTAGAACTGGCATGGCTCTGGGAGTCTCACAGCTTAAAACAAAGTCATAAAACATGGCGGCTGGCCAGCAGAAAGCACTACACAGTGTCCTTGCTACACATGTTCAAGGACAGTGACAGAGGTTACAGTTTATTAAAGATAAGCAAACACACAAAAGGGAACAAATACTACTTGGAATTTTTAACTTTTGTTGCTGCTGGGCTACGCTTTATGATTCAGTGCACATGTGGCAAACAGCAATATGTGTTTGATGGTAATGAGTTTCAAACTGTAATTAAAGCACATTGCAGAGGTGGGTTCATTTGCACCTTACTAGGGGACAGTTGCTTCATTAGAAACACGGTGACCCCTGCTGCTATTCACGCTGTGCTTTTGAGTGCTGGGTTCTCACCAACCCACCACCCTAACCACCTTTAACAGCATACAATGAATTTATAAGTATCTGATAAAGGGGGGAGGGGAAAACAGAAGAACTTCAGGAGGTGGGAGGAAAAAATCTACTGAGGGAGGGAAATGAGAAAACAAATGCAGCCCTGAGAGAATGTCGAAAAGATGAAAAAGGCAGCGGTGGATCAAGGGATGAATAGACATGGTGTCAAAATAACCTATGGTGTGCCTGAACACTGCTAATGGAGGGTCTGGAGATGGTGACTGTCAGGAACTGAACTCAGTTTAATTCTATTCTGTTTTATTCTATTCTATTCTAGTTCATAATATTCTTTTTTGTTCTATCCATTCAAATCAATATAATTTATCAGGCAAACAGTGGACACTATGCTGGGAAACACATCTATTCACTTTAGTTGCCAGGACTTAGACGAGAAGATCCATAACACTCACATCTGTACATTAAATATGAAGCTGGAGGGAGCAGCTGTTTAGCCTTGTTTAGCATAAAGACTAGAAACAAGGGGAAACATCTAGCCCAGGTAAAAATGGAAAGTTATGGTTTTAGAGGACTGTATGTGTAGACTATTTCTTGGCTGGATGCAATGACTAATATTAAATATTACTCCACATCTTCTCATCACACACTCACAAAAAACATTTAGATCCAAGCATTATTCCATATTTGATCACTTTGTTTGTAAGCAAGCTGTTCTGTTTGATTTAGTAAATAATTTGGCTGTGTTCTTCTTTTTTTTTGACTGATGCACCTGCACCTTGGGCACAGCTCTTTGGACCTCTGTTTGTTGCATCATGTTGCTTTGAAAACTCAGATATCAAAGTGCTGATTGTCAGATCTCTTTTCATTCTTATGCTTCTAATTAGCATCCAAGCTAATGTGACCCTCGTTTGTGGAAGTGTTTGCAATGATGAACGGTTTGCTACAGTATTAAAGTCATTCTCCATGTGTTTACATTAGCTCTTCTACCTCCTGCAGCAGCTTGTGCAACCTGAAGGAGGAATGTGAGAAATCTAATTACATTGCTCTCAAGGTTGGATAAAATATGCTTTTCAAACCAACATACTGCGCAGGCAGTCTGTGCAAATAAAATCATCTGATAATTTGTGACAGGGGAGGCTAAGGGAGCAGGCGATGATCAGTGTAACTTCTAACGCTAACACGTCTGTGCCAGTGTAATCTGCCTTCATTCAGTTTGGAAGAGGGCATTTGTCGGTTTGTGTCTAGGTGAGTGTGAGGAAGAAACAGCCTCACACATCAGCACGGAGATAATGAGGCCAATCAGCCATGGAGACAAACATGTGGCGTGAAGATCGCTGCCATCAAAAGTGGAAGAGAGGGCAAAGGGAGGAAGTAAAGGGGGGCAGAGTGTTGTAAAAACTGCTTGAAAGTGTGATTATTTTCTTTTTCTATCCAGGTTGAATCTGTTGTCAAAGACAGGGAAAAACATGTCACAGACGGTATGATTTCTACTGTCATTCATGTCATTTCTACGTCTTGTTGTCAAGAGTCTAAAATAATTTAAATCCAAAGTCATGTCAAACAGGCCTCAGAAAATATTAATTTTTGCCAAACAAACAAAACATATGCCATGTCATATCACAGCATATCATCACAACTCACTCTTTTCTGATAATTGAGGCAATTGATGCACACAGTGGCTTCAGTTGCAGCCTCATATCCCTGGGGCTAAAAATAGCTGCTTGTGTTCTCATCCCATATCTCTTTGTCATCCAAGTCCTGTCTTAAAATGTGGAGGAGGGGCTAGAAACAGCAACACCACTTCTCTAAAACACAAACATGAAACACAGGCAAAACAAGGAAATTAAGAGTGACTGTCCAGTAAGCCAATACAGTAAGGAAATACAAGACAATACATAGCTGATAAACTGAAATCAAAGAAATTTAAAATGCATGTGTGGGCATGTTTATTTGTGCGTGCTTGCAGGATGTGAGAATGTGCTTGTGGGAGCGTGAATGTGAAGTGTGGTGCCACTGTCTGTATCCTCCAGTCGGTCTTCTTAACACAGCGCAGAAAAAGAGCATCTCATCTTTCACTCCTCACGAGCCAAACAGATCATGTTTCCCTGACAACTGCAGGCCGTGGTCAGTTTGCAAAAGGCTATGACAAAACTGTCGTATCTCCTGATATAAGGGAGAGCAGCTTAATGGTTATGATTGGTTGTGATGGATCAATACTGAAGCACAGGAGGGAGGCTGGTGTAACCTAGTGGGGGATGGGTGCTGAGTAATTATCAGAGATATGTCACACATAAGCCATGCTGGCTGATTTGCAATTAATATCTATTATATCCCCTGGGGATGAAATTGCTATTACTCACTGATGACCTGATGATACCAGGAAAATCATTAAAATCTGTAGGTTTTATTGTCCTTTTCGGTGAATCACTTTGACGTGACATGGAGAGGATGGTCTGTTGCTGGTTTCTCTCACTCACACATAGAATCACAAAGAAAGCAATCAAGTAACTCTGGGAAATAGAGTCATGAATTGTTGATCCTTGAAAAAGGAGCTAACAAGGAGAAGTTGAAACAGCTTGAAAGGAATAGTTCAACATTTTCAAAAATACGCTTATTTGCTCTCTAGCTGAGAGTTAGATGAGATGATTAATACCATTTCTCATTAGATATGATGCTAGAGCCAGCAGCTGGTTAGCTCAGCTTAGCATAAAGAATGGAAGCAGGGGGGAAACAGTTAACTTTGCTCTGTCTGAAGCTTATGAAATCCATCTACTAGCAGCTGTATTCCTTGGCTGACGGCAGTGACAACTTAATCTTTTTAAACTTTGATTTTTGCCAGTTTAAAGGTCTATTTGTAAGTTTTCTCTGCCACCGAACGTGGTTACTTGCCAGGAGCAGGTAGTGGTGATTGTCGCTTGACAAGAGTTGCCTTTATAATAAAAGAGGTTATAATACACCCTCTGAGCAGCGCTGTGTCTATGTCTATGTCTTCAGGGTAGATTGGAGGCTTCAGTGAGTCGCTATCGGAAAGTGACAAGACGGGCCGGGGCTAGCTGGTTAGTGTGCTAACTCCAGTAAAAGAAAAGACATGATAGAGACAAGAGTTAATATTGGCATTGCTGTCCACTGCTAGAGACAGCTCTTGGTGAGTAAAAGAATGAAGTTTGTTGCTGAATTCAGCTGTTAATATTAACGTTGGCTATGCAGACACACACTTAAAGGGTTTGTAAACCTCATGTGCGCTTCACAGATGCACACTCCATATCTCTATGCCGTCTGTGAGAGTCAAAATTACACAATGTATGACATGAGAAGCAATAATTTCCAGCCTGTTACCACAGACTGTATCAACAGAGATAACTGAAAAAATGTCCAGACAGAGCAGGAGGGGGAGAGAGAGCATTTTGCGTGGGAGGAAGTCATGGAGATACATTGTGGCAAGAACAAAAAAAATCTAAAAGAACAAGAAAAATAATTTCTCCACTGTCGGGCTTAAAACCATCTGTCATTCCATCCTATTGACATACAGTGACAGATGCTCTCTTAATGTAATACTCTCCTCAACAGGCAGACATACCGTAAAGCAAACAAATCATTACACCATCACAACCTCACAGTGAAATAATAGAAACCTTGCCTGTCCCCAGCAATGGAAAAGACAAAAATGGCCGTCAATGTGGTTGAATTGGGGTCACAAGTAGCCTGCCAGAACATTACTGTTCTTCTTTCAAACATAATCTGAACTGATGAGAAATTGCCACGCTGCACAAGCATGGAGGCGTACTGACTCACTCCATTCTGCAGCTTATTCATCACAAATTTCAGAGGACATTATACAACCTCATTTGGTAACCCTTACTTCAACAATGTCCATTAAACTCTGTGCAACCTTTCTAATTGAGTACAGCAAAATGCCTACTGTCTCCTCTGTTGGTCTTTTATTCCCAGCTGTATTCTAGCAGGGAACGGTGTTTTCATTCAATCTGCTGTGTACTGCAAATAAATTTCAATCAGGTTTCTTACCATTACAGCTAACCCAGGTTACATTTCTCTGCCCATGGGGTAAATATAGAGCAGGGCGGTGAGTCAAAAATGCCTCATGTCTCATCACTGCTCTAACGCTGAAAAGAGGACATCACCAGACAAAGCAAGAGATCGAGGCTCAGAACAAGCAGGACATGACAGGAGCGGAGAAGAAAAAGTACAGCAGGCCTCTCAGGGTCGTTCCTCAGCAAATGAGTGACCATAAATCTGTCTGATAGAAATGTTGTGGCAGCACTCAGCTAATGGTTTTCTCTGCCTGTGTACCTTCCACAAATGGGCCTAACAAACTGTTGCCTTCTCATTGCACTACCATTGGAAAATGAGCATGAAATGTTCCCACGACATGATACAAGCACGATACCAAATGAAAGCCATGTGAGCTTAATAGCTCTCTCCTGTGACTCAACCTTAGGGACACACACACACACACTTGCACTCCCACACATGAACTCATGAGACTCATCCTGTATTATTCCTGCTTTCTGTTCACACTTACCAGCTTGTTCCCTAATGGGGGTTAAGCACCATTTAGCAGAAGAAAGAAAAAACTCAATCTCTGTGAAGAAAAGTGTCTTTACAAAAGGTCTCTGTGGGCAGGAAACAAAGCACTCTGTGGGCCTCTTAACACTTTCTAACAAAATGTTGAATCTGGTAGAGCAGCTACATCTAATTCTGCCGCCTGACAGGATGATGACTTTGGCCCCTCAGTTTCCCTGTCAGATGTTTTCTGTGTAAACGCCAGGGTTTCTGAGCGCACAGCAAGCCAACACTTTGGGAGGCCTCCCGCTCAAGCTGCTCTTTTTTTTTTTTTGTCTCCTCTTTGGCTTGATCTCATTTTCTCAGTGGCACCTCGCTTGTGTGTGGCTATGTGTGAGACCGTAGGGGAGAAAAGGAGGGAAATATTCAGCAGCAGCCGCAGCTGCGGTCAGCTTGGTGTTGTGACCTTGGAGATTTCTACTGTATATTGAAAGCATCACAGCCTGTCCACCCTGGCTGCAATGGACAGGAGCCAAGACACACCACAAGCCAAGAGAGACTTGGGGTCAAACGCACTCTTTCAATACCCAAGGACATTTCACACTCATCCAGACACACTCCAAATCCATACATTTTTAGCGAGAACAAGAGACCTTTACCAAGAGGCATTTTTGTCTTAAAGGTTAGGTTTTTCAAGTCTTTTTTACAGCAATACTCACATTCCCACATGTGCACTGAAACAGGGTTTTGTCACTATAAGACCCTACTGGCCTGGAAGACATCCCTTCTTATAGCAGTTTCAATTTAAGTGATAGGAAACAAAATCCAAATTTCTCATCCCATGCAAAAATGTATAAGTTCAGCTGTAGCTAATATGAGGCTTCAGCAGTCTGATTTAGACAAATCAAGTTGGTTTTTTACAACATTAGTACTTTACTCTTTTTAGTACACAATTCCCTCTTTGTGTTTCCACAGTGGAGGAATAATTATGCAAAGACAGAATTTTGGACTAAAAAGACTGAAAACTTAAAAAAGAAAAAAAAACACTTCATAAAACCTATTCGGACTGTTGAAGCCTCATGTTGGCTTTGGCTGAACTTTGAAATACACTGTTACACAGAATGAGGACTGTGGATTTTGTCTCCGCATCACTGTCCTATGGACAGGAGGAACAATTACAGCATCCAATAAGACTTTTAATATGGTCATTTGAGTATTTTCTTTAATCCTGTACTTTAAAGAAAAAACTCCCAGAGAAGAAAAAGCTGCAGTAAAGCCTGAGATAATTATTCAATATCCCTGATTCTTGGCAAGGAGGAAGACACAGCGACAAATCTGCTTTGCAAAGTGATTACAAACCTTGGGCATTTGGAGCTACAGTGCATTTTTGCTATGATCCTGTAATCAGATGTGTCTCCAACTAATGAGGTGCGGCATATGACCTGTGGCCATGAATAAAAGGGCAGTCTGTCTGTTCTATTTTTAAACTAGGGTTCAACCAGGTGTTGTGGAAAATGCCTGCAGCACAATCCTGCCATTACTTTCTGTGCATGCAAGCCAGATTCAACACAGCCACCACTGGCACAGTGAAATCCACTCATCTGAAGATATTCAACGCTGCTCTTAGTTAGGAGTCTGTAGAGGACATGGTATGATCAGTAAACAATATGCAAGCTGGCATTCCTTCCCTCCAGATGAGGGGGGTGGGAGAGAGAGGGAGAGGGAGAGAGGGAGAGAGGGAGAGGGAGAGAGAGAGAGTTTACAACGTCAAAGTGAGGCTCTCCAAGGCTTTAAGTCAGTCAGGTCTCCATAGCAACTACTAGACTAGGGACATCTGATAGTGATAGAAGAATAAATAAAATTGGTGGGTTTGTCTTTGAGGAATGCCACTGGCAGTGGACAGAGGTTCAATAAATGAGAGGTGGATTCAGGCAATGTGAGAATGGATCACCAAAGCTTGTGCAAATCCTCCTCTGATAAAGTTAAACCGGTTGGAAGTCTATCTTAATCCTGAGACAGAGACATTGGTACCTGGCTGGAGCTTGATGGAAAAGAGGAGATTGGCGGGACGTCCAAAATCTTCAGCTCATACATGTTCCCATTGAGTATGACGGAGGGTCTGTACACATATCTGGTCCTGGTCGGCGTGTACACCTCCGAGAAATCGTTATAGATGAACTGGCGGATTATAGAAGTTTTCCCCACTCCGGGAGCACCGATGACTGCGATACTCAGCGTCTCCACCATTCCTGGAGCACGAGTTCAGCACCATGGACAGCGACGACAACGACGACAGATGTGACCGTCCAGAAAGCACAGCTGGCCGCCGCCGCTGTTGTTGTTGTTGCTGCTGCTCTGATGGAATTCAACCGCTGGCCCCTTTTAACCAGCAGCTTGTAAAATCACCTCAACTGGCTTCAACTGTGCGCAATTAAACGAATCAATGGCCGAATAAATCATCCAGCCGTCGAGCAGAGAGAAGAAACTTTAACTCCAGGCTGAGGGCGAAAAGAAAGAAGCCACGCAGCTTGGAGATTGTCAAAAATAAAGCTCAACCATGATCATGCAGATGGATGGGGTTTTCGCTGCCACTGCAATCCAACACACAGATTGAAACTCTTGGTTTTCAGGGGACATCCCCAGGCGACCTCGTCGTCCCCAGAGAGGAAGCGTAAAAGTCCGTCCTTGTTGTTCCCACATGGACATAATCTCATCCAGGCTAGACTCTGACCTTGCCCACACGCACAGGAGTCATGTGTGTCTTCATTGATTATCTCCTCTGCACCCCTCAACAAATTTCCACCGATGCACCATCACCACCACCAACACCACCACAGCGCTCCTCCATCACAGGGAGGACGGGCGCGCAGCCGCCAGCCTCGAAAATAAGCTCTCCACCACGTGTTCTGAAATTTGATACAACCTCATAATCTTCTTCTTTTGGTCGATGGCAGAAAGATCCGTTCACATCTGTGTGATTCAAGGGAGAGGAGGCAATCCACAAAGCCAGCAGACATGCGTTTTCTGTAAAGGTATCTGGAGCCTATTAACGAGCATTGTGTGTCTGCCGTTGGAGAGACATGAGCTGGTGAAGACTGCTCTCCCTCCCTCTCTCCCTCTCTCCCTCTCTCTCTCTCTCTCCCTTATCACTTGCAATATCCCCTGCCCTGCTCATCCAATAGGATCATGTCTTGCGCAAGGCGTGTGAGGGCGTTGAGCGCCTATACGGCGCAAATAAATGGCAGAGGAATAGGCCACACACCATACATCACTTATACATTATCTCAGTGTGAGGGTCATGGAGAAGCGGCGCAAGACTGAACATCATATCTCCGAGGGACACGGCTTATTATTGGTGAGGGTCCTCGGGCAGGGCAGAGACGATGTGTCCCATCAATCATTGCTGCATGGCAGCAGCACACAATAACCACAAATCCACTTTAGTGACAAGTCTGGGGAATAAACATGCAGACACTTTATGGTCCTTCAGAATAACTGGAAATGAGCTTGTAACCTCGGGAACAGTACAATAAGAGCACGTGTTTTTACGTTTTAATTAATGGCTCCATCAATAGCTTAATAATTTGTTTCATACTACTTTATCGGAGATTTTTAAGAAAATCTTTTTATGGTCCAGGTTGTGAACAGTCCTTTTGGTTGGATTACAATCAGGCAAAGTCGGAAACTGTGCTGGGCTCCCAAACCCTCAGGGGCCCCCGACACCCACAGATTCAATGTGTGGCAGTAACTATGTGGTAGTTTTAGCCACTGCAGTTATTTGGTAATTTGCACCACTTAAGCACAATATAATTATATTAACTGTAACCCTGGTGTTAGGTAATAATGTGGTTATAAATGTTGGTAATCCATTAACAATAACTGATGGTTTCTTAGCTTCTGATAGGCCATCAGGTCTGCAGTTATGAATGTTAGTCAGACGTTGAAGGGTTTTTTTTGCAACAACCCTGAAAGTCTGCAGTTGTAAATATTTAATAAGTTGTTAATACATGAATTTTGGACAGGATTCTCTGCAGCCCTCATTCAGGGAAGTGGTCAAACAGAGGTCTTTTTATCAACTGCTTGTAACAGAGCTACAAAGCACTAGTAAGTTGCTTATTAGCTGTTACATTAGTTAAAGCCATTAGTTACAATTTATAAACCTTTTATAAAGGGTGCTTTTTAGAAAACGGGATCTCAGATCCCTCAAATGGGGAATCTACAAATGTTGCTGCAAAGGCATGAAAAGCCACATGATGAACGTCTTTACGTGTCAAAGCAAGAAAAATGTAATTGATTTCTTTTGTTGTCAACTGTGACCTGAATCTATAAGCGTACACTCAGATATGCGCATGTGATGGACCCGGTGTTCTATAAATACACTCAGCTCTAATGTCTGTTCCCTCCTGCACTGATTTCGCCTTTAAAGACAGACAGTGGAGCATCACATAGATCATATAGAGCAGATAATCTTCTCAGCCTTCAGAACATCATAATGCATCGAAAATGGATCGAGTCCTGAGTGACATTCAGGGCCATAGAGGACTCTTCTTTAGTAACTCTTCTAAAATCTGGGGTCTTAAAAAACGTGGAGGGAGTTGACATTTAACAGCTGGATATATTTTGGATTATTGCAACTGCCCTTCATGTTGGGAAATAAAATGCACATGTATTTGAATAACTCAATGACTGTGTGCGTCTGTTACAAATGTTCTTGGACTCAAGTCTGTCTCTGGTCACACTATTGTAAATCTGTTTTATAGTGTACAAATACAATGATTACTTCCTCGGTGTTAGTGGTGTGGAAATCAGTAACCCTTCCATGATACAGACAGAGCCTTTGCCAAAATGCAATGCAGTGGTGCCCCCTGTTGGAATGCATTCATCACATAGGACCAATATTATAGATCGTTCATTAGTGTCACAACTTTGCCCGACTGACTCCTCGCTGATCAGTGAACCTGCATCTGTGAACACAGTTGACCTTTATCATTCACAGAAAAACAGATACGAGATGAGGGGTTTGTTTTTCCCACTGGGTCATGTTGCTGAAATCCTGGTTAAGCTTTCGCAAGCAGCTTGGACTTTAAAACCCCCCGTCACCACGTCAGGAGCTGCTCCGCCTTAAAAGATGCACTGAACTGTGGATAAAACTCAGACTTCACTCAAGGTCTTTATATGCAAAAGCTGTGACGGCTGTCGAGTAACCCACGAGAGAAGGTCATCAATGATTATAAAGCATTGTGTGCGGAAACAATGCACACTGGCTTCTAGGAACTTTGGGAATGTGGACTTCAGACAGCAAATAAAACCGAGATTGGGATTTTGGAATCAGCAGAATGTGCCACAAAAAAATCTCTTTGCACTGTTTTTTTTTTTTCCTTTTTTTTGTCACAATGTCTGACCACTGAAGAAAAAACTCAACGTGAATTTATCAAGACTTTTAATAGTTGGTTTTCAAATGATGTACACACAATGAACAAAATCATGTCAATCAAAAACATCTGATTTAACACTTGATTTTTTTTTTTCCTTTTTTTTTTAAACAGCATTTCATATGAATCAGCCGTCACCACAAACAAAGACACACTCTGAATACACAGCCACCTCTGTTGTAATCAGTAAAAGGTGTTAGCGTAGGTGCATACATCCTGTAGAGCTGATACAAAGGGCTTCAGTGTAATGACTCAGTCAAGGAATCCAATTAATCTGCGGGTAAGACAGGGACACTGGATGTTGTTCTTGCCTTGTTTCAGCTAAGACAGAGTGTACTACCTTCATGTTTACTTATTACTCACAAGTGTTACAAACCATGACATTATAAGTTTAGAGTTATCTCACCTGACCCTTCATCTCAGGTGGCCACGGTTCTTGAAAAGCTGCGATGAGAATAAAGAGAGAGCAAAATGGCAGAGAGAGCGCGAGTGACTGTCACTGCCATGGGGGGAAGCAGCAAATACAAAATCCTTAACACCTGAGGCTCTCTCCCAGTTTGCCACATGTACACTAACAAGACTATGGACACAAATTAAACCATGGAATGACTAAGTATGAGAGCAGTCAGTGTACAACTGATGCTAGTCTATAAAATGTCCAGATATTGATGTAAAACTTAAAAAGAACCACACACCAGCAAACAGTTTCCATGCACACAGCGCACGTCAGACATTCTGCTTTTCAGGGGACAGCAGAGGATCCAATCCCACTACTAACCACGGATACTAAAGAAAACTCTATAAAATGACAAAGACAACAATAATGTAGTTTGTAAGTATTTATGTGTCTCTTCTAAGGCCCAGACAACCACTTTCCACTTCACACTGGCAGAGGGGTAAGGAGAGTTAAAGCCTTTTTCTGCCGCATTTTAATTGAAAGTACCCCAAATAAATATGCCCCAGGGTGATGATTCACCTGCTGATTGCAGACGCTAAAAATAGACTCCAATGTGCAGAGAAGTGGGGCTGGATAATGATTAAAGAGAAAACAGTCACGGGAATACAAGTCATACAGCCGTCTGTCCCCAAAAGAATATAGGTCGTCACAGGATTGGCTCAGGCAGGGGGGAGTGGAGAACCTGCTCAGTCGCAAAGTGTTCATTCAGATAATTTATCATGAGATAATGTCCTGAAACTGAAACGTATGGTGTGTGAACCACCACACAAAGACTAGCCAAGAGTGATCCAGACATCTCTGCAGGCTTAGAAAAAAATAAAACATGGTTCAAAATGAGACAGTAGATCATTAACCATCCTAATTAAACAGCTGGATGACATACAGAGCACAGTCTCCAGGCCCAACACAACAGGAAGTAGCTCCTGCACTGTGTGAGGTTGTAACATGGTCCGTGGGTCAGGTGAGGGGGAGCAAGAGGAGGTGCCAGGAGTCTGTGAGGGCAGCGGCAGGGGTCGACATGGGGGTGTTTTTCAGTTCTTCAGCACTGCCTCGTAGCTCTGGAACACACATTGGGAAACCTCTGGAGCTCTGCACTTCAGAGAGACCTGAAGAGAAAGAAGAGTCAAGTAGGGTTGAATATTATCTGATTTATAAGCTGCTCAACAAATCAAAACAAAGCAAGTTTATAAATGCCCCTTGTGGGACATACAGTACACAAGTTACCTCAGGCAACAACAAGTCACACAGAAGAAACTGATATATTGAATTTTACATCAGTCATATGAAAAAATTAAGAAAGTAGTGAAGCGGAATCAAGTTAATGTCAGTAGTGTATAAATGAGCATGAACGGCACAAGAGATCTGAGCGTTGTTCAGACATGATCATTGTTATATGTATGCATATGTAATATTTCTTCAGCTTCATGACCAAACGAGTGTAAATGAGATCACAGTAAATAACCAGAATAACTTCATTGTCACTTTAAAAGTCTATTTTTCCAGGAGGCAAAGTTCATTATTTTTCAGACAGGAAGAAAAACTGCTTTTGATTGAAACTCTTCTTAACTCAGTCTCATCAGACACAGACATACAGAAATATACATACATAAATTCACTCGAGAAAATAGAGGCAGCCTCTCCACTCTTTGATGTTAGTCTCAGCTGGGAACAGGTTTAGGATTTGCTACAGCCTCGCAAAGTGAGTTTCCCCCCACACCACCACATTGTAATCCTACTGCAGTTGTCGTTTCCTCAGATACACTCTTCACAGGAAGCATAAGGCAGCAGGAGCTTTGCAGTAATTGTATCAGGGCAGATACTGTCATGATGTAGCATTAAATACAAAAGATAGTAATTCTGAATATTTCAAAATGTTTCACTAATTAACTGCCGCACAATCGGCAGTGCTCTCTCCTATGACAAATGGAAGCCTTAAAAACCCACGTCTGTGTGAAGTTGAAAAGAAAAGGAAACGGCGCGGTCATGGTGATAGTTCACTAAAGATAACAAGTATAGACCCCTCCACGACTGCTTTTCACTGACAAATACAAAAAACACAGCAAGACACTAAATCCAAGAATACTCCAGTCTGTGGGGAAAGCTCTTTAACTGCCTAAAGATCTGTACTTTTATTTGAGCGATTTATCTTTTACTTCCTCGACTTTCTACCTAGTACTTTGGGTATTTTCTGCCAATTATTAGAAAGCAGAAAGCAGAGAGTTGACAGGAAGAGAGTAGGGAAAGGGAAAGAGATGGGAATGACATGTAACAAAAGGTCCTATCAGCACCTTAACCCCTATGTCACCAGCATACCCATATTTTTTTCAAGTGTTCATTTCATTGAAGTTTTTCTTGAATTTGTGGATTCTTCATTTTCGCCTAAATATTAATATCCACTATTGTTCTTTTGCACTACCGGTACAAAGTACTGTTTTCATTCATGTTTGTTTTTTTCAAGCCCTGAAGTGTCTCTGTTGTTTGAAGCAGTGAAGTTGTTTTCCACTGTGGTACAGAAAATGGAATATCAATATTTTTCAACATACAGTGTTGAAGTTTGATATTCTAGTATCGTGACAAGACTATAATGTTTTCTCATTCAGACAGACACAATTATTATAATTAGAGTGATCAGTTATTCAGCAGAGATTTGGTGAGTCACTGATGTGACTTTCACACCAGGCCCCTCCTCAGCTCATTGAATGCTGAGACCAAACAAAGGTGATGGAGTGTGATGTGGTGGATACCAAAGAGCTGCACTGGAATAAAACAGTGATATAACTCAGCTCTTTAAGTGTTTCCTCTGTACACTTGCAGCTCTTTACTAATGTATGCTGCTGCTGGCAACATTTAAGCAGCCACGCTCATGTCAGCATGGGGTAAGATGTGAGGAAATGCGGATGCTATAGCCGGTGTGTGCAACCTGCTATTAAGAGAGCTGGAAACTGCGACATTCAAAAGAGGAAGAGGGAGCTACAGTAAAGATGGAGGAGGGGCAATCACCCGAAGGTGTGTATCTAGCATGCACAGACAAAAAAATATCTTATTATCAAGCTTTGTTCCATCATCCCAAGAAAATTAACTTACGAATATCCAAAGTGATGACACAACTGCGTTTCAAACTATTAGTTACAAAAACGGCAGTGTCTTATGTGATGCAGTCTCCAGTGAGAGACAGACACATGGATTCATATAACTTGTCATGCAAACAATTAACCAGCCTGAAAACACTGCAGAAGTCTGAACCTGTATAAACGGGGACCTACAGCCGCTGCAGTTCTCTGATCAGCAATGCAGCACTGCAACAGGGGAAAGCAAAGAAAGATGACTGCATGATCATATTTTTTAAGGTTTGTGTCTTACTCCTAAATTTGATATACTTAATCTTGACTTGAGAAACAACTTTGAAAATATTGAGTCTAATGGTTTAGACCTCATCCTATGTCATTAGTTTTATCCTTTAGTGTGTCAAGTGTGTGTTAAACTAGGGGTAGGCATGTATAAGATCCACTGCAATATATGTAGTTTTATATTGATATATTGTGATACAGTAAATGCTGTGAGATAAATATCAATTTATATAGTCCCACAGTATATAGTTTTATAGTTTTAACCTAAAAACAGAGACTTCTGAGAAAATATTAACCCTGTGCTTGTGTAGTAGGACAGCAGGTGTGTGTGTGTGTGTGTGTGTGTGTGTGTGTGTGTGTGTGTGTGTGTGTGTGTTTGTGTGTTTGTGTTTAGCGTAGCACTGTGGTGTCTCTTTCTGTGCTGAGACTCACTTTTACCAAAACCCTCAGAATTACCAGCTCAAGATGTGGGAAGAGAAAATCAGCCAACATCACTGGGCACATAGTTGCCATGGGGACAGGAGATGGCAGATGAGAACACCACGCTTCATATCAAAAGGATTCCAGTTTTCCATTGTTAAATACTATACATATACATGAGCTCAGTGGAAGGCAAATTAAATTGGTGCGCTTCTGAAGATTTCAAATGTGCAAAACCTATAGAAGCTATAATCAATATTTTTATAACAGAAATGTATCAAATGACAATGTGAAAACAATGTGAAATGGATCACTTGTTGAATTTCAACTTAAATCTTAAGCTCCTCTCGGCTTTATGAAGCTTTATAGAGAGTTTCAGCTCCAACCTGTAACATCACTGTCAGAGCTCGCTCTCAACACGTCATTTTCGGCTGCAGACCGCAGACAGACACAGTCGGTGAATAGCTGGAGCACACAGTGGCACATCTAGCAGCTAAAGTCAGATATTTCCCTCAAGAGTTGGTAGAGACCAAACACAGAGCTAAAAGAGAACATAAATGAAAGTCTGCAATATTGAATGAGGTGATATTGAAGGTGGTGATACGTCAAAGTTGTGTTCACAACTTGTCTCCACTGCCTCCAAACTGCCAATATTGCAGGTTTAATGAGAATGCAGAAATGTTTTTGAAATTCTTAAGATCTTCCATCTTTCATGGTCTTACTACTGCCCATCACTTTTTAATTTTTTAAACCAAGAGCTCCTCCATTTCAGCTGTAAATTGGTTTGTGGGATAATAGTGTCCATTAACCTTACACTCAAAATAAAGCCAATTAAATATGCACACCAAGACCTTTCAATCAACATAGTCAAATGCAGCTATAAGCAGTATGGAGTGTGGCACAGCTTTAACACTCTAATATAAGTAGTAAGGCATCATGGGAGAGCTGAAGACAATCAAGTTTAGAGATATCAGAAAAATAGGCCAAGCCATATTTAAACCTTAAAACAGCATGGGCAAGCAGCAGCAAAAACCAAACATGCCACCATGCGTCTCCACTCACGGCAATGAACAATAATCTTTTTGTCTCGTCCTCTGTAGCAAATTAAAAGGCATAAAACATGCGGTGGCAGGGCTTTACTTCTTCAAGTCTAAAAATAGCTGCTGACAAAAGGCTTTGGCAGCTTGGCTTTAATGTGCCGTGCCAAGAGAGTGCAGGGATCATGCAGCAGCCAGCAGCTCACAGCGACAAGAATCAGAGTACACACTGTACATGCAGCTCAGTTAACTTTAAAGTCTAGTCTTCTCCTCACTTAACAATTTATTACCCATCTGCAAAAAGTAGGGGAGCCTTTCCAGCCACAGTGAGGAACAATTTGGACTTGAATATGAAATTACAAAGACAGAAGGAGTACAGAACAGAAACAGCTGAAGGTGGATGAGAACAACCTCTTGAATGAGTGATGTGACTTCACAAAAGGACACACGGGAAATATAAACACAACAAATCAGGAGAGAGAAAGGGGAGAATGTAGACCACCTCCAGCAGAAAAAAAAAAACATCACGCAATAAATGTTCTACAAACAATCATTTGGTAAAAATCAGCTTTCACTTCACGAAAGTCGTGTTCTCTTAAATCTCCTGAGCCAGCTCAGGCTACGTGATGACTACAGTGGCTAAAGAGAGAAAGGTGTGAAACCAATTTAAAATTCAGAGGATTTAATGAGTGAGAGCAGGGTGGCTGACGAATTGACTAGTCAAGATGGGAAAAAACAGAAAGACAGTTAATGCCACCTTATGAAAAAAGAAACATGATCTGAAAGCAGACAGAGTGATGAGCAGAGAGGAGAGTCACACCAAGGTCATTGTTCTGGACTAGTCATGCAGAATTTCTAAGCCAAACACAATCCATCAAGAGCGGAGACCGTGGCACGCTGACAAAGCAGACATGCAACAACACAAAGGAGGAAGCAAACAAATACATGTGCACACTGACAGATACACACACACACACACACACACACACACACACACACACACACACACACGAGTCACCAATACTAGCAACACACTCCAGTCACTGCACAATCAACCAGCCTTCAGCACGCTCTCCGCTCATTACTTCACATCAATCTCCGTCATGTCTCTGCTTGTTCAAATCAGCTATTGCTCTGTCATGCATCTCTATCCATGACGTGCAGGGATGACAGTATTTTGTTAACTCATCATACTGACTTAATTCAACAAGCAGAGCTGTGATTAGTGCTGAAGAATGAAAGCAAGAACTTTCCTACACTGTATATGGGAACATACAACAGTGAGACCATTTTGGAGTCCTGGGTAGATGGTTTGGTTCAGTGAGCCCTTTGATACCTGATTTATATTTATTATGGGATAAATCTCCAATACCAACCAAAATGTGCCGAAATCAGTCACTATAGTAGGTATGATTAAAGCCTCCAAAAATAGCTCAGGCTCTGGATTTGAAAGATTTCCCCTCACTGTGTTGTAATATTGTGTTCTCCTATTATACCAACATGATGAAAAGATGCCAACACTTCTTTTAAAATCAACATCTTAGAAAAGTTACATAACCAAAAGAAAAAACAAGTCCAGCAAATTATTTTAGGTTTGTATTACAAAAATCTGGGATTTAAAATAAAAATAAAGTAAAAATGGTAAACATTGGATAAAAACCTTCACTTATATACAAATGCTGGTGAAACTGAATTATAAAAGTACAATTTGCACTGTAAACACTCAATTCAACCATTGTTCAGATAAACTTCAGTCATTTTATGATATAAAAATCATTTTAAAAACCTACCTGCCCTATTCTAAGCCTTTACGACTCATTAAAATGCTGATGAATTTAGGAATTTCACAGCAGGACAGGTAAAATCAAGTTCCACGTGTTTCACAGAAACAGTTGTTCCTGATTATGTGTCAGGTAATATAATGCTTTCAACAATGATGACACTAACAAACTGTATATACATATATATACACACAGTAATTTGTTAATGCAGCACCAAAGCTACAACAGTGATGACTTCAACTCATGAAGTCAGCTAATACAACTAGCTCAGTACTCACCGTGTAGTTTGGGTTTCCTGCCTGCACCCTCAGTTCAGCCAGCACCCAGATGCCGTTGGATAGTTTCATGGACTGATACAGCATGTCCTGACCCTCCACCGTACGCTTGGCTATGGTGAAGATGCTGCTACCCTGCAGTTTGTTGGAGGCTGCATCTGTTGAGAGAACAATAAAAAAGGTCACAATGCAGTCAACATTTTATCTGTTGAACTGAACTTATAGTGTCTTATCTTAACAAGCTAATGTTGGTTTTTAGTATTCAGTTTCACACTGTTATTCAGTTATTCAGTGCCACTCACTGACTCCTGCCATGCTCTATGGTTGTCTGCTGAAACAGTCATTAAATGTATCAGACCATGGAGGATTTCTTTTTCACTTACCATCCCCTAAAATTTCACTCCAGGCTGTCTGTGCAGCAAAGATACAGTCACTAATTTGGAAAGAACTTTTCTCCTCAGCCTCTGTCTTACTGCTGTGCCCCAGTAGGATTTGAAACCCTCCCTCTTTGTTCATGAAGAAGAAATTCAATCTGTGGGGGGAAATCTCCATTAAACTGTCATTACGAATTCTTCTCCAGTTCAGCTGCACTCACACTTATGTAAAACTAAATTATCGCATGTAAATAGGGACTGCAGCTGATGAGTTCTCATCAAATAGAATTTGCTTCATTAGCGAGGATCTGAATTTGAGGTCGCCACTGCTCTGCTGGGCTGTCTTCACATAAAAACAAGCTGCAGGCTATGGCTGCATAGTGATGCATTCTTCAGCTAGTGCACTCTGTTGTGCTCTGTGTCCCTACTTCTCACCTGAGTTGAGATGGCAGTCTTTGATCTGAAACTGGGACTCATTGTCATTAGGAATGTCTTTCCACGTGGCGAGGAACACCTGTCGCTCTGTAGAAGAAGAGATACAATCACTGGATGAGTCCAAAGACAAAGCACAAACTTAAATGTACATATCAGAAGGATAACAATAGGGTTTGTGTTAAAGATAAATGTACACACTGTAAATAGTGTGTGAGAAGTCTGATTCCACACTAGACAAGGTTTCCTGCTGTTGCTCAGGCTCTGGAGCATTAGCTCGCAGCCTTTGGCAGAAGTCCTGCTGCTAGCCCCATCAGGAGACTCCGCAAGGTGAAATGCCAACATGTTTTCACAATATAAATCACACAGCAGCACGAAAACAAAAGGAATAAAGGCTCAAAAATGGCACTGGTGTACAATGTAGGAGCAAGTGTGCAGTTCCAAGGTGTGAATGAGTTCAGGCAGGTGGACAGTCTCTCACTCACTCACACACACACACACACACACACAAACACACACACACACACACACACACACACACACACACACACACACACACACACAAACACACACACAAACACACACACAAACAAACACACAAACACACACACACACACACACACACACACACACACACACACACACACACTAACACTAACACACACCAATGTACCCTCACTGAAAAACTGACGTATGTGTATGCGGTTGACGTCAGTGGAGTTTTGAGTGAAGAGATTCAGCCTAGACCCACTCACCCATCTTCCCGTCCTCTGCAAACAACATGCTGATGGGGTACTGGCAGCTGAAGTAGAATACGTCAATGTTGTTCTTAACAGCCACCTGTGAGAGTGATTACATCCAAGGAGGGGGTAGAGGAGGACGACAGGAGGAGAAACAAGAAGAAATACAAGGGTAATTACTTTTCAAGTGCCCTTCAAGGATGGCCATGGCTGGTTTGTGTGTGCTGTTTACTGAACAAGGGGGCTATAGTCCTCACTCTCTCACATTAACACACTCACACATAGGCAATACCATATCCTACAATATCAACACTATACCCATGTTCTTTACTGGTCTCCTATCACACTGTATCTCACAGTAAGTACAAGGCTTCCATTTGCCAAAGAATATTAGCAAAAATTACTTACAAGCTAAATCAAAAAATACCTATTTCTATAAACAGCCTTTAGAAAAAGCTTTACAGGAGGATATCAAGATGAAAATAAATGGAGGTGAGAACAGCAGGCAGGTTAAAAATAAAAAACCAAACACAAAAAGATAGCACACAATCAACACTGACAAGTAATAGGAAACAAAAAATAGCACCTAACAGCAGGTCTACATTAAAAAAAAAATCGGGTTGGTTAATGTTAGCTCCTCATGCTGGACCTTTTACACTCTATGGACCCTGAAACACCAGAACAAGTGTGGTATAATGGGAGCACCTGAAGTAACAAGCAGCAAGCAGCGATATTGATCAGGCTGCTCCACAAAGAAGTGCTGAAAGAAGGACAGTGAGTTCAGCCAAAGGATAGCTGAAGAATGACTCATGAATAATTCATTAGGGCATCTTATTCCTGGGTGCAATGCGGGACTACACAAATTACACAAGGCTTCATTCTGAATGCTTGTAAACTAAGAGAGCTCAATTACAAAGGGATATATGACCAAGGAGAGGAGGTTGGACACCAAATACAACTGGGAAAAAAACACTAAAAACACTACTGCTTGATATAATTTTTGATATATTATCACAGGTCTTCTGTGCTGTCATAAATACCCACTATGATTTCCAACTCTGTAAGGCCCCCCTTTTGTACAGGTTATTTTTGCCAGCTGGAGTCCTTATTTGAATGATAACATTATATGTCATCTCCTAATTATTATTATTATCCAAATGAAGATAATATTTTTGCGCTGGATGACTAAGTATACCAACCACTTCTGTACATGGAAACTGTACACAGACATTGTATGGACACTTAAGACTCAAGGACTGCCAAAAAAGACATGGGCCTGCGCTGTTATTGAACATTTGACTGTTTTGTAGAATATTGTTTGTTGAACTGAAATAAAAAGAAGTCCAAAATTTTTTTTGCCAACTGGGGTAGGATGTCACTTCTACTGCAAGTACTGTCTGAATTTGTCTTGGCAAAAACTGACTGAATGATTTTGCAACAAATTCGATATTGCAAAGTATTTGTGATAGACAGATTTTTAACTATTTTCTGGCATTTTGTGGACCAAACAACCAGACAACAGATTAATCAATAAAATAATCATTTGTTGAAGCTGCACTGACTGAAGACCACCACACTACCACCACTCGAGGAAAAAGATTACAAAGCAATAGCCATACATTAAATGAGACAGCTGATGACAATCATCATCTTTTAACTAAACTGATGAATAGATGAGAGGATCTGTCTAATTCATTGATCAATCAAATTGAATATTTATTATTTAGTACAATACTTAATATTGATGGGGAAAAAATCTCAATTCTTAGCTGTGGTACCAAAGAACTTATTTAGCCTCCACCAGTTTGGGAGTGTAGCAGCCACTGTACTAGACTGCTTTTTAAATGTCTTTACTATTGAATAAGCATACTGTATATGTCAATTTCTGTGACCAGCAAACCTGAAGTCACCACTTTGATGTTTAAATTAACTTCTGTGTCGTTCCAGGAGGCCGTAACGTGGGAATAAGAACGGAGAAACTTGCACCCAGCATTACTAAAGCCTTTCCCTTAAATGTGTTGAAGTGTGATGAAATGCTTTAGTGATTGTGGCAGTGTACAGGCGCCAAAAAACTGTAACCACACATCAGTATTAACTACTGAAGAGTATTTGAGTATTGATATTCTGGGATATTATCTTCCATCAAGACAAAAATAACTCAAAACCTCTCAAAATATCTGAGCATATAAAACAGACAGCCTCACCCATCAAAGCAGGGCCTAGAAGCAGTGGAGTAGAAAGGTTAGCAGGGCTGCTGAGGCCAGGAGAAACAAAGGAGTCATGTGTTGTGAGACCACTAATGAACGCCCCCACCTCCATCATCGCCCTCGACACTCTTATCTCCCCTCTCCAGCTGCATGCAAAACCCGACCACCATTCCGCCCAGTTAAAAGGACCACCCTGATCAAAAACAAGCCTTCCTCTGCCGCTCTTTATTTGCAGCTTATCAAAACCGCTCTGACGGCTGTTTTATGTTTTAATTCTGTTTAATTCACAGCATGGGAATTCTGCAGTATAGGTGAATAACATGCAAGGATGCATTACTAATCTGTTAAGACATGGTCATGTTTTCATGACCAAACTTAATATCCCAAAAGATACAGTCAGGTTCATGAATATTTCAACCATTAAACATTTTGATGTTTTACTTCTGTAAACTATACAAAAACAAATGATTAAGAAGATACAACACTTCCCACTTGAATCGGATATTTCACATATTGAGCAATATTTTATTCAATTATCAAAAACTTAACACGCAGCCAACCTGATGAGGCCAGTGTTAAAAAAATAAATAAAAAACAGCTGGCCTAAATAACATTGTGCTTCTAGTCTGTACTCGACATGTCACATGCGTCTAGTTGATAAATCGCATTAAATGTCAATTTCAGCTGGGAATTAGGATTCATGGTAAATAGAAGCTGAAGCAGTGTAAGAAAGGTACTTTTCATCCAAAACCATCCAGAACTCACAGTCACATAACATTTAAGCGAAATGAACATTGTGTTACCTGCAGGTTATTGAGAGGCTCCATCTTCATGACAGGTCCCACAGTATTGAGGGGAAGGGTCACTTCAATACTCTGGTTTGGACTAAGAGGAGTGAGAACCTGGAGTGGTCCAGCTGGAGAAAGACCAAAGCTACAGAGAAACACAGAGGGGGGAAAAAGTGTCACAAAATGCATTTCTATACAGAAATCTCAGCATCCATTGCTAAGTAGGTGTTCTTACCTGTTTCTGTTAAATTGGATGGCAAAATCAGTCATGACACTCATAGCTTTATTAGTGAGGGTCATCTCCATTTGGATGACCCCAGAACGGCGAGCAAAAGTGCCTGATATCTCCAGACCCTTGGCCTTCATGGCAGGAAGCCAAACCTAAAGAGAGACAAGATCAGTTATTTTATTAGGGATCCCACCACTGGTGTTACATCGCACTGTTTTATGTCCCAGCTTATCAAGACTCACTGTTTTAGGGGGGCTGTAGGCTCCCATAGGCATACCAACTCCACCACCGAGATCAAACAGGTCATCCAGACCGCCGCTAACAGGGGCGCTGAAAGAGGCTGGCATTGCAGCTGGAGGAGCACCAAAACCAGCCCCCATCTGTGGGTCACAAAGCAACACGTTACCCTAACACATTCAGTGTCACCCTGTATCGAGCAGAGCCCAAAAAAAACCTCACAAGACAAAGTGACTTACAGCAGGACTTCCTCCAAGGTCTCCGCCAAGCTGGATAGGGGGAAGAAGCACAAAAAAATTCAGGTTAATGTTGTTATAACATTAAATAATACTCTGGGAGGTCTGAAGAGGATGGATGGAGGGGTGTGAGGGTCTAAAATGATGTTCAGTGATTAATGACAGCTATGGGGTTTACACTACTGACAAGTAAAAGCAAGGTGACACAAGTACAGGAACATTTCTCCTTTTATGTAACTGTCCTTTTACTGTCCACACAAGTCCGGCTGAGTGTCTATTGCATCCAATAGGTTTTTATTGAAATGCTACTCACTAGATGTATCTATTGAGGTGATGAAAAGGTTGGGGGTACAGTGACAAAAATGGTGGTGGAACAAAAAGATAGTGATATAGTGATTCCACACAGTGACATATCTAAACTATTGTGCAAGACATGTTTTTTTTTTTGTTTTTTTTTTTTTTACCAAAAAACAAACAAACAAACAAACAAAAAAAATAAAAAACACATAGGCAAGATTTAGTAAAATCTCACCTAAATGGGGCGGGAAACAAATACAATCTTATATAAAGTGCAAACAGGCACAGTTCAACTGGTGGGGAGGACTACTCAGAGGACACAGTGGTACAACAGGGGACAAGAGGGGGTTCTAGGCTGGTGCTGGCCTTTACTGGTCCAGTGTGGTCCCCTGGACCAACCTCAGTGGGGCTGTAATCTGGGGGCGATGGGGACTGATGTGGGAGCTGAGGTGACTGAGGAGTGTCCGTCCGCAGGGGAATGGGCGGCTGATTGAAAGACGAAACACAACCGCACAGCCCAGAGATAAGAAAACAGTTGGACTCAAGGATTTTTACACCATGCTTACTGTACATATCACGATAATAACTGATGATAAATGAGGAATGAAAATGTCAGACTGATGCACGAGAACTACAGTAAAACAGCAGTTGTTAAGTTAGTCCTCTAAAATGGCCTGAACATGATTTATAAATGTTGCGCCCTCTCCCTCCATGTAGTTACCGGCTCAGACTCATCCCCCATCTGCAGGTGCAGCATTGAACAAAGAAAGGAAAACACACAAGGGTCAAAAAAGAAAAAGAAAAAGCACCAAAAGATAGAAAAAAAGACAAAATACAAAGATACATTACCGTCACTAGGTCCCACTGACAATAAGCCTATTATTGAGTTCAGATAGGATGTGTTATACCAGAACCTGAAAGCTTCTCTTGACCTACCAGGCTGTCCAGGCCTCCTCCAAGAAGGTCCATAGCACCCATTTGCATGCCAGAGGAGGGGGGTGGTGGTCCTGTGGTGGTAGGAGGTGTCAGGTCCAGATTAAGCAGATCTCCCAGGAGGTCTCCCTGGGATGGGATGACAGCAGGAGGTGCCTCAGAAACTCCAGCAGCAGAACCTGCATCTGGGCTCTCAACACTCTCCCCACTAGAAATAAAACGAGACATGAAAAAGGAAAGTAACATTAATTTAGATTACACATTATAATGATCCCCATTATAATGCATCATTTATTTGATTATTGTTCTGCAAACTAGATATTCCTGGTGATTTTCATATACACTGTCAACCTAATTTGTCACTAAACTGCTGCTGCTGCAATAACTCTATCTAGTCCACTGAGAACAATGGCTAATACATGTGATGAGTTGCATTTGAAGGCAGGAGGAGCTGCACAGCTTGACACTGCTGGAAAGTGTGTTACTCAGCAGATTTGAGGGAAACCATAACAGCAGAGTCAAGAAGCTAGGTCAACATAAATAAACAAACCCCTTCGCCTGCAGTGTTTAAAAAAAACCCACAAAAAAAACAAACAAAAAAAAAACAAAAACAAGTGCACGACTCACGATCCAGCACTGCCAGGCAGTCTCTTGTGCTGCACACCACGGCTTCCCTCAACAAACGCACTCGGTGGCTTGTGGTAGACAGAGGCCAGAGTGCCAATGTGGCAGATGAGCTCCTCCAGCAGCGTGGGTTCAATCAGATCAGTCTCCTCAGAAATCAGGGGCTTCTCAGCCAGAACCACCTCTTTTGCAGCCACAGGGTCTGTGGAGAGCAGACGCCAGTAGATGTAGCCACGGTCCCTGAGGTCTGGGTTATCAGAATCCTGCAGAAAGAGATACAGGCATGAGGAAAAAGGATTACTATTTATGGAGCATGTTTAATAAATACTTAATGTTAGACTCTTTTCTGTCTTGGCCCCAATATGTGAGACAGAGCACTGACTCAAAGATATCAAAAACTGAGTCGGCCTTGGGGTAGCGCTAGGAATTGGATAATGTATGGGGCAAACTTACTCTACTCATTTTTATTAGTGTGTTAATCTATGTTGTAATTTTTCAGAAGAATTGGAGCTCAATGAATAAATGTCTTGTTATAAGATTTTTAAGTTATGAGGCACATTTTCTCCCCTCTGCTGCTTTCTCCCTGCCTTGTGCAGGGGCAAAATGTTGTTGTGTTATATTAGACTGCATCATACTGAGGCATTTCTCATATTCTGTCATCCTCATGTACATGAATAATGAAGCACAAAAACACCTAAACCTTTCCATGATGATATTGGTGATCAATGATCATTGATGATCAAACTAGGTTAATTCACAGCCGTACTCTTTTCCCTCAACTATGTTGCATAACTGACTAAACACAGTTGCAACTAAACAGTTTATATAACTTTAGTATAGTTTTTACAACTAGTTTATATAACATACCATGTAGCCTATTCTAGATGGTTGGATGAACTGCACATAAAATTTAATATTTACAACTGTTAAATTGTTTTTTTTATTTTACATTTTTTTAAGTTACCTCATTACTTAAAACAATTAAAATGCAATTAGTGTAACTGCAGAGTAAGCTCAAAGCACTGAAGTCATTACTAAGGTAAGTGCAAGGTTTGGATCCACAATGCCATTACAATACTCCAGTGTCCCTGGAATGATAAAATAGTGAGGAACTCTCTGGAAAAGATACAAAAGTAAGAGCTAAAAAGCCATGTTGACAAGAACCAATTACCCAAATTTGAAGAAAATGTGGATAGCGAGTTCAGAGTAGTAGACAGCAAAGTGAGGATTGTGAAACATCTGTAGACAGATGGAATATGAACGCATGCATCAAACTGTGTGTGTGTTTTTTTTCTCACCTGTGTAGCCAGGCTCAGCACCTGCTGCACTAGCTCCTGGGTCTCAGTAGGCTTTTTCAGGAACAACTTGACGATTGCCGTCAGTAGCTGCAACTGCACCTGGAGGGCACAGTGAACACATATCGTACGTTACAACTGCTCACATACAACTCACTGCTCAGGTTTCCCATGGAAGCAACATCCTGCCAAACACTGAATATTCATACTATTAGTCTAATCTGCTGTTGCAAACAGCAGCACAAAAGGGATTTTATGCATGATGCATTTCTTTCTACAAGGGATGTTCTTAACGACTAATTTCCCTGTTGATTAAACAAGTGCAAATTAAGATAAGTCGACTAGTCTAAACATTAGAAAACAATGTTTAATTGGGATCACAGCATCTGCGGGTTAACAATATCATATTGCTGAGTGTGGCTAATATTAGCAGTGCTAGCACAAGCAGCCTTCTTACTTTGCAGGTTGATGTCCACAAGCCTGTGCTGAATGTGGTTACAACCAGTTTATTCTGAAACAGCCTACATACCTATACCTACCATAGCTTACAGGATCTGTTATCTGCCAGGGCTGCGGCCCCAGCTAGTGACATGTGGCTGCGTAGCATCTTAAATACAAGTTAACCGGTGTGGTAAATTAATAATTAGTTTAACCAACTAGTATTTCTGTTGCCAACTAGCGAGAGTAGCAACGTTTAATCATTTAGTCAACTAATCACACACATCAAAACTTTAGTTTGTACCCACTTAATCAGAAGAAAAAAATATCAGATCTACTGCTTGGGGTGAGCTGGTTTAAACCCACAATGAACAGAATGCTCTTCAGAGTAAAGGTTGGTTTCTCTACAACGTGCCTCTGAGCCACATATAAAAAGTGTTCCACTTACTGTAGTGACTTCCCATTGAGCACAGTTGCTCTCAGAAAAACAAAATATTTTACTAAGAAGTCTTTATTTCACTCATGGTTACCACAGATTTTGTCAGTTAAATAAGAGCAGTTCTCTGCAGTACATTTGTGTATAGCTTGTCATCTATTTGACAGCTAACCAATGGTTTTCTTTCCAACTACAAAAAGCAAAGCGTGCTACTTACTGCCAGCACTGACTGCAAATTAGTGGTGCCACCATCATTAGAAATGCATTTCACATTTTTTGAAAAACAACGTCCCTGTACTCCTAAACACACCTGTGTGCTTTCATCGTGGAAACCCTCTAAAAAGCTCTCCAGCAGCTCATCGGCGTTGTCAATGCGCTCAGCGTACTCTCCCACAATCCAGATCATGGCGGCACGTGCCTCCGGCTCATCCAGGGAGTCCAGATTTTCACACAGAGTGGCAATCACACTCTCATACCTGAGAGCAGTCACATGAAACAACAACATGCATTAAGACTTTGCAAATGTATAAGGAGAGACAACAAAAATAAACAATTACAGTGGGAATTACAGTTATTTACTTAAAGTTGCATTAATGTATTTTTGGCCACTAGGGTCAGCAAAAACAACAACAGCAGATAGAGCAACATTAGCATTAACCTGGAGCTGTGTTTTCTGTCAGCATGACAAATGTAAATCCAATTCTCTCTCTCTCTCTCTCTCGTGTAGTTGTTTTTACATCACTGCCGATCAGAGCCAGAGATGATAAATACCCGTGACTACTGGGACTGAATGCCGATTGTACCCTTTCAAGGGTACAAAAAGCCCAGGTCGTAGTGAGTTTTTGACCTGTGTAAAAGGGGCTTAATAGTCACTCTCATAGATTTGGTTTGGTCATTTGGTCATTCATTTACTAGATGCTCAACCAGCTGTTTTCTGCCGTGGCTAATGAATTTCTGTGGTTGCGGTATCATAGAGCTCAAGGCCTGAACCATGCCAAGGCGTGAGCTTTGCAAAGCCGCTCCTTTGGAGCCTCACAACCCCGGGGTGACGGTCTACTGCTGTGTGGCAGAGGTTTCTGTCTGGCACATGAATCCACTCTGTTGGAACCACAGCAGAAGTCACACTCCAGCCAAACATGCTTGACCTTTGACCAGGTGCAATCCCAGCAGGGTGCTAAGTGCTATCCACTACAAACAGACACTCTGTGCTACTGAGGACAGTTTTCTTCTTTAAAAGCTAAAAGGACTTTTTGTCTGTGTAACTCTGCCAATGTAAAGACTACAAGAATTTATAGTGAGAGTCAGTGAAGTGAATGTCGGGTTATCTGTTGGTGAATAAAATGTGTGAGTAAGTACTACAACAATTAATGTATGTTAGATAGCATGTAATAGGTCATAACAATGTCATATATCTAACAATGTCTTAATGCGAATGGCCAGCCTATAAACTTAAGTGCTTGGTCAGACTTCGATATCGGTGAAGTGTATGATAAATGTTATATTTTGTATGAAGAACGGCACTAAACAGCAACCTCAAACTAAATTTCCACAGGTGCCCAATTCTGTCACATGTACCAAATACATAATAAAGGACACGCGTTACAGACTAAAAACCTTACTAAATACATCAGGTGTTGAAAAATGAGAACACTTACGTCTAAGAGGGAACCTACTTGTTAGGGTACTTGCGAAAGATGTCCTTGATGACCACTATGGCCTCCTGCACAACATAGTTGACCTTGGTCTGGATGAGGTCCAACAGGGTGCTGACACAACGCTCTGCTGATTGCTAACCATAATGGAGAGAAAAATGATCTGACATTATGTGCCTATACATTATATAAAAAGTACACATATATTCATATAAAATAAATATGTAATATATATAAAATCTATGACATCTATGTGGCCTTTTATCACTGCTTTATCTTTGAACTACATAGCTGACACGAGGACTTGAACAACCAAGCATCTGACGACAGTATTACATCATGTCCACCCACCTCTACTTTGATGGCACAGCGGCCAATGGCTCTGACCGCTTTACGGACAAAGTCCACATCCACCTCAGTGGCGTACTCCTTCAGCTCAGCCAGCACCTACAGCAAGACAGACACATATCCATGTCACTCACATAATCTTGTTAACAATATTTTTTCTTTCTTAAGTGTACCAAAAGACAACAATGTATTACAGCTGTGGGTGTGATACCTGGGCGATGTTGGCTTGAGATGCAAGGCGAATCATAATGTCCAGCTTCTCCAGTTTGACATAGATTGGGTCATTGTACTTTACAAAGAAAACCTTCATCTCATGTTTCAGAATCTCTGGGCTAAAAATGGACAACAGACAATAAAGCAAAAAGATCTGAATGAAATTCACCAAGCTACAGTAAATGCAACTTTTATTAGGGGCTGCTATTTCCAATGTATGAAGAATAGTAAAGAAACCCTGTCCCCAGGTCTTCTCCCCAGACTTACCGTCTCTGTACGATGAGATTGATGTTTCTAAGCGCCACATATTGCAACTCGGGCTCAGCGGAGAGTAGAGTGACCAGTGGAGGGGCGAGCTTCTTCAGCAGGGTGCCATAGTAGTCCAAGTCTTTGGGCAACATCTCCATGAACTTCATTAAAACTTTGACTGCTGATAACACCACTGCAGAGTTGGCATGGGAGAGCCGCGGGGTAACACGCTCACAGATGCTAGCAGATGTTAATGATATTGGGAGGCAAAGAGCAGAAAATTAAATTGGAGTTCACCGTGAATATGTGCTAAATGACATGCATTGTTAATGAAGGCAGTGTTTGCTTTTACCTTTGGGACTCACGATCATCACGAGGTGTGTAATTAGCCAGGCAGTCAAGAATGAATATCTGTCCCCACTCTGTACACTCATTTAAAGCTGTCAGCAACTTGTTGATGGTCTGGGGGTTCAAGTCCAGTAGATTACTGTTGGGATGAGACTCGGCTATCTCGGACAGCGCTGCCACTGCGTTTGCTACAACCTAAAGATGAAGACAAAAGAACAGATAAATGCTGACAGAAATAGTAGGGTCCAACACTTACATTAAGATATAAAAGAGAGGTCACTGTACTAACACCATTCTGGCATCATGTTGGGCATTTGTATGCCAGCACAGGGCTTATCAGTGAAAGGCAGAGCTGGGGTGTGTAGCCAGCTGTGTCACCCGGAGTCAGAAATCTGGCTGGCTCAACAGCCAGCTAGGAGTCATACCATGGGGTTGGAGTCAGAGATGAGGTCTTTAAGAGTGTCCAGGAAGCCTTGGTCCTCCACCAACTGGGCATTGATATCATGGAGCTTTGCTACACACACGGCAGCCGTCTTCCTCACATATGGGTCTTCGTCCTTCAGACATTTCCTCAGTGGCTCGCAGAGGTATTCAGTGATCTTGTCCACACGAATGCAGCCCATTGTACGAACAGCAAGGGCACGAATAAGAGGGTTGGGGTCTTCACAGTCCTAGATGGGTGAATCGGAGAGATGATTTATTTCTCTCTCATCACACATTAATTGAGAAGCATTTTGATATCGTTTAACATTTGTTTGTATTAGCATTCTGTAAAGAACAAAATGATCATATATTGAGGTGTCACCACTGTTGTAGGATGATGAGAGGGAAGAAAGTAAAACTAAACTGATACCTTAAGGTTTGGTAATTATCTCACTAACGTCAGAGATTCAAGAGGGAAATTACTTTAAACAGCTGCCCAAAGCAGCATGCATGAGTAGGTTCCAATTAGTAAGGAGAATATTTATCTTTCCAATCAAACAGTGCTGCACAAAGCACCTGTATATAACAAGAAATTCCTGGTATCAAGAGTTGGTCCAAAAGGTGAAATTCTAATAAAATTCTCAACATTTATATTATTTCCTGATAATTTTCCAATAAAATTGAGATTTCCTTTAATACTTTTATGTCTAAAATCAATCATTGGACAAGTTTGCAGAGTTCACATACCCTGTTGCAGTACTGTGCCAAACAAGCTCTTACTGCACAGATTACTGCACTTTAAATACAAACTGATTATTTCATACAGTTTCTAGTCTTTTATGACAGACTGACATTTACCTTCACAAAGGTGTTAACAGCCATGATAGCCATGTCTGGCTGACTCTTGGCATAGTTCATCAGGTAGAGGTAGACCAGCTTTTTCAGTTCCAGGTTGTCCGTCTGCATGCAGTTCACAACATCTGGGAACAGAGCGCTAGAGGAGGCACAAGATTTCATGTGAAAATTGACTCAAAATGGAAGGTGATGAGTTACAGTTCATAATTCCAGTTTGGGATGTTTCTGACATTGTCTTCCCTTGCTCACCTGACATCCTTGCCAACTGTCATAGATGCAATGACCTTCTTTACGGCCTCTTTCTTCTTCTCCTTCTTATCACTGTTCAGCTCTGCCTTGAGCTCGAAGATCTCCCCTGCACACAGAATAAAGAGGGAATCATTCATCTCGTAATCCATGTGTGATGGAGGGGGTGGAGAGGAATACTGTGCAGCAGTGCTCTCTCTTCACATATCACAACATGCACACTTGACTGTGGATAGCGTCCTCTTGTTTATCAGAACCCCTCATTCCCCTGTACTTTCTCATACTTGTGGGTGGTATTGATTATCTACCGTTCTTCCCTTGCAATATCTAAAACAAAAACCTGTCCATATAGTTATGCTGTTATTCAATCATGAGTTAGCACAACACTGACTTTGGTGATAAAGGAGACACTGCATCCTATGAGCCTTCTGGTGGTCCAGTGATAGAGGGCTTATTATAAAGTCGTGGCAGAACATGTTCACATTATTAGTAGCTGAACAGCAGCAGACTTATAGCGCCAATAAAACAGCAGATGGGAGTGCACGAGTCATGTTCCCTGACCGTTAATGGGTGGAGCTGTGCAATTATTCAATAAGATCTTTTGTGAACTTTCTAAACAAAACTTGGCATTGAGATTCTTATGTGTGCTTTGTCAGCTATAGTGTGTGACAATGGAGCAATGCATTGAATATCATTTTAATTATGAGTTTTTGTATATCTTTGTATCTTGATATATAACCCATATCAGAAAAATATTCGTATTAATATCAAGAATTTTAACTACACATCACCCAGCAGGACTTGTAGGTATTGTTGAACAGATGATAAAAGTATGCAAGTGCAGGGACACCTGCTGATATCTATGGTAGTCAAGATGCCAATTGTTTTCCAATCATTGTGACTGCCTAAGGACACAATGTAGAATCTGAACTGTGAGTGTAGCTATTGAACAAAGCATAATGTCACCATGTGAAACTCTCATGAAGGATGGCAAAGGAGATGTGTTTGTTTATCCATTTCTGCTAAACTTAGTTTACATCTCAGTGCAGTGTTCCGATGATGCCTATATACACATACACTGTCAGTACACTGTCAATTTTGGGCTTGAATTTGAATCTACCTGCTTAGTTTCCCAGGCATTGTAAAACCTTAATCACTCCCCATCTCCTTCAAGATGTTAGTAACAGACTGCACACAGCGACAATCAAATCCACAGAAAAAACAGATACTGAAAGAAACATGTTCCTACAGTGTGTCTCAAGAAATCCTAAACAAACATAAGGAGTCTACATACTATCACTCATAAGTATGTGTTTGCATTCACTAAGCCTAATGTGGGAACATGCACAGTTCTAGGATGTGTGAGAGCAACCACAAAAATACAACAGGAGGCACAGCAAGACAGTTAAATCTCTGAGAGCTAAGGCTCAATATGTCTAATCTGCTTTACAGAAACTGAGCTGTGAAGCTCTTGGCAACAATGTTGATGCAAAGCAGGGTGATAACTTCTTTGGTTAAATGTTTTTCCAGCTCTAGTTAAAGTCAGTCAAATGTATTCTACAACTCAAAGGTTATCAAAATATGTATTTATTTGAACCCATGAATCTTACACTGAGTAAGAATCTTTGGCTTCATTGACTGAATGATCATGAATGTGTAATGCATCATGTTGCTGGGAATATATCCAATATTTTTTTTTCTGAAATCACTGAACAGCTTGAAGTTAATTGGACAAAATAAACAATCTGGAAAAAGACTAGGTCTCTCTTTGCAGAGATAAAAATTCAGCACCATCCAGCTGAAATCCACAAAGCATTTCTTAAAGAACAGTGCATGGATGCTAGCAACACCTGGAAACTGAAAATAATAATAACCATCTCTCTCATAATTTAACGAATAGTAAGCTATCAGACCTTTCTTGGTGGTGGTGAAGTACTTGGAGTCCGTCATCTTGGATCCAAATTGTCGATTTTCCTGCAAAAGAGAGTGAAAAGATGTTTGTGAAATCTTTTCCTGAGTGGAAACTTGGGAGCACCACAAGAGCAAGAGGAAATACTAGAAGTGCAAGCACAGGGAAATAAAAGGAATTCCTGTCTTCTCCTGAACAAATGGCAGTGATCTATCAAAATAAAAAACAATGGATTTTGGTGAGAAAACAGACACCAATATCTCCTCTTTCTTGGTCAGCAATATCCCTTCTACTGAGCAGCATGAAAGGACACGTATTTCCTGTTGTTGATTTTCACTTGATCCAGCACCTCTCTGAAAAAGATATTCTCCCAGTTATATAATAGCACTTCCTGCTATGAGATTTGAGCAATAGAAATTCAGGGTAAGTGGTGAATCATTCTCCTGCTATAGGGAAAATAAAAGCCAGATTTTTGACTAAGACTTATTTTGTCTTATGGAGTGTAGTGTATAGATAAGAAGCATGTAGCTTGTGTGCACAATCATTACACTTCATATTATGCTGCCTTTGACTCCTTTAAGTGTTACTGCCACAAACGAAACTTGATATTTCCCTGAATGTACTGTGAACATTCTTGGTTACAATGTTAATAGCAACACATACTGCTGAGATTTGTGATGCTTTTTATTATCTTATTGTTATAAATATAGACTCAGTTGGCAGCTTATTATAAGGTACACCAAGCTAAAACTAATCCAGTCTAATACAACAGTCCTGCAATAAATCCTCCTTCGTGAAGGTTATGATTTTCAGGTTAGGTTCAATCTGTTTCAGAGAGGTGTTCATTCAACTGTCTGATCATTTTGCCTACCCTCATTGATTTTTTCAACAGCACCACAAACTGCAGCCTCCAAAATGACCTTAAAGTGAATCAACTCCTCTCTGAAACAGTTTTGACACAGGACTGTTGTATTAGATTGCATTAGTTTTAGCTAAATGTACCTATTAAACTGCCAACTGAGTGCATGGTATATGATGATACTTTATTACCATAGTACAAATACTGATGTAAACCAGTTGTCTGTTCAGAATGAAACATCTAAATAAGAGTTGTCATGGCTAATAATTTAATCAATTCAAATAACTTTCCATTTATTCAGATGATACCATAGATGGGTCTTTGTTAAGCACAAATTTCCCTTGACCATAATCCATACACCTATATAACACTAACAGCATTTTATTGATAATACAGTATCATTTATGAACTCTGCCTTAAAATTAAAGCAATTTACTTTACTCTAAATAAGATTTAATTCAAAGAAATAACTTGCAGGAACAAAGAAGATAGCAGGTCGTTATGTAAACTGTTTATACCAAGTTCATAGCAGAGGCATGACAGTTATAAACATTAAATTGCTACTAGTGACAACAACAGTGAGTGGCAATTTCATTATTTGTTGAGCCTCAGGCAACTGAACACATCAGACAGGTTGTTAGACCCAACTTAACCAGACATGATGTGAACACAATTGTCGATGCAACAGCTACACTGAAGTTAGTTAGAGGCAATTAATCCTAACCCTAACTTCTCTTATATTTTGCACCTCTTGATGTGAAACGGTGCTACAGTTAAAGCCTCAATGCTTTTGAGACCCAAATTTGTGAAAGAAATTTATCTATGAAATCAAAAAGTAAGATTTTACTTCTAGACCACATCATGCATGTAGAGATTTTAAAAAATAAAATAAAAGTGCACTAGAATTTGACAGATCATGACTAGATTATCCCAGACAAGCCAAACGTCATAAACTCTTATATATACTGTATAACAGTCTCAGATTTGTGAAACCTTTATTCTGTTTGTGAAAATGTAATATAAATAAAAATAGCTTCATTCAGATCTAGAGCACAAGTCTATATATAGAGCTTTTTAACTGGACCTGGTCTCATGTGGTCCAGATATGAAAAAAAGTAAAATCGCTATTTTTGAATTTTCACATTTTCAGTAGAATAACGGTTTCATAAATTTGAGACTGAATCTTAAAAAGGTCTTTGGCTTGTCTGGGTTAAACTAGTCCAGATCTGACAGGTCTAACTATAATGGACTTTGATGTAGATCTGGTCCAATGTGGTCTAGATGTGAAAACAGCAGTGAAATTTCAATTTCTTGTTGTTTTTACCCATTGCAAAGTGGGTTTCAAACAGCGTCTCCTACCCTTTGACAACAGTAAATTGCAACCCTTCGTTCAGGATTGTAATTTAATATTTAAAAAGTATGTTTCCTTATATTCTCCCTAACTAACGAATCGGAAGCTAACTTCAGCGTCGTGTGGCAACACGAATTAGCCGATTACAGTACGTTTGTACGATAATACACGCTGCTACTATGTCATACTGACACTGAACTGGCAGTGTAGTTTTATATAGTTTGAAAACTAACAGTGTGAGTAATTCACACTTACTGACTTTGACTTAAACCGCTAATTTAGCCACAAAGTACAGTAAACGTTCGCTAGCTGGCTAGCATCAGGCTACAATGACGTTAACGCTAGCATAGCTGGAGGTACACTAAAATATATGTGACTGTAGCGTGAAGTTAGGTCAATTAGTGCCGATAGTTATGTAGTTAACGATGCTGCTCGATCCATTACTCACGCATAGCTGATTCGCCCATTCCTGCATGTTTGCGGCAGTTAAGGTACGATGAATGAAACTGGTGCTAACGGCTAACTGTGCGGTGCAGGCTGCTTGTCAGTGTCAGCTAGCGCCTGGCCACTTCTCCAGCTAGCGCAGCTGAGGCATGACCTTCTAAGTAGAGGCTTAAGGAAGCCTTTGCCGGGATAGTTAAGCTCTTAATCTATCGGCCCGGTTTAAACCTTACCCAACGAATTAGCGTACCTTCTGGAGTTAAAATTAGACTCGCCACCCAATGAATTTGGAGAGAAAATCTCCACAAACATCTTACCGTGACAGGCGTAGCAGTAGCTGTGATGGCCTTCGTCCCCTCCCACTTGATTTACTTCCGTCTTTCCACTAAATATCGTTTGCAAACAGACGAGCAGCGTCAGGTTTCACATAAAGAGGGTCGTTCATAATGCTGGGAGCCCAAGTGGTTCAATAACTCTATCAACAATATGTAATTTTCAGCACGTCGAGGAACAGTTTCTGTACTCTTTGGATGCAGCAGGCTACATAACATGTCCACTTACTAAAAGTTGACAACATAAAGATACAGCTACTGATACACTTACTGAAAATAGTCATGGTTCTGTAAATACTGTGTAGTAACATACTAATTTGCCTCAGTTTATAACTAATTTAGTCTAATCCCTGCAAGTGAACTGTACTTATTATTTTACTAGAGGTGTTTATATTATTTTGCCCATGCCATGTATATTAGTTCACACTGCGTTAAAATTAGAGGTGTTTCTTATGTTTTCTCCATCCATTTAAATCAATGAGAGTAGACTAAATAATAGAAACACCTCTAAAATGACCATAAAGTTGAAATAACAACACTCTAAAACAGTTTAAACAAAAATTGAACACTTAACATAACTTTAACAAAGGTAAGATTTGTCTGGACTGCCATTTTAGGCTTGGTCATTTCACTAAATAAATTGGTTAAGTGTAGGTTAAAAAAATCATATTATGATTATCTTCTCAACAAATGTGCAGATGAGAATTTTGAAGGGAAACAAGGTCAGTAATTCTGCTGTCATATGCACCAAGACGGGGCAGGGTTTATGGTATTCGGCTTTGTTTTTTTTTTTTAACATATCCAGACTACAAAATCTACACAAATAGATCATCAGATATCAGCGTACTACACGAACTGTATGATTACACAACAAATAAAAATGAGTAAATCACATTGGGCATGAAGAATTATATTGTCAGTATCCACATACATTTCAGCTTATCTCAAACAGGTGATGCAGGTCCTCCCCCACGAAATCCACACGCAGTCTTTTCTCCACACTGCTCCAATCAAAGCCCCTCATGAAAAAAATGATCAGAGCTAATTCATGAACTTCAGAGGAAAATATTTATTACAAGAACAACTTGACAGCATTTTCAACTTCAAAAAACAGTGAAGTCTTGCAGTATTGCTATTTCATACATACAAATTCCACAATGTCAAGCAATCTGTACATTTAACTTAAGTTTTAGTGAAAATAACATTAGCAAACAAGTAATTGTCTGATCATGAACATTCAGATTTCGCTGACTGGGGGGAGAGTGTTTCATGAAATTTGTGTGCAGAACAAAGAGAAACTATTTCTGTGATTTATTACCAAATGAAATGGCATGTTTGTATGAAGTCACAGTTCACATAACTGGTAGATTTTAAAAAACCAGTTGATCAAAATGCAAATGTCTTCAAATAAACCAAACAAAAAAAATTAAAACAGTTACAACACATGAAAATATCTGGTTAAAAAGTTGAAACCGATAGCCAGTTACATATTGGATCAATGTAGCTCAAACAATACTGATATATCATAAATTAATGTAGGGACGAGGAGTCAGCATTAAATCAAATTATTGTATCTCTGAATATTGCAATACAGCCCAAATATGTTTAGTTTGTCTGTGGGATCATTCCAGTTCTTAAACTGGCAACATTTCGCAGGATTATTTGTGTTTACAGTATAATTTTGAGAAAACTGAAAAAGCTTAAAATGCCGCACCTCATTTGGATTTCCCTTAACATGTATTCACTTACAGTACTTGGGACACAGATGTCACTTGAGCCCAGTGAGACTTGATTACATAAATAAATAAATTAGACCAACAGCACTCCCGTCTTTACTCCAACTCTGTACATATTCCCATACAGTATGTACACAAAGATATGCACACTCTCTATTTTTAACCCATTCACTGTGTCAGTGTCCTGCAAAAAAGTTTTTTGTTCTTTCTTACTGACTGACATTGACTCCACATTCTCTATGACAAATATTTAACCTGTGTAAAACTTCAAAAACAAATGGCCACCAATTTCTCTTAATTGAGTTTTTTGATGTTATGGGGTTTTTGCAGGACACTGACACTTCAGTTCCTACTATTTCACCACTTTCAAATATATTTTACAAAGTCCACACCTGTTAAATACCAAGAAACAGAAGTACTGTAGCTGGAGTCTGGCCTCTCATACGGTTGACAACTCTGTAAGAGCATAAGAAGAGAACCTTGATATCCAGTTACAGTATCTATTATTCATGCACTGTTGCACACATGCAGTCACTCAAGTCAAAATCATTCTTCATCCATCAAACTTCACCTTAACATACCATTGTTACTGGCTCTATTGACTCTAATCAGAACCAGAACATTTCATTCTAAACAGAAGAAGTGGTTTCTTTGTCGGGAATATAGTTTCCTTTTCTTTTTCTTTTTTTTATACTGTGAATAAAACATGTCGTTCTTCAGCCACTAGATGTCACCATACATTGTGTCATGTCTTTGAAATCAATATTCTAAGGTTATCTGGCTTCCGGTGTTTCAAAACAACTAGTAAGATTCAGACGCAATAAATTATATGTCTTTATCTTTAATTGTTACACCTACATCAAGTATAATTTATAATAAAAATTGGCAATGTTCCTCACTTTTTTTTCCCACATTCAGACTCAAACTCTCCAATTTCTACTATCAGAAACAGTTAATGATGGCAATGTAGTGTTACCGAACAGATCTTAGTGTTGAGCAAAAACATTCAAAAACTAACCTGCGAATAAATTTTAAGGCAAAGGGAATTGTCAAGGCATTTCCAACACCAATATTGCATAGCTAAGGCAGCATAGAACTTAATACAGTGAATATGTACATTAAACTGTATATTCAATGCCTTTTTATGTACAAAATACCCACATCTCATGGTGAGCTCATCAACATGTATTTACACATTCATTCTCCTTAGCGTTTGATTTCTGCACATATATTTATATTTGTTCCAGAGTACTGTTTGGTTGGATGAAGAAGTCTCAACGTATCTGTTTCAGTGACAATGACACAAAGTATATATAATATAACCTTCACTGCTCCTCAAGTGTTTGCACTTAATCCACTTAAAAGAAGAAGTTCAAATGTTTTACTGCAATAAACATGTTCTTGAAAATGGGTGACATGATAAGCATTTTAGAAACATATTATCTATCTCGACTACATCAACTGATTGTGAAAAGCTGACATCATACAGTAATAATAACAACAGACAACTGTACAGAGATTGGTAGTGCATGTAATGTTCATAAAGTCACGAGAATGATGGGGATTCCTTTGTCTATGTTACCTATTAGTATATTGTAAATATGTGTAATATTGAGTCATATGTGAAGAGACTGAAAATCACAGTCATCAAACCAGTAATTTGACTATCAAGGCAAGCAGAGATGTTATGGGAAACCACAAGAGGGAGCTAATCGATCTGACTAAAGGTTTAAGGTTTACACTGTGTATAGAGTTGCAGCTTTAAATCTCTGGCACTTTACCATGCCCGTCAGTGGGGCACATGGCATCACATATGCTCTCTCTCTACCTCTCTGTGTCAACCATGAGAATTTCACAAGTGTCCTGCAAAAAAAAAAAAAAAAAGAAGAAAAGAAAGAAAACACACCTCATGATTGGCAAAAGCATCCCCATGCATACAAAAAAAACAACAGTAAAAGTAGTATTAAAGACCATTCCTTTGGTAATAAATAATTTGGCTTGAGTGCAACATAAAAGCAATGTGAACCCCCCGCAGTTATACAGGGGAGAAACTAAGTGATGTTTGACATGCAATGAAAACAGTCTATAGCCCAGTCTTAAGTCTGTTTTTTTTTACACAGTAGTCAAAGTTCATGACAACAACCCCCTGTGTCATACCCATCAGTTTTGTGCTACATCCAAGCTTCAGTGTCCAGGCTTCCTGACTGTCCAGGGTAGGAGCAATCTTTGTTGCCCATGGCTGGGGAACGTGGCTGAGTATGGATCATATCTGCAAAGGCCTGGTGCAGGCTCTTGCACGTGGCCGGACGACCAGTAGAATGGGAGCTCTGAGGGGACAGCGGTGGGGTGTGGCAGGGGGAAAGAGTGTCGTGAGCCTGCAGATCTCTGTAGCTGACCGGGGTGGGGATACGCGAGGGGCTGTTTTCTGGCCTGTTGTCGATGCGAGGCCTGATTCTGCTTCTCAGTTTGTGCTTTGAGATAGGGGCTACCCTGTCTGCCTTCTTCTGCCCTTTCTTAGTCTGCAGCACTTCTCCCTCAGTGTCTCCGTTGGCCAGGGGTGAAGATGGTGGGGGGGACTCAGAGCGGGATTCGCTCAGGCTGAAGCACATGGAAGAGGTTTCACTCGAGGAATCCTGGAAGGAGCAGTCTTCAGAAGGGGGAAGGGGCACAGGTGATGGGCAAGCCTCTGGGGGTGGAAGGTCATCACTCCCGTCACCATTTTCAAGGTCATAAGGTAAGTTTGGCTGGTGATTTTCCAGAGGAACATCTCCTTCAGGGCCTGTGCCCCAGCCAAGCTCCCCCTGCTGACCTGTCAGCCCCCCGGTAGGAGGATAACCTCCATGGTCTCCATTCATATTCCTACAGTGGAAAGCAGGTCTTGAGGGGACCTGATTCATTAAATTGTCTGACTCTGTGTCTCCAAGGCCAGGCAGCGAAGATGGGAGTTCCCTCTCTTCTATGGAGCTCGAGATGGCTGGCAACTTCTTGAGACCCATTCCACGTTCCCCCCAGTGTTCAGGCTCTCCGTGACCAAAGTTGTGTAGTCCTCCAAAGTTGTGTCCATAATGTAAGTGTAAGGGGTCCTCGAGTGGGAAGTGACGGGGATTATTTCTCTTGGATTCCCTGAGGTCAGGCAGAGTTCCTATCTTTGCCCCCACATTCAGGGAGGATGAGGAGGAGTTAGAGGAGGAATAGGCAGAGTCAGTGACATTAGGATCAGTGAGTGTTGGCACTGAATGTGTCCCAGCTCCCTGCAGGCTCGCTCCTCCTGGGGCTTTACTAGACCCTCCTCTAGCCTGCTGTGTATTGGCCAGAAACTCAGCCTCAAAGCTGCGATACAGGTCCTGCTCCCTCTGGGGGTCTAGTGTTGGCAGCATCTGGAAGCCAAAGCCTAGTCCTTCCTCCTCAGGCTCCTGGCGCTCCAGACCGGGCCAGTTCCTATGGTGGCCACGCCCAGCAGAGCGGGGGCCCTGTGACATCCGAGGGGAGCGAGTGGGGTGATGGTGAGAGTTGCGGGGAGATGAGTGTGGTGAACGTCGACCTCCTGAGGTTACCGGTGGCAGTAGTCTACCTTTTCCTATGGAGGGTGAGCGAGGGGCAGGAGGTCTGGGAGTAGTGATAGTCTTTTTGCTGGGGCCGCTAGTGTTGTTCTGGACCCCTTTAATAGGTGAGTTGGAGCACGAGGACGACTGCCTCCTGGCGAAGCCACCACCTACTCTGGGAGAGGATGGGGGCACTTGTTTGACCCGCAGGTCCTCTCGTCTGTCTGAAGGTGGGGGCTGAGGGTCTCTGTAGCAGGAAGCCGGACTCGGGCTGGCATCGCTGGACCGAGTACGGCTAGGTAACTTACTCTGGCTGTGTGAACGTGGAGCATGAAGCCTCCTCGGGCCCTCGTTTCCCAGGGAGCGCCCCCTCTCAGTGCGAGACGTCCGCGCTCCATCAGAGGATCCTTGTGGTGGGTTAGGTTTGAGTATTGGAGCAAGTGCAGCACGATCCCGAGATTGACTGCGTGCACGGGGCAGTGAGGGACGCAGGGAGGGGGTCTGACTTCCTGCTCCGGGCCTCTCAATCATATGCTTCCCCTCCTTGCGGTTGACAAGCAAGACTACTTCTTCACCAGAGCGACGTGAGGCACCACCAAGAGAGTACCGCCCCCCTCCTCCCCCTCCTCCTCCTCCTCCTCCTCCTCCTCCTCCTCCTCCTCCCTTAGATGACGCTGTAGAGGAGTCACTGTCTCCAGATAGGCGTCTTGTCACTGGCAACATTGTCTCCTTATTCCTATAACGTAGGGAGGAGACAATATTATATATTATATTTATAATGATGCCACATACTTAAAAGAAATAGTCCAGAATTTGTCTATCCCAGTCTGCACTCCGTACTCATATTACTACACAGGTGGTACGGGGGGGGCAACATATTGCCTCTGACTCAGCTCCAACAGATTTATCGTAAATATTATCTTCCTTCATACCATGAGGTGACATGTGATGTGCGATGCTGAGGATTTGTGAGAATTTCGCAACCTGCCACTGCCACACACAGACGGTGTTTCTGACCTAAGTCTCGGTGTTTCTTGGAACAGTGGGTAGTGACAGCCAGGGGGATTACAGGGAAGATAAGAACAAGTGGGGGCAGGATTAGAAGTCTTGTAGATTTTCTAACCCAACACACAGCACTGCCCTTTCTCAACCAGACACCACTCCACTGTCACGCACCAGTAAGACCAGCAGGTTTAACTGTATAATCAGCTCATAGTTCACTTACAGGAAGACCAAAACCTAGATAGATTTGATGAGTACAGGTCAATGAAGTGTGTATTATAAATTGGATATTTAAAGACTCAGCAGAGGCTGTTATTTGTGTGACTATGAAAATTTCAGGTGTGCTCAAATATATACTCTTAGTTGTTGGTCATAACATTTAGCCTGTTTCTCAGCTTCATGGTAGAGCATATTTGCCTGTTTTACCCCAAGGTTTATAAATATTTCTGTCATAACTAAAACTTTTAAAGCATCAGAAAACTGTATATGAAGTTGGTGTGTGGAATCCATTATTTAAAAGACCTGTCTGTCAATTAAGAATGACAGCATGTTACAGTCCTGTGTTTTGCATTTTGGTGGTGAGGTTAAAGTTTTGTTTTCATTTAGATCACAGGCTGTGAATTTAATTGGTGTTTTTATTATACCAGACTTCTAAAATTAACCTTATAAATTAGATTTGTATATATTCAGACATGGTCATTTGCCTGCATTGGAGCCCACCTGTTGACCTACTTCCACAGTTAGCTGAGAACAGTTGTCTAGGGATAGTTGTCAGATTAGTCTTCATCTAGTCTGGCACACTTGAAAAGGGATGCCACACCCACACAGGGTTAAATCAGATGAGCTGTTGCCTTGACGTCTGGTCTGAGCCATCCCTCCATACAGAAATGAGCCACACATTGGCTGAAAGCCAAAGTAAACCAACATTCAGCTCCTAATTGTGTCAAACAATGGTGCCCTCACAGTCTGACATAGAGGAAAGGTATGTGAGCAACTAAACTTTTTGCCGCTTCATGGAGAGCATAAGCAGATCTTATTGTTTTGAAATCCCATAGAAACAGCTACCTATGAAGATCTTAACATGCCACTACTCTACTCTCTTATTCTATCAGCCTGCCCACTACCCAGTGGCAGATACGCCTCTCCAGAAGCACATGGAAGAAGACTGATGTGTGGTTTCATTTGTCACTGGCTTCATACTGACTCACACCATCTGTTTGCAATGGCAAGAGAAGAAAGGTTTAAAGCAACAGCTCTCACAGAATCCCAGCCATCATACACCGTCAATAGTTTAATTAACTGAAGGAAAGTAGATGAGAGAGGGGAGTGGAGAGAGGAGAGCCGAGTCAACATGTTTGGGGTTTACCTTGTAGCCACTGGGAGGTGCTGTAGGGTGGCTGTGTGAGACAGATTTATCAGGGCAATGTCACCTGAGATTAGATAAATCTGCTCTGGTCTAATCTGTGGCTTCCTGACATGTTTGTTTGTTGTGTATATGCCCCATTGTTTGTGAGTCTGTGTGTGTGTGTGTGTGAGTGTGTGTGTGTGAGCTGTGTCTGCCTGCCCGTCTGTGGGCAGGAAAGAGCAAGTGGCAGAAGGTGCCCTGCCAGGCTACTTGTGAGAGATTAATTTCTTATCATGGTATCACACTTATCCGCACACTTATCTGCACATTTGCGTAGACGTACACACTCACCTGAGAGGATTAAAGTGGCGGGGTTCTGAGCGGTCTCGTGGCGGCCGGGGGAGAAGAGTACGAGCTGCGCCGGAGTCGGGCTCAGTGTGGACAGAAGTGTTATGAGATCGGCCCGGCCGTGTGGCAGAGGAAGGGGCACATGGAGCAGACGGGGGCTCCATGGAGCGCCTGTCTGGGGGCTTGTAAGGAGCTATGCCATCATTTCGCCAGTGTGGACCTGGGCTAGTGGAGCGGGACGAGTGGGCACTCGACGACTTGCTCTGGCCGCCCTGACCTTGGCCACTGGCTTTAGCCTGGTGGTAACGGTGGGCTGCGGAGACAGAGGTGGTTAAGACAAACATCTAAGTAAGAACGTCAGACCGCCAGCACGATCACCGAGGATAAAAGTCATGGAGAGGTCCTGAAATAACTCATATCTAACCACATCAATGCCATGGAGCTCTTAGATAGCAGCAGTAGATAAATTACTGTTGCTGCTTCTCTAAGCCAGAGTGATGGACCTTTACTTGTGAAGCAAGCCAATCAGAGAAATGCTGATGATCCCACCATTTAGAGAGGACATTTATAGAACACAAAAGGCATATTTCCATAATCACTTATTACTGCATGACATGGCCTCTTGTGGTAAGAAATGTAACACCAATTATGATATCAGATAGTGTCAGCTGTCCGGGCCAGACGGTCACCCCCTGACATCATCACTTCAGCAGCAGTTTGGACAAGGAGAGACAGTCTCACCCAGCATAGTTATGAGCATGTATCACTGTGCTGCTCAAAGTAAGCGTTGCATGGTTAGGTGTGTGGTTTATAGGCAAAAAAAAAAGAAGTCTTTGTGTTGAGATGAGCTGCTACACAGATGTGTTGAGGGATCAGGTAGTGGCAGAGGAATTACAGAGGAGTCACAGTGACCACACACTTTCCATTAGCATTACATCAGTTTCCAGATCTACATTTCTTGGCTGGATGTGATATTGGTTCAGGGCTCAGTTAGATACAAACTGATTGTTGCTGGGTGATGTACAAATAACAAATAAGTCATCAGCAAAAAAATGGAATTGTACACACTATAGTTAAATGTCTGCTAAGACTGAATAACAAACACTGTTTCTTCAATACTGTTGACCTTCACAGTGTCTGCTCCTAGTCTGAATATAGTACATATGACATGAATAATTTGTTTATAATCCTAAAGGTGCTGTGAATTATGCAACACTGAGACTCAACAGTGAAGTTGTTTAGTAAGGGCTTGACGGGGAATAGGAAGTGACCTCACCAAAAGCAGCGCAGCGGCACGGGTCATGCTTGTCCAAATAGTGCTCTAATGTGTCCCAGCCCCCTCCAACACGCACCATCACATGAGTACGAAGGACCTGAGGCAGGAAAAGAGAAAGTAAAGCTTTAATAGATAAACGGAAAGTAACATACACATTTCATGCACAAATAACTTGGCTACAATTTTTTGATATTCTGCACAACCCCGCATACTGCACAAGTCGACAACAGATATGTAATTTCCACCAGCGGGGCAGCTTGCTGAAGGTTGACTGGCCCTCAGTGTTACGTAACATCTAGACGCACCCCTGCCTGTGCCCCCTGCCTTTCCCTCCCCCCCACAACTCCTCTTTCTCCCACATCACCCCCAGCTGCTGCCATTATGAGGGCTGTTCATTGCCTTGCCAACTCACCATTAAAAAGAGTACGGTAGCATAATAAAGAGCCAAAATGCGTGTGTGTGAGAGACACTTTTTTTTTCCTCTCATGCCTCTCAGCTGGCTTCCCGGTGTTTTCAGAGGGTAGAAAGGTGAATTAGCATGGTAACAACTCACCCCTGCTGTACTCTCTGCTCCTCAGCTCAGACCTCAGTCATCATGGAGAGGAGCAGAGAGGAGCAGAGAGGAGAGGGGGCCTGGATAGCCATAACAGAGGGGATTGGTGGATATGTCACTTCCTACTCTCCTCTGCTCTCTGAGGCACACACATCCACAAGATCAGACCAAAGACCCTCACTCCCTCCAGGCAGAAGCTGCCTTCACTGAAGCAGCACACTTTGCCTGATGTGTCAGCTCTGTGTATGCATCCCCTGCCTTGGGTTGTGTAATAGGGTCTGCCAGACACATGTTTTAAAGGTTGTGCCCGTGTCTCTGAGGGCTGGCAAGGCAAAGCCATAATGGTAAATCTGTGTGGGCTGGCACCGAGTTTATTTCCACCAAATCACACGTGGCACAGCATCTCATCTCTGGGTCCCTGACCAGAGAGTGATCAGAGAGAGGCCACAGACAGGGCATGTGCACCAAAGTCTGACCCCCCCTTCTCTCTAATACAATCCCTGCCAATCCACTACAAGTCTTTTCATCGGCCTTGCTCTCCTACTACATTGGATCCATCAAAACAGCTGATCTGCTTATCTCTATCAGACCTGAGAGTATAAACTGCTTACTCTCCACTGCTCTGGCCTTATGTCAGTAACAGGTTTATGGTTTGAGTGATGCTGCCTGGCCGTCATGAGCCAGCAGTGAAAAGCAGGGATGCATGAGTTTCATATCATATTCTTAGCATCACTGTGATATGAACTTCCACAACAAAGGTCTGCTAAGAAATAGCCACACACTGTAGAGGTATAAAGTTGCAACAGAAACAAGAGGAATAGACCCTTTACAACACAGCAGTTTACAGATTAGAATAGCTTATTTTAGCTTGTGCACAGTGTACAGTATACTACAATAGAGGTGTTGTTGTGACATATAAAGACAAGGCTTCATATCTCTACATAATGACTTTGTTATCGTTTTTGACTTTAGGAGTAGCTGCCATGATGGTAGCAGCCACTGGAAATCCAGATAAACAACTGTCTTATTGCAGTGCGATAATTGCATGACTATAAAGACAATTATCGAGGGTCATAAAAAGCTACTTGCACAGTACTAATTTCAGTTCATTCAGTTCATTGTAATGACGTAACAACAGACACCCACAGACACACAGACATGTGGTGTGATGTGAGATATTGAAAGACAAAGTGAGCGATCACAGAGACTGCAGGTAACAACACAAAGATTAAACATTATTGACAAAGGTGACAAAAAGACAAAAGCAGATGTAAATTATATTATTCAGGTGCTATGCTACACTTTTCATGGGTCTAAACTTGCAGCATAATCATAAATTGAATGATCAATTAATCAAAATTACAGTATAAACACTGATAAAATCTTCCTTTTGTTGCATTTTGTTTCACTTGTTCTCATTTCCAACGAGCTTATTACACATTCCATATTTAATGCATAATGCTGCAGCAGCACTGAGGAGTCTGCTGAGGCTCAGTAGATGTTTTGGGACCATGTTGCACTTTGAAGCTATAGCTAAGCAGACAGATTTCCCAACCACTGAAGGGGTATCACAGTCTTCACCAGTGTGGAGAGACCCGATCCCTGTTTCTATAGCAACAGCGAACAGAGAGACTTCTTGTCATCATTGCGGGGGCGGGCTGAACCAATTTCTCCTTGAATCTCACTGGTGAGTTCAAAAATTAAGCTCATGGTTCATTTCAGCTGTTGTGTCCCACGACTGAAGGCATCTCCTCCCTTTAGGAAGCGACCTCCCTAGGGACAAAGATGTCTTATTAACACCCCCCCCACCCCACCCCCAGCCCCCTCTGTTCATATGGCCCCGTTCACCCATTTGCTTTCTCCACTTCATCCCCTTGTTCATCCTGAGATCCTTGTCACAGCTTTGGCAGCTGAATAGGGGTTTGTTGGCTTTCAAAGCGGCTGCCTGCTTCCTGCCCTCAGAAGAATAAGGGAAGTGTGTTGGGTGCACTTGTAGCTGCTTGGGCATATGCATAACCACTGCCATCCCCAGTGAGGAATCAGGAGAGGGCGGAGACAGTATGAACAGAGCTAATCTGACAAGTCAAAGGCTCCCAGACACACACACTCGCGCACACACACACACCATCCACATACAGGCACATTTAAATGTGTCTGTCGCATTAAAATGGCTTCAAAGCTGCAACAGGAACGGTATGAAAATTATAGGGGGTGGAGTGGAGGTCAGAAAGGGGGGCAGATTGTGTATCTTTATTTCTGCTGAAGGGAAGAGCAGTAAAGGGTCTTTATATCTTATTTATACTTCAGCTCTGCCTTGCAGGATTCATTTTTTAAAAAGAAACAAAAACAGGTTACAAATGATGATTTTGTGTGAGCAGTGGGTCATAAATGTGCCATATGCAGAGAACAACAATCCCGTCTCTGTCTCAGGACCTTATTGTACAGTCAACCTAATGAGACGAATGTCATGAGAAACATCAAATACATGTAGCTCTTAATAGTGATCCAACAGATCTAATATAGTGATTAAATGTTATAGCAATTAATAATACTTGCATCTTTCAATTTAGTCTACAGTTAAATGTGTCAGGTTTTATCTTATAGAAAATGGATAGAAAATTATCATTTCACTATATTTGCAATAAATTTAGAAATCTAATTATCTAATCCGTTATTGGTGGTGAATGTGAAAATAATTAATGTATTAATATGTTATGGTTAAAATTAGGTCACACCACCTTAAAGTATTTACGCTTTTGGTGAACACAGTGTACCAACTCAGTATTCTACTGTACAATTTAAACTATGGAGGATGTTTTTCTTTTTCTAGGTCAAGGGGAGGGTCCGAAGAAAACTCAACCCCAACCCAAGAATTGAAAAAAAAAAAAAAAAAAAAAAGTCCCTGACAATTAGTCCTACACATTAAACCTTTCCTTGAATAATTGTACAACTCACTATGTAGAAAATGTAGAAGAAGACAGGGGTATGCCAAACATTTTAGCATGTTGAATGCATCGTGTCTCACTGTTTGACTGAAGTGGTGGTGCTCAACGTAAAGAAATAACTGGCAGCGATCCTGTGAATGCAGACATCTTGGAAATGTACACACAGAATCCATTAATCTGTCTGCTGCACATCTTAGGTAAGTGAGACCAAATCGATCCCTGGTATCAACCAGCCTCCCTGCACAGTCCTCTGAGGCCTGATGTGGGTACAGTGGCAGCTCTTAAGCTGAAACTGAGACAAACACTCCAGCAGAAACAGGCCACAGCCAAGATAAGACCCAACTCAGGAAATGACATAAAGCTCTATTTGTGTCTCAGTGGAAAAAAGTACAGTCCTGGGAGTGGGCCAGATGAAGGCAGTGTGTAAACACTCACAATGCTGCTACATACACGGTACAATTCACTTGGCTTTGATGCAGCGAAGCAGCTGAGTGGTTTATCTGTTGCTACTGTACATAACCTTGCTCTTTTTGAAACAACATATGAAGCCATATGCCTGCACCGTATGGTTCCATGCAATTACTGCAGGCGTCATTGTCTCCTGTGCTATTGGGCAAAGTGGCTTATGCATATATCCAGCTGAACATGTAACATAAAACCGACCTAAAGAATAATTCAGGTTTATTAAAACTAATATTATATTTTTGCAGTTTTGACAGTTTTGCAGTTTATCTTGATCTTGAATTAACTTAAAAAGTGATTCCTAAATCTGGAAATCTGGCAACCAGGCGATCACACATGTACATATGAATTCATAGCAGGTGTTGGCAAACAATAATCTGCAGAAAAAGGTGAAAAAGTACCCGCACACTACCATCTCATTCCTAATTCTTTTTTTTTTCTCAAAATGGAAAGGACAATATTTCGACCACAAATGTTCTTCTTAAAATTTCCCCGAAGAATAAAAGAAGCATTTAGAGCGGGATAGCAGTGGGTGGGGTTTTCTTCATCAAAGCTGATGTAGGAAGTTGATCTGTAACTGAAATAGATCTTTACAAGAGACAGTTTGGGTTATAATTTTACCATTCACTTTTGGTTTTTTCCTCCTCACAATTTTGACCAACCTGGGCGGTTTTGTTTAAAACCTATACAATCATTGTCTGACTTCTTTGTTGTGATGTCACCTTCTTCCCAGATCTCAGCAATTAACATGCTGATTACAGTGTTGTAATTACTGACAGGAATGATGAAACTACCAAAATAAAACCCAATTTGTGATCATTTTAAAAACACCAGTCCACCAGTGTTTGGCAGTCAAAGCTACAACGATGCAAAACATCTTGAATTTAACATTTTCACAGAGAAAATAATGTGCAGTTATTTTCAGATGAAGCAGGCTGTACCTTCGTCTGTAAAAATAAAAAGTGACGCATATCCAGCCATGCAACACAGTGAAAGACCATTCTGCTTGATGTTAAGGTTTCTGGTGGTGACAGCTCACCCTAATGAAGATCAGTGCACTGGAGTCTCCCACTTTGTACTTCCCCTCCGACACCTTGATCATAGGAAACTGAGCTGGACAGGAGCATCGGCCCAGAATCTCACGCACCTGAGGAGAACAAAAACAGGACATTTTAAGAGTCAGAGCACACAAACATGACACACACATCTGAGAGATCCCTTCCTGCTCTTGAGGTCAGTGTACCCACATGCAGTCATGTTTATACTCATATCTGTAACGGTGACCAAAGCACCGCTGGTACCGAGTGCTGTGTGTCAGCGACATAATGACTCTGTTTTATGGTGTGAGAAATGAGCAGTGTTGGCTGCCTGAGTATATGAGGGTGTTGGAGTGCGTGCGTCATCTTCCTGTCAACTTTACTCTCCAAGCACCTACTGAGCGATGAAATGCCCCGCCCCGCTCTCTTACCACATTAAAAGCCCTGCCTCATCTCATCTCTCGAGAACATTTTGGTAATTTAGTTCACCGCAGAGTGTCACAAAAGCACAGAAATACATGCTAATGAATGATCTCCCTCTCCAGCTCTCTGGCCTGTTACAAGACAATGTTTCTGCTTGTGACATCATAAACTAAGGAGAGAAAGAGCTCGGAAACCAGACTGGTGGTGGTGGTGGTGATGATGTCAGCAGACCTGCGCTGCCAGCTGGGGTTTGAATCGAGAGCCGGTGCCCTTGCTGTGGATTGGGGGTGCTTATTAGCCAACTGGAGTCAGACACAACTGCAGGGTGGGGCGAGATCCGCCCGTGTTGCACAGGCCCGGGCTCTCGCAGCACTGGACAACTTTAATGTTTTTCTTGGCGTCTCTCAGACAAAAGCGTGTGCGTACTTGTCGACCGGGAGGGAGAGAAAGTCAAGCAGCAAAGTGAGAGAGGAAAGCACAGGAGGAGAGGACGAGTAACTGCTCCATAATTGTGTGCAAGGGCAGCCATTACAAAGAGCAGGAGGGTGTTTTATTGATGTTAAAGTTATAGAGGAACATTTCAGGTTGGGAACTCCCACCCTTTGGCTTTTTAGAGCACCTTTCATACTGTACACATGGGTCAAGGGATATAGCTTGCTTGTGGTGTGTGTGAGCTTGGCCTGCAACACTTACATTATGGTGAACTCAGAAGATTAAGGAGGTACCTTGTTATTTTCTTGAAATAGCACCCTTCTTTCTTTCCCATGCAAATCAAAGAGGAGGAATCAGTACTAAGCCCCAGCATCTCACCTGTCACTCTGTTCCCGCTCTCACCTGCCTCTGCCAAACCTTCTTTCCCTCCTTTTCTCTCTCATCTGCTTTGTTGTCTTTCAGCCTTTATTATTAGCCTGTGCTCTGTCTGACCAGACCTATATTTGTCTGTCTTTGTTTTGCTTACATTTCTACATCTGCTTGCTCGCTCTCTTTTCTCTCCGCTCTGTCACTCCGTCTTTTCGTTCTGTGTCAGTAGGTGGACGAGCCCTGTTTGGAAAAACCCCAGCCAGTGAGTTAATGGAAAGATTGCTATGGCAACAGACACAAACAGAGAGCCTTACCCTTCCCTTTTTAACTGTACAGTTTGCCTTCTTTCTTTTTTTTCTTCATTCTTGCTATAGTAAAGCCTTTCTCTCGCCCCAGATCACCTCCCCTCCAAGAGCTGTTCAGCTGAGGTCATAAGTTTTCCTCCAGAGGGAAGGTTGTAGGACTCACACAGTCTCATATGAAACACTGAGCAGGATACATAGTCAAACCATGAGGTGTTTTAATAACCCTAATCAATAGCAGCCGTGACATTTCAAGTATTTACTCCGTGGAACCTTTGACATGAAATGTGTGCACTTCCCATGTCTTCACTGTGTCAACAATGGCTACAGTCTGGCCGACACACTGAAACCAAAACACACACGCAATCACACACTGAAAGAGAGAGAGATAGAAGGGGAGGAGCGAGACAAGGTCACGCAGGAAAACTGCAGAAGTGGAGCTGGAACACTGAGAAAAACTGAAGGATGAATTATGGATGCTGGCTGGTCACGCGAGAGACACTTTCAGCAGGAGCTGCAGATGTTTGAGAAGGAAAAGGGGAGAAAAAGGAACAGCGACTGAACAATCCACAGCACGCCCCTACACTGGAAATCTGCTGCATCTATCTTAAGATAGGAATGCAGAGATGTTTGTGCAAGAACTGGGAGAGAAACACTTTCATTATCAAGAAACTGCTGCAGCATTCCCATTTGTCTCCACGCAGTTTAATGTACAAGAACATATACAGTACATATTCCTTTAATGATCCCACTGCTCACATCACGTCATATCTGCTGAGTGTGAGTCAACAATCTCTTCATTCCTTTCCTTCCTGACCTGCTAACATCTGAAAGAACATTCAGGGAAGAGATAGGCTGAGACTGAGGCCTGAGCAAACCCTGGGGATGAAGAGAGGAAATGGGAGGGGGAGAGATAAAGATGTTTAGGTTTGATTCCCCATTTTCTTTACTGATATGTATTATGGACTAGCATGCTACACTAAGACTGTATATCATGGCTTAATATAATGGTATCATAAAAAAAGAATGTACAATGTTGCCAATATTGTTTTACTCTAAGTATATTTGTTGTCATGTGATTTGGATTTATTGGCTGTTATCATGTGAATACACATAATATAGTTCAGGTTTTCAGACTGGGATCCAATTTTGATAAATACACTCTAAGAAGCCACTCATCCATTTGAATATCTGTGTGTTCTCTTCATGACTCAACAAGCTGTGTACAACTACAGTTTGCTGTGGTGCTTTCATCAAACATAGGTGTGCTGGCCTGCTCTAACTGGTTCCTTTCATGATCGCTGTGCGAAGGATAATTATTGCAAAACTCCAACAATAAAACCTGACCATTACAACCAACTCACTCCACGGGAATTTACATGAGGGTGTTTCCAGCGTTTGACTTCTGTGAGATAAATTAGAGTGGAAGAAGTTTATGAGATAACATAAGTGCTTTCAAAATTAAAGAAAATTGTGAGGAATAAAAGATTATATAGCACAGCACATCCATTGCATCCAGGGCGAGATTTAAAAAAATGACAGAACAAAGTAACTCTTCTTCTGTGACGACTGGAAACCTCCCAAGATGAAACAACCTCGTCATCAGATAAGCACAGAGAGGCAAGAAAACTAGGCCACAGGGGGCGCCTGCTTGGCAGGAGGGAGATTTTTGGAACTTGAGGGATTATTGCTTCACCACCCACATGTAAGCATTCCTAGAGCCTGTGAAGGCACACTGAAAACAGCCTACATATCAGAGTCTATCCTCCTATTAAAATGCTGGTCTGACAGCCTGCATAAACAGCTCCTCTGTGGACAACCATGCTACATCTCATAAACATGGAACTGCCTCTTTTGCACAAATTATCTCTTTAAACAACCTCTGGGGTGAAGTGAGGTTATGAATGACTGAATGAATGAATGATAATTATGTTTTCTAATTATGTTAGACCTGAAGTCTGAGGGGATGAACTGGATAGATCATGGAAATTTAAAAAGTATTTAGACGCTGTTAGCAGCTGGTCCAACAGGCCAGACTAGCTGAGACAAGATGGAAAAACAGTGTTGGATAATCGCCTCAGGCTCAGGTACGCCAGTTAGTGCAGGTAACATGGGGAGTACTATGGCCCTGAACACAAATGAAGAATGCGGTAAAGCTATAGTTTGGCCTTTTGACAGATACATTTATTTGTTTTTTTTTTAAGTAAGATGAGAAGACTGAATCCATTGTCACATCTGTCAGTTAAATATAAGACTACAGTTTATCTAAGTACAAAGTCTGAAAACAGGAGGAAACAGCTCACCTGGTTCTGTCCAAAGGTCTCAAAATCCTCCTACAAGTATCTCTAAAACTCACTAATTAACAGATTGTATCTTGTTTGTTCAATTCATTAAAAACCTGACGTGTGAACTTCGTCTTTTTACAGGGGGTTATGTGGCGGCTATTTCTTGGCTGGGAGCAGCAACTTCCTGGAGTATTTTTTTATTTATATGGCAATATAAAAAGCAATTTGGTTTACAAACAAGATGTAGTGTATTAATTAGTTAGCTTTAGATGTGCTGGTGGATTGTTTTTTGTAAACTTTAAACTGAGTTGGGATAGCTGTTTTCCCTTGTTTCCAGTGTTTATGCTAAGCTAAGAAGCTCCTGACTCCAGCTAAATATTTATCAAACAGATCTGGCAGTAGTTTTGATTTTCTCATCTAACTCAGTGCAAGACAGCATATATGCGTATTTTCCAAAAATATGTGAACTATTCCTTTGACTGTTTTCTTAATAATAAAATGCTTTTTATAATCTGTGTTGTATGTTTGACCGGGGTAAAAAATGCAATCATACTTGCTGCAGGGCAGACATCATCCACTGCCTCAAGAAAACCATTCTCTGAAAATCGATGTTTGTCTTCTGGCCTCATGACAAACAGCCCATCAGGGGCTGGGAGGATATAAGAATCTAATGGACGTCAAGAGCTGAGAGGTGAATAACTCCATTATTCATCTGTTTCAGTCAAACAGCAATGTAATCATTCAGTGCACGCAGCTAAATATCAGGCCAGTGTCTAACTCATTTGGCTCAACAACACTCAGCACTCTCCTTGTGACAGGCAAGGTTAGAAGAATTGATGTCCTTCTGAGGACTCTCGTCTCATTCGGACAGCGTCCACCTGAGACCAGCTTGATGAGGCTTGCAGGCAGGGACAGGAAATACCCAGACTACTCACACAGACACACACCAAATTAAATGATAATCATGCAAAAGATCCGCTGATAGCATCAAGCGCCGCAATAAAAACATAAAGTGGGCAATATGCAAAGTGTGGAGTCAGCTGTTTCCACATGCACCCTGCTGCATGGAAAATAGTGGAGTGAGATCTGGTCTGTCCTTTTACTATGCAAAGCCTGGAGGGAAAAATAACCTTTAAGATACTAAACTCCTAAAATCATGAGTGCGTGTGATACCGGAGGGAGAAATACTGAAGGATGCCACAGTCTCTCAGCTAAGCGTACAAGTGTGACCCAATGCAAAACATGATGACCTACTTTTCCCTTTCACTCTCTCTACTGTAGCTCTCCCTCTCAGAGCAACATCCATTGCAGGCAGGTTTAACAGAGTGTACAGTAAAGTCACTCTAGGCGCACTCCTGCCCACTACTCCTCTTTTATTTTTATTTCCTGAATGCATGAATTGAACCATAAGGTTAATGGAGCAGAGTGGCCATACATTCACAATATACACGTTTAGTGTCTTTATCACCCCTCCCCTCTGCTCTGGTGGTGTTTCCATCCGAAGATTGAGATGTCGGCCTTTGATTGCCTCACTGCCAACAGTGGCAGTCTATATTTTTCCTCTCTTCCATGCCATCAACAAGACATATTGTTCTGCTCTTTGCTTTTATCATCTCCAGCAGAGTCAGAGGTGGGGGATGGGAACGAGGGCTCGCACATATATGAACTAAACAAGGGCTGAATGTTGAAGCCTGGGGTGAGAAGAGATATGAACCAGTTTATGTGATTGAGCAGGAAGAAGGAAAATTGGAGAATGAAGGAAGCCGACAAAGGCCGTGAAGCTCTTATGGTCTGTTGTTTAGATGCCTATGCATGGAGTAAATGTGAACAATTGGAGTATGCATTAAGGGGTCAGTGAGTCTAATTTTAATTATTATAAATATGTCAGTATATAAAGCTACTGCATGTGTGTTTTCAACTAAGGCCAGGGCCTTAGTGCAAGACCTAGCAAATAGAGAAAAAGGTTATTTGTGTACGTAGCTGACCATGTTCCTTTGCCTAAGGCTCAATGCAGCGTATAGGAAAATACTGATTCACTCGAAGTCGCTGACATAATCCCTCTCTAGTGGTGATATGAAAGAAAATCCCATAATGCAAAGGATAAACTTTATGTTTATGTGGATATACATTATACAGCAATATGAACCAGCTGCTGTCTGCACCACTCCTGAGACAAAGCAACTCCGGGAATGGGAAAAAGACTCACAAGTATATCAGTGACTCAAGCTATGATGAAGGAAATGAGACGCCAGCCACTTCCTCAACTGTAGAGTGGAAAGCCGTCCCACTGTGAGATGAGTAAGAACATACGTAGTGGCAGATCAGCGGGAGACTCAGTGGTGGTGAGTATTTACATGAGGGCGTGTAATAACCAGGAAAGTAAACTGGATACACAACAGCTATACTTAAGATCAAATACCTATTCTATCCAGCAGCTAGTTGATGTGACACAACGTAACAAGTACAATTAGTCACGTTACTGTTACATAAGCCAAGTACCCAGGGTGAAATTGTAACTAGTAATAACTGATGATACGCATTTACTGTGACTGTTGAATAGCCAGATGCCCTAAGAAGGAGCTGTACTTTGAGTGATGACTGTCTGTTTATACTCATTAGAATAATGACCTGTAATCCTATTACTGCTACGCTTGTATTGTCTAAACAAGAAGATTAGTTTGATCATCCAACTACCAAACAATGAACAGAACACAGAGTTGCTAAATGTACAAATCTTGTTAAGATGTTACAAGCTGCATGAGAAACATATGCCAAACTTTTCAAAACAGTACACCAGAATTTAAAGTTGCTCCTAATATGGGATTCTGAATGTTAAAAATACAGAAATAAATATGACCCTATATACACCTGTCTGATCAAATTGCCTTTCTCCTAGTAGCTAATAGACTGCAACATAAAATACTTGATGGTCATGCATACACTGTATAGCTCACATGTGCTACTTGAGTTTTGATTGGATGTGAGCATCCGTGGGGGTGTGTATACATGGAATGACAATGTCCTGGATTCGCGTATAACCAGTGATCATAGGTAGATGTTACCCTTCACCATTTGTTGGCTCATATTAAGGTTTCTGTAAGAAAATATGATACATATAAATGGGAGCTTAACATTTGTAGCATCTCATTTTGCACAAGCATCTGAGGCTGCTGTTGGAGTTAACGGCCTGGTAATTAATTGATGACATTTCATCAGTAATGTTATTGGATATGAAAAGGCAGGCAATTCATGAATAGGTTGATAATTTATGGGTTTTTTTTTTAAAGCAGCTTCAAAATTAAGTCATCACAAACGGCATCTCAATACTTTTTTTACTGACAAAAATAGGTAAATAAAATGAAAACAATAATCATTAATAAAAGAAGGGGGAAAAAAAACATCTGGTGAAATACAATCCATCTTGAATGATGCAGCAAAGTCGCTTTTGCCTGCAGGAGTGAGGGTCGCAGACACGCAGTCTGTGTCACAGCTGTGGACCAATGACACTATTCCTCTCTCTCGCTGTCAGATACTCATGCCTACGAGCAATGAGGTTTCCAGTAATTACAAGACACTAATCTCTTGCGAGGTCTCTACATCAGACAGAAATACAAAGACAAGTACACAAGCATTCTGCAGGATAAACTTGTGACTGATGTCATGGAGGACCGAGAGGCCTGGTGTTGTGCAGTACGAGCTGAATGGGTCGCTGATTGAAGCAGATATTGACCAAACTATTTAAAGAAAGATGAACACATTTTGATTTTTTTTCCTGGTAAATATGCACCAGCGCAGGAAATTGAGAGGTATTCAGTGGAAGTATGTCTCACACAAAGTCTAGGACACAAAATGAGAACTGGACCAGAGCTGAAGTCATTAGACAGGATGTGTTGGTACAACAAACACTGTAAAATATCCCCATTAATACTGTACTATTGTGAAACTGCGGCCTCTCTTCTTAGTACCTCTGTGGTTTCTAGTTTGAAGAGCCTCATGTTGCTGATGTGGACTGTTGTGCAGCGTACATGCAAGCAATTTTATAAGGGCTGACAGGGAGGATGGAAGAGATTTTATTTACCAGACACATGATGACTATGGATGCCAAATCCTAAATCAGTCAAAGGCTGGGACTATCCAACAGATGACACTGTGTACGACATGTGTGTACGTGTACTGAGGAATGCGTTAGTGCCAATGACAGAAAAGGGAGGGACAGGCATACGCTCTGTAGCTTTCCTGGGATCTTTTTGTCCCGAAATGTAGTCGGCTTGTATAATCCTCAGCACTCAGTCATATGAGTGAGAGTGTGCGGACTCAGACAGTCTGGATACGAACAGCGCACATCCTCCTCCACATGCTCTCCTATTTCTGTCCGCAGAGGTCAACAGTGGAAGCGCTCTGCTCTGCTGCCTGGACAAGCATGAGTGTGACTGTCAACTGTCTCCCCTCCTCCCTCTCTGCTGTCCCTCACATCTTTAGTGTCAAAGATGGACATTGTTCTTCTCATCAGCATGAAAATATTAACTTCTCCCCCGCTCACAACCCGAGCATGTGTTCTGCTGGTCGGCCTGTCGGCCTGTCTGCTCATTGCTTTGGCCTAATGAGATCTTTGTCGCTCTCGTGTGCTAATGTCCAACACGACCAGGCAAAGGTCAACCAGTTCAACTGAACAAATGACAAGAGTTGATGTTTTGAATTCCACAGAAACAGGAAGTGTATTAGAAGCAACATGTCAGAAGACAGATTTTTAGTAGTGTAGACAAAGGAGCTGCAGAGGTAGCACACAATTAACAGTCTATCTCGCCTGCAGGATATTGTATTGATTATTCTTGATGGACAAGCTAAATGAAAGAGGCTGAGGGTGACCGTCAACAGGGATGAAAACATTTCAGTCTCTGGCGACCTCTCTTATCGAGACAGAGCTGACATTTATGCAAGAATGCAGGAGAAATGTCACCAAGTTGACCTGTGACTTTTCAAAGTTCTCCTGAGGGAGGAAACAAGAATTTAGGTGTCAAACACACACTGAGCCTACAGGTAAGCAGGTATTTAACAGCACAGTCCAAAACAAAGTTATGTATAGGCTGCATGTAGCCTACACACCCACACAACAGGAAATCTATAAGGTGCCTGGCCTCTTCATAGCACCTACATGATCTTTTCAGAGAGGGTGCTTTACTTTTGACACATGTCTGTGTTTTACTGTGGGAGAGATTGGTCCTCTCTCAGCTGCTTCATACCTTTTAGCACCAGACAAAACAAACTAGATGTTTACCTCTGACTAAGGCCAGAGGGTGAGAAGCCTGTTGGAAAAGCTACTGTATTTCACAATTATGTTGTGAGTAGTGATGATTAAATTGTGTGAAAACTGAGCTTGAAGATCATGACACTATTTTTGGACAAGTTGTGTGAATCATAGTGTAGTTGTGAAACATTTGGGGTTTCTGTGTCGTCAACTAGGGTTATTCAGAGTAGTTAAATCATAGTACTAATATAGAGTGGCTTCAGATTTTATCTTTTCATTGTCAACTCACCAATTCATCCAAATTTCGCATGTCACATAAAACTCTCTTCTGCTGCCAGATGAACGGCTCTGGATCAGGTTCAATTTCATCCTCCACACTCTGACTGCTCTCCTTGCGACTGAAGCACCTGCTGGGCGGGCTCTGCTCAGCTGGCTCCCTTGCATCGATCCGCAGGCTCTCCTGGTCCCGGATCTCCTCTTCGATCTCCTCCTCCAGCTGGATCAACATGGGGGCCAACATGCCAAACTTGGACCCACGTCGCGCCACCTCAAGGAGACACAGAACAAAATTCTTCTCGTTGCATCTCTCCACCAAGTCGTTGGTCTCAAACATGAGGACGTCCTTGATCCAGAGCTCCTGCCTGCACCAAGTGATGAAATTGGACACGTTATCCCGCGCCACAAACGAGCCGGCCACAACATTGCGCGACTGAAAGACAACATCTTTGGATGGCACTTTCATGGACTGTGCTGCCTCCGGATACTCCATCTGGAAGTCCTGCGCGGCGCGGTTCACGTTGTTGGCGTGCCGACAGAGGGCACAGCCCGTCTCCAGCCCCTCCATAAAGGTGTCCGCAGTGATATCTAAGTCATACAGCGTGTTCAGCCATTCAGCCAAATCCTCCTTCATGGCGTACAGGTATTCTTCACTGGATTTAAAGGGCCGGATACTCTTGGAGGCGGCAGACTGGATGTTGCTCTGATCAGCCATATTGTCGGATTATGTATCAATAAAGTCTACTTGATCATTCCCGATTGTCTCATTGCACAACTGCGCTCCAAAGCCTCATCCGCAAAATACAGCGAAATAACCGTGTTGACGCACCCATGCCGATTTGCATGTGTGGTTTCTTATCGGAGCTCCTTGAAGCCAGGCTTTGTGTTGTCAGAAGCATTTCGGGATGCGGAGTGGCCCTGGCGCATGGATGCGTTTTCCGGATGTCTCTGCAAAACCCGTTTCCTTTAAAGAGCGCATCGCCGGGTCCCGGAGATGCGCGAACGAGAACGAAATCGGAGCAGTCCGGAACGGCGACACACACCCATGCGTCAACCAGTTAATCCACCCGGTGGCCGGTGGGTCCTCTCACCCGAAAAAATCCACGTGTCACCATGTCTGTGTCTCAGAGGCGGCCAGTCAGTCAAGTCAGCTCCTCATCGATGAAATAACGACCACTGTGCTGCACTGAATCCACAGCTCATCTTCCCCGCAAATAGGCTCAGCCCATGTTGCACCGCCTCTCGCACTGAATATGTTGACCTGCTGTAGCTTAGACCAGCAGAGCGACTCGGTGGCACATCCCATTATGAGGGATAAACGCTCGGCAGAGGAGGAAAACTTAACCCCATCTTCACCAAGTCAGCACATACTCTTATTCCCAATAAACCTGAGATGACTGCGGTTATCACAACATTCATTTACCACTACAAGCACATAAATAGTGAACTACACGTTTTGAACTGAGGTCGAAACTCATTGGTCTTAAAATTTACTCTTAATAATATGAAATAAAGCTATACCTTTGCCGCCATTGATTATTGGTCATGAAGTATTAATAGCACAATGTAAAAGTTCGTACCATCAACAAAAATGCTCATAAAGGCCATTTTCAGGATGTATATTATGTTATTGGACTATAACTGTTGTTGCATTGATGTGTAATAGTAGCCTGGTCGAGGTGGAGAAATGGGTGTAGTGATCTATAAGGACTCAATTGAAATGTTGATCTTATGTTTCATTATAAATCTGGAACACCTGTAGTAAAATAAGTACATGCTTTCTTCCTTAAAATGTAAAAGTATAATGGAAATACTCAAAGTACAAACACCTCAAAATTGTACTTGCAGCAAATTACAAGAAATATTTGTGAAACTTATCTTGTTCAATTTTTGTTGAGATGGTGGTGATTCAAGTGTTTTTTTCTTTTTTTTCTTGAGTTGATGCTAGAGTTGGATTGACTGCATTGCATATTTGTGGATTCACGCTGTTTTGTTCACCCTGTGCAAAAACAAGCCATATATTTTTTATGATTTTTCATGAGGGTCAACACATAAGATGGCTTTATAGTCTGTCAATAAGCAGGTCTTTGTGTGGCCTCTTTCCCAAATAGCCTAAAGTGACAAAGGTCTTTAAAGTCTGCATCAGTATCATGAGACAGCCATTGCAAGAAATTCCCTTCCCACTGTATAATCGTACCAATGATTAAAGGATATGATGAAGAGGGTTAAGCTTTAACAGCCTTGCCTCAAACTCTTGCAAGTTTTGTAATGAATGTGTGATTGTTGGTTTGTGAGTGGCATTGCACAAATCAAAGATCTCACAGAGCCTGTAAACCCTGAAACAGCAGGAGATTGGGGATTAGAAGGGGAGATAGTGAGATACACTATAGATGGACAGTGTTATCCAGTCTAATCAAAGAGGCTGAGAACACAGCACAAGACAGAGTGGCCAATTCAGGAGCACATGATCTAAAGTGTGCATGATAGGAAATGTGTCACATACTGCACAACAGAGCTTTTGCTAGTGCAGGGCAGAACAGCAGACTACTTTTAGGGGAACCTTAGAAGGTAGTTAACTTAGAAGTTACATTAACTCAGGAAAAGGTGTTGGATTCCTCCACTTCTTCTGTATCATTGAAAACAATGTCAAAGACCAGAATGAGACTGCAAGACCAACAACAAAAATTAAAAACTTGGGTCAAATATTGGTGCAAGAGACCTGATTTTCAGGTTTTGACGGTAGGTTAGAATTTTGAAAACATCAGGGAAACTTGCTGAGGGTTTTAAAGGCACAGTCTGTGGGCTACTTCTAAACAACCAAAATCTGAAGCACATGATTAGAAACTGCAATGAACCCTAGAAGATCTTTTCATACAAACTCAATTAAATCTAACTAAAACTAAGTTTTTAATGTTTCTGATATTTTTGAAAGTCTGTGTGTCATGTTTCTTTGATTATTTATGTAAGCTTTTATACTGAAAATCATTGCAAAGCACAGAAACCCCCATTTTCTTCAACCCTGGAATTGTATGTGTATATACCTGTAAATTATATATTCACAAACATCTGACTGTGCCTTTAAAAATCTTTTCCACCATCTCATTTCCCCTTTAAACAATCTCTTTAAAATGTGGGCTCTCCTCTATTGGAGCAGCTCATGTACTCTCCGAATGTGTGATTGTTTGAATTAAAGTAAAGCCCACTGCCAAGAGGGAGGGCTTGTTTTCATTTAAAAACAGGCATGTGTCTGTTTAAGAAAAGAGAGAGAAAGAAAGGAAGGGAGGGGACGGAAGAGAGATAGAGTGAAAGAGTGGGAGAGAGAGAGGGGTAGAGGGAGGGAAAGAGAAGGTGGGGGTTGATGAGATCATTTTCTGGGCCTGGATGAATCAGCTTTTCTGTCAGTAAAAGAGAGGGAGAGGGAGAGGGGAGGAGAGAGAGAATTCAGCACTCTATTAATCCACATGAACAACTGGCCACAGCAAATGAGAAGCACTTCAAGATGTCAGCTGTGACCGTAGATAGGGATAGCATAGAGGGTCTAAAGTTGAAAATAAACAAACCAACACATGCATTAACCTTGATTACTGTATCTCATCAATCAAAAGATTGTGAGTTGACAAGCAGTGTTTTTATCAGAGAACGGCCTCTTGGCTTTTTATAATCAAGAAAAGAGTGTTTAATTCTTGTATTTCCCCCTGTGCTCTGACAAGGAGGTCAGAGTACAGCAATCTTGGACTTGGAAAAGATTTTGTGTCCTGATCTAAAACATTTTCAGGAAGCTTCAACTTGGGTGCTCTGAAAGAAAGTCAGCTGCTGGATTCAAAGTGTGTTTTCCACACAAGTATAGAAACATACAGGCCTGTTTACCGCCTGTATTTTCGCCACAGCAAAGTGGAAGCTGAAGTGTTCAACTGAAGTAATATTTAGCACTCCTAACTGCTAAATATTGATTCCTGCAAAGGAGCTATCATACTGTCTCAACATATGAGGCAAGATCCTACAGGCAGGATTATCCAGAGGAAAGCCAGTAGGTGTTAGACAACATCAAAAAGCTGTAGGATGGTCTTAACAGCCACATGTTTGACAGATGTTAAAAATAAAATATGCCAAGGATTGGCATCTGTAATTAATAACTGCTCTTAATTCAATGTGATTTCCTTATAGGGCAGTACTGCTCAATTTAACAGAGTAATAAGACCCAAGCCTGAATGCAGTTAGTGGGAAAAAGAAGAGAAAAATGGTAAAGGTATTTGTGATATCTAATCAACAGAGGTACTTTTCTCCAGTTCAGAGTTGATGCCAGTGTAAAGATCAGGTCATTGTGTATGTTGTCTGTGGTTATGACAATTCTATTACTGTGCATGGCAACAATTAGTCATAGAAGGTAGACAATAGGTTCCTGCCAATTTGTTTAGACTGTTACTTAAATCTTAAGGGTAAAATTAGATTTAATAATTCATAAAATAAAATAAAAAAAGATTAAGTTCTATATGTCACTGCTGTTTTGTCAGGTCAGTCACTTCAATCTTTTGTGTGAACGACACTGATGCAAAACTCCAGACAAGCCAGTATCATCGGATTGAGCTGCAGCACCTTAACTTTCAGTCCAACCTGCACCACCTATTGGTAGGAAGAGTAAGAGAAAAACATGCAGATGTGCTCCATCTACAGACAAGAAATACTCAGTTAAAAAAAAAGGACAGTGGTACTCTGGGTCTAAAAATGGCAGGTAGCCAATGCATTAAAAAAATATGAATACTCTGAAATGCTCTTTAGTAAAAGGAATAGAGAACTAATTCTCTAACTACTTCTCTGGTTACTCAATCATACCAAATAAACAATCTTGTGGATGGCTATCCAAAGGATGGTATGGCACAAGATTTTTTTTATTTTTTATTTAGGCACACTTGGGCCCCTAGGTGGAGAAATGATGATATTTCTGCAAGTCATTACAGGTCAGAGAGCATCACTTACTCATCATCTGTTGTGGATCAAGTATCCAACTGACCAGTTATGTGAACATGACAGAAGAGGTGAGAGCTTTCATCATTTCACCAGATATGACAACTGCAAAAAAGTGTGCAACTCCTGTATAAAAATATTTACATCATTGGACTGTTTCCTGTTTTGTCATACTAACGCTGAATCCCTTTACATGCAAGCAGGAGCTTCAAACTGCTTTATCATGAATAGACTGTTCATCATCACTACTCTGGTTATACACCCAGTCTTAACTTGTTCAGTTATGTTTTGATTCCGACCCTTAACTTTCACTATCCAAAGCCTCTGTTGTCACCTTGGTAATATCAGTTGTAGCTGTAATAACCATAATAGCAACCAGCAGTGACATTATCACATGCCGCCATTGGACAAAAGAAAAATCCCAACTACTATTGTGATTCCTAATTAATTTTCAGAGTTAACAACTTTCAAAAGAGACTGTATTGATCCATCTGTTTTGGCTTTTCCTGTATGACTTCATTTTGTTAAGTTGAGCCAACATCTCAAATACATCAAATTGGTAAAATTTTATTTCCCAAATTTGTCATCATACAATTGTCAGTTATGGGAAAGGTGAGGCAAATATGTTAATGAATGAAAAAATATTGCATTTTACAATACATCAAACCTAATCTGCATATTTTAAAAAAAGCAACAACAAAAAAAACAAAAAAAACATGCACAATACAAGATGCAGCATAAACATGGTAAACTAAGATAAAAAAGAAAAACAGAAACAAATGGAAACATGAGTAGAATTAAACTGCACAGGATGGTTGACAGCAGTTCTATAACCATGAAAATACGGAATCATAAATTAAAAATTCTCATCTTAAAACTCAAATTCCACAAGAGGAACAGTCATGAAGTTCTCCTTCAGTAGGGTCGGTCTCTGCGCTCCTGACGATGGTCCCTTTAAAAAAAAAAAAAAAAAAAAAAACAGAAAAGTAGTTAATGACAGATCTTTATATATGCACGTCTGGTTCTCACACCAAAATTGCATCAAAAGCTCTGATTACAGGTTCTCGTTATTTCTTCATTACACCTAAAATAAGGATTCTGGCGAGTCTTTAAAATATTCAATGGCAAGTGTAAGAAAACATTGAATAATTTGACTGGTTAAAGGAACTTAGTCCTACCTCATATCCATCTTGCCACCTGGTGGGCCCATTCCTCTTCCACCTCTGCCACCCATTCGGTCCATGGGTGGTCCTCCACGCCCAGCCCCACGAAACCCTCCCCTATCCATTCCACCACGGCCTCTGAATCCGCCACGGTCGCCTCCCCAGCCTCCACGGAAACCTCCAGGGCCACCTGGGCCTCCTACTCCTGCTGGCCCACCGCGGTCCATACCTCTGCCTCCACGCATTCCCATTCCACCTCTGCCTCGGTCACCTCCAGGGGGAAATGGAGGGCCACCGCCCAACCCTTCTGGTTTGGGAGCTTTGCACTGGTTACACTCCATCCTCCAGGCAAAGTTCTGGTTGCCACAACCCCTGGTAACACAGACCATTAAATTAAAAACGGATCTTTGATTGAAAAAAAAAGGGAAAAAAAGGCATCCTAGAAAACGTGACACTACAGAGGTAATACATACGGGTTAGGACACTCCCAGTCCCCAGCTCTTTGCTGCATGTTGCCGCCTGTGGGTCCACCTCTGCCCATACCACGTGGACCACCTCGTGGGCCAAACCCACCACGGTCACCTCCACGGCCCATCATACCTAATAAGATGAGTAAATAACAGCACTTTTTAATATCATATGGCTGTAATCACACCATTTGCAGTCCATCTTTAATATGCTACAGAGCTCAACTGTTTTATCTGTCATCTAAAGCAAGAGACGGAGCAGCTAAAATGTATATTTAAACTTAAAGTTTCTCATGAAGCCAAAAGCCTGACAATTTATGGAGACTAATAGAGGAAAGGTGCGCAGGTTCAAAGTCACAAAAGCACCTCACAGTATGAATGTGTGAACATTCCCTTAAGTAATCTACACCAACAAATACAACTGACATTTACCTCCACGACCCATCATGCCATCTCGCATGGGCATGCCACCTCTCATTCCACCCATCATGGGCTTTCGGCGTGCCATGGAAACCTTAAGCCTTCGGCCTTGGAACTCCTTCCCTAAATTAAAAGAAATATTAAGATAAATATAAACAACCATTTAGAAGTTATATTAGTTGGGTGCATTTTAACATGTGCTTTCAGATTTATGCATTTCTGTGATTCTTTTCAGGTCTTATGTGTCAATAAAACATACCGTCGAAGTGCTCCACAGCTGCTTTGGCACAGATCGGCTCCTCATAGGACAGAGTGGCATCTCCCTTGGGCTTTCCTGTGTCCTTGTCTGTGTATATGTTAATGGCTGGCTGACCAAGTCTGCGGTTAATCTTGAGACACAATAAGAATTAATTTTTCTCCGGTCCACATTGGTTTTGCTTACACTAGCATTCAGAGTGAAGAACTAATCTTACCCTAATTGGGCCAACGTGCTTAAAGAATTCAGCCATTTCCTCCAGGTTAGCCTTCTCAGTCAATCCTGTGATGTAGATCGTGCTGTTCTCAGAGTCATCCTGCTCTTCAGGGCGTCCTACAACAAATACAAAAAACACGAAATATGCAGTAAAAATACATCTTTTCCCACTCTCACTTCAAGAAAAGAATGCAATGTGAACTAGCAACATCAACGAGTAATATGGGGATCTACTAACAGACTACTCACCCATATCACGGTCATCACTGTTCATAGGTCCTGTAGTCCATCAGTCGGGAGGAAGAGAAACAGATTGGGAAAAGTCAGTGTGTGCAACTGAAGTTGAGTGTACAACACCTGAGGAGTACTACAACAGATAATCCAGACACTCCCTTATAGACGCAGTCAGTCATATTGGGAAGTTGAAAATGGCACCTTATGGTACACCACAATTCCCACAAGTGATATTGAATTGAAAAAATAGAACACCTCAGACCCTTTGGCAAATAATTGTGTGTCATTTGAAAAGCCTCTAAGACCAGTAAGAAATCCTCAAAAAACAAAAACCCCAGCAATTCAGCTCATGAGATTTGTTAAAGCAGTAACAGACACATTTGAGTGAAAATTTGTCATTAACCTGTCAAAACTCATTGTCAAACCATAAGCAGTGACTGAATTATACCAAGTACCCCAGAGTAGTAGAATGGTCTCAGGCATTGAAAAAAAATCCCCAATATTTTCAGATATGTTCATGTATATAAATTTTGAATACCACAATGTAAGACACATCAATACTCGAAGCATATTTGCTCAAAAAGTTTAAGGCTTTTAAAGGACTAACCAGTGTAATTCTCGTTAACTTACCACCAGGCTTACTGAAGCCACCTCTCTCTCCAGCGCCGCTATGGGGGAATAAATGGAGATATGAAGGCGTTTTCCCTTTTACAGCCACTTCCATGGCTCGAGCAAAGTGGCTTGATTGAGGGAGTAATCAAAACATTCTAACTAGTCGAACAGCAACTAAAAGCTCCCCAAAATTAAAAATACACAATCTAATTGAGGGGATAAGTGTATTAACTATGTGCCATACCGTAGCTAGCTGAGTACAATCTCAGTGACAGTTTTCAGTAGTCGATACATTTGTGCAAAAATATTTATGACTAACATATTTTCACTGCCTTTGAAAATGTGAAAAAAACCCAAACATTTGTACACAGGTAGAAAGATTTCAGATGCATCGATGGCATACATAGTTACCCAGACACAAGCCAACGCCCCATTAACATTAGTACTAACAAAATTTACAGCTGAATCAGATATGTACAAGTGTAAAAACACAATGCATCTGAAATTTCACAAGATGATCAGGTGATCACATTCACCAGGTAATAAAAAACAAAACAAAAAAAAACATAAAACAAACAAAAAAAAAATACAATTATAAAATGTTCAAGACAAAATCACACCAATTTTTTTTTTTTTTTTTTTACAGTGTTTACCAAGGTTATTTTAAATTAAAAAACAAAGACTTGGTCAATCAATATACCCATCATGCTTATAAAAACCACCATCCTCAGTTCTTGAAAAAAGGCAGACCCCGAATCTTTGTTTAAGCTCCCTCCTGCTGCTTAAGCTGGCGGCTCTGTACTGAGAACAGATACTTTTTAGAGAATAGATGCTTTTAAATGGCTCTCACTGTTACCTGTACGGTATAAATGTGACAAAGCATGTTAAAAAGTGCTCAAAAGAATGTGATCAAACATTTGTAATCCAAACCACAAAAACAATTTAAACATTTCAAAATGACATGATATGCCCCCCCACCACCTCCCCCCAGAAAACACAAAGATACCTGTGCAAAGCTAAAATGAAAATTTAAGTAGAAAAACATCTATGCTACATCTGAATTTGATAATTGTATTTAATGTTGTATTCCTATTTATGCAATGTTTTTAAGCATTCTTATTTACAGCTACTTTGGTAAGACTGAAGAGTTGCTCGGTTAGAGTCCTGTATCATAAAATAAACTGCAATATCTTAAGACTGCATTTCTGTGGATGTGTATTCACGGTATCGTGACCACAACAAGTCATGAAGAACTCCATTATTTTAAAAAGGATTACACTGTTGAACCAAAAATGATGAAACTCTCGTAAAAACTACTCTTGAAAATGAACATCTAAAATAAGAACCGATGATTCACGTGCTGACATGATGCTTTCTGACCCAAATCTCATCAAGGACTTCAAAAAAATAAAAACTCTTTCCCAATACCAAATCCTAAAAATTGACGTGAGCCTCTGTAGTGTTTGAGAAACTAAATATGCTGATTCAACAAAGTTTTTCAACTTTTCAGTTTTAGAGCAGTGATAACAAATCTAAACCAAACAAATGCACAGTACAACCTTTGGTAACCTTGATACCCCTGGCTTTTTTTGTAACCATTACAGTTTCTTTTCGGAAGAGTTAATTTGAGTTTGGGCCAAACCATTTCCAGCTGCATAGAACCATAGACAATGTGAACAAACTGTTCAAATGCCCAATCTGCATCAAGAGCAAATTTGATTGGCATCTCAATAAGGATACTGATGTAAATGTGTCAAGAACCAGCTTAATTGGGTTCTAATTTCTATATAAGACATACATTCAAAAAAGTTTAATACACCTGAATGCCAGTTTTTGTAGCATGGCTGAGATTAGACTGGACCACACTACACCAAAAACCATGGACTGAAGGTATCTGCACTAAGACAATCCCTAGAGCACCCCTAAAATAATGTTACAGTAAACAAATATTGCACGTCTGTGCAGTCTCAGTAAGTCTTGCATTTTCCTGTCAGTTTAAGATTGCTAGACCTGTTTTTCTTGTAACTTTGTCAAAATGTCTGACACCACAAAACACTGCCAGTACATGGTTGTCAAATAAAGACAGTGGATGTGTTAGAAAAACAAGTGTAATTTATATCAAATTTGCTTTCAACATGTTTTGACCTTAATGCAAGTTTACAGTTTCCACTGATGAATTTTTTAGCTTTACTGGATATTGAAATATTGACCATAAAAACCAATTTAAGAGATTCAGTATCTTTTAATACAACAGATGGCATAAAGTGATGACTTCGGGTCTTTTTTTTTTTGGACCAATGTTATAGCTACAAAAGCAGAAAAATTGACTAAAAATATTGAGAAAACCGATTTTCTTGTCTCCCTGCAGTTGATGAAATGCATTACTGAGGTCTTATTGTACCATTAGCACATCTGACTCCACTATTTTTAATGGTGCCATTTTTCCTTTTTGGTGTTACTTCCCTTCAGGCCAGTCAAATGAGGACAAATACTACCGGTGACAGCCTTACAAAAATCAACCACAAAGTGAAAACACAGGTGAATGCTTTTTAAGTAAATAAAGAAAAAGGAAAAAACCTTGTCATGGAAGGATATATGGACCCAAATATTACACTTGAGTAAGCATAAATATGTATATGAAATGCAACAATACTGCATGAGGCCAGGGTCTATTTATAAATTCCTTAAAGTATCAATGCTGTGATGTAAGGTTTGGCAGGACAAACTAAAGTTTAGTTAAGGACTCCAGCACCACAATTGGGAAAAAAAAAAAAAAAAAAAAATCTGCAGGATTTCTGCAACATCTAATTCTTCTTATACCAAATGCAAGTGCGGGATGATGCATCAAGTTGAGAAACTGATTTAAAAGGGGTTTTGTTCAGACAGTGTTTGAACCTTCCTCAAGGAAACCCATCATAATTTTGATAATGGGAAGATAATGTGACAATACAATTATATCACATTCCCTGACCAATCACGAATTTTGCAATTTCTCAGTTACCCTAACATTTTTGATATCGGCTCCTAATCAAATTATGTTTTGGATATAAACTGTTCAACCTAAATGTTTATGCACAGGTCTCTGATCAAAATCAACTTAGATTAAAAAGGAACAAACCTTTTTCTTACCTTTGGCCAAATGAGAGGTAGGGCTGAGATAAACTGGACGACAATAGCTACAATTCCTGCCAATGTTGGCATGTATTACATCTTCAATCACAGTCCTCAGACATTACAGTAGAAGCCCATAACTTATCAGCACTGACTGCTGACACATCATGAACTTCCCATTTTTAAGAGAATAAAGTTGCATAAATTGATCATAGATTACTTTGGGTTATTCCACCTGTTTCTGTTGGGGTCTTTTCTCAGCCCTGCCCCAAGTGGCCACAGCACCTGTAAAGTCAAAATATACGTGAGGTTAAGTGTTAAAGAAAGACACTTACCCCATGCCACGGCCCATGCCTCCGCGCCCACGATGCATCATTCCACCCCGATCAAAGCCATCCCTGCCAGGGCCCCTGCTCTCCCCTGCCCCGGGGTACCTTGAAGGCTCAGAGCTAGAGTAACCTGAACCTCCACCCTGGCCATCTTGTCTGTAATTATCTACAAAAGAGGAGCACAAATGCATCAAATCAGTGAGAATAAACTGATTAGTATGAATGAACATTAGAAAATAGTTCAGCAAGGATGAGAAGCAGAGCTTACTGTAATGGTTGGACTGGTTGTAACTGGGTGGTCCACCTTGCTGGCCATACTGGTTGGCTGGAGGCTGCCCATAGGAACCAGCAGCCTGAGGGGGGTAAGCAGGAGGAGCCTGTTGCTGCTGCTGGGTCTGTTGCTGGTACCCCTGCTGCTGGCCGTAGCTTGCCTGCTGGGCCTGGTAACCAGGCTGTTGCTGGCCATAGCTTGCTGGCTGGGTGTAGCTACTTTGGCTGTAACTAGCTGGCTGGCTGCTCGCATTGTAACTGATAGAGACAAAGTAAGACAGAGAATAGTGTAAAAGATAAGTACATTTTTGTTTGGAATTCACCTGTTATTTGGTTCCTAACCGACGAGTACATACCTCTGAGGTGCAGTGGGAGCAGCCTGCTGGCCATAACCAGGGTAAGCAGACTGGGCAGTATACCCTGGCTGAGAGCCATAAGACTGGGAAGCAGCTGGAGCAGCAGCAGCTGGAGTACTGTCATATCCACTGGCTCCATAACCCTGGGCTGACTGCGAGTAGCTATGAGTGGTAGACTGGGCAGCAGGATAGCCAGCTGTGGAAAACACACATCATTAGCAAAAAATCCTGTGTTCTTTTTTTTGGAGAGTGGGTTGGTTGTGACAAACTATTACACACCTAAAATTAGGGGCACTTTCGAAACAATGATCAATTAGATTCTAAAAAAAAAAAAAAAGTACACCTTTTAAACAAATACTTTCCAGACTGCAGACAAACCTGATGGTGAACTAGAATGCAACATTCATATTTACCAGTGGACAGGTCAGATTGGCATGTTTAGACATAAACAACACGCACTGTACAGTTAAGCAACATGCTGTATGTACAAAACTGTTTGAAATCTTGGGTAGCCAGACTCAAAGACATCTGCATCAGTTTTTAAAAGTATGTGAATGCGACTTACATCAAATTTATAGCTACACAATTTCAATGCAATTTTTTAGTGTCTGAACTTCATAAAAATCTTTCAAAAATCTTGAATGTTTGAGACTTATTTTGGTCTGTCCAACCTAGTCCACTCCATGTAGTTCTAAGCAGAATCACAACAGAATCAACTTTAATAACTGACCTGAAGCTGGTTGACCATATGAGGATCCATACTGTTGTTGCTGCTGAGGGTAGCCTCCAGCAGCAGGTGTTGTCTGGGTATAACTGCTGTCAGCAGCAGCAGGTTGGGCATATGATCCATAATTCTGCTGGCCATAGCTCTGCTGGTACAGGTACAATAAACAAGTAAACATTAACCCTGGGTAAACATTCTCTTTGCTCAAAAACATATCAAACTTGAATATTTAACTTTCTTATATCAGACCATCATCACAACATTTCCTTAGTTACAGCTATATTATATTTTCAACACATTTGTAGGAAATATCAGTCTTAAATATTTTCAGTCTAAATGAGAGGTATCAACTTCTTTAAAAAAAAAAATGGCTATAGTCAAACAATTAGCTAGTTATATTAGAGCTTACCTGTGCAGACTGTCCATAACTTTGTGAGGGCTGGGCAGCATATGAAGCATACCTGTAAAAACACAAAGTTTTAGCTTCAAAAAAATATAGGGTCCCCATTAAACCTCCCCATGTGACTCTTTCTCAACACTGACACTGAAGTGAGGCCATACACTCATCCGCAGTGGTTGAGGAAGTACTTAAGAGTCCATTCTGAAGTACCAATACAGCAAAGTATAAATACTCCACTAGAAGTAAAAGTGCTACACTCAAAAACCTACCAGTAAAAGTGGGAAAGCATTATCAGCCTAATGAAGTATCAGTAGTAAAAGCACTATGTATCTGACATTTGTAGATTGTCAATACTGATGCTTCACAGTGTAAGCAGCAATTGACTGATGTTGTTGCTTGAGGTGGAGCTAATTGTAAGTACTTTAAATACAGTCAGCCAGTTAGTCCCATGGGTCCTAACCTAGGGCACTGGGGCCCCTCCAAAGGTCAGATAAATATGAGAGTTGATTAATGGGTGAGGAAATAAGGAAAAAACAAATTGATACACGAATCTGCTTTCAGTTTTTGGACTTCTATATTGTTTGCCTTTTTGTGAAATACTGTATTATTCACAAGGTCACAATTCAAAATGGTCGGGAACCACTGGTTTAATATTTAACAAGGTATTGTGTTTTGTGAACAGTTCTTTCCCTCTTTTAAATCTTAATCTGAATACTAGAAACCAAAGCAGAATACAGAGAAGAAAAAAAGTAAAATATTTCACAGTGAAATGTTGGGAGAGTAAAAGAGCAAGTACTGTCCTCAAATACAATACATGAGTAAATGTACTAGTTACTTTACACCATTGCTCATCCGATGCTTACAAAAAGAGCCCCTGGGAAATATATTAAAAAACCCTTTATATTCAGTGAGGTGGATCGAGTAGTCTTACCCTTGCTGGGCGCTGGTCTGGTTGTAGGAGCTGTAATCTGTTGAACAACAGTAAGAACCTTCGTTAGCTAATGACTCAACATTCGAACAAAGCATTTTTAGCGCGCGAGCAGCACGTTGCGTAGACCGGTCGTCAGATCGCCATTCAACGACAGCACGGAAACGCTCTCTAAGCCACTCATTAAACAACACGGCGATTCAAAGCTGGCTGCAATTTATTGATACATGCATTTAATTAAAAAAAATTACTAAAATGGGTAATCTGGTATCCATTATCAACCTCTGTATGCAGAAATTATCCGGTAGAGAATAATGCAACGACTCGAGCAGATAACATGACCAGGCCTTGTGCCTAGCGCTAGCAAAGCTTCTCAATGTTCCTTTGAATATAAACCAAGAATACGGATTAGGCCGATTTAAACGCGTTAAAAATAAATCCATCCACATTTAGCTTGGATTAAAACCACAATTTCTTTAAACTCGGTATAAAATATCATAATTCTTCACTTACCCTGAGCCGACGCCATTTCAGTGTTCCTGTGCAAAACGACTGGACAGAGCTGGTTGCTAGAGAAGGACTCTTCTATTCGCGACGGCTACACAATATCGCGAGATTTGCGCGTACTCGCTTGAACAAGTGAGTCTGAATCAATTTTACGTTTGTGGCAAAATTGTATAACCTAAGATATTAAGACGTTTTATGTTTAATTTCAATGTCATGATATATCACCATAGAAAAAAAGGATGTAGGTACTGATGAGAGTGGGGCTTGGGCTCACAGAGGGATTAAATTAAGTTTACAGGAGAACAGAGGTAAATCAGTCATCACTGAAATAAGTAAAATACGATAATACTTCAATTGAGAGTCCCCTACAATATCAAAGAATAACATCAGTGAAAAGCATAGGCCCATGTACAGTCACACATGTACTACATTCAAGTGCAATTTTGAGGTATTGTTCTTTACTTTATTATTTCAGTTTTATGCAATGCCTACTTTATATTTCTACTCCATTAAATATCAAAGGGAATACTTGAAGTTTTGACCACTTCTCTTATTTGACAGTTACAGTTACAGTTTCCAATAAGAGTTTGCATATAAAACATAATCAAATACAATTCAATGTACAACATTCCCCCCACGATAAAAATCTTTTAAATAATTGTTTTAGGCTGTTTTAGGGATATTTTGGAAACTGAACTAAGCAAGTCAACAAAATACTGTGTAAAATAGTTCAAATACACCTATATGAGCTACAGTAAAACACGGTTTGCACATTGCTGCATCAATATTAACAATCTAAAAATGTAATATAATATATATATAACAACATATCAGTTACAGGGGGAATATTTCTGCAGAACAAATACAAATTCAGATTCATTTTCTCTCCTTTACTTTTTTTTAACACTTCTGCCAACATTGGAAAATAGTAAAAAATGCCTATAAAAGTAACCAAAATCCAAATCCAGTAAATCCAAAATTAAATTTTTTATCATTTAAAACAAAGAAATTTAGCAAACCTCTTAAATTTAAGAAGCTTGGACCAGTTTGGCAGTTTGCTTAGTAAATTATACATTTTGTATTGATCGACAAATATATTAAAATGGTTTCAGCCATAATAGTCATATTTATACCTGTTGGCGGCGGTAATGCGCCTTTACGGTAAAAGTTCTCAACCGCCAATAAACACAAAGAAGAAGACCACTACGTAACGTACGTAACGTAGTAAGGAAGTGGACATCTACTTAGCCTTGGCAACATTTCCACACCGGCAGTTTTCTTACTTAAGATATTTATTACTTCTTGTTTTGAGGATATTATTGTTTTAGAACATTTGATAAACTTCATATGAGTTCAGTGTCGTTGGCAGAGACGATGTGACAAGACAAATCTTAGAGGACTTTGCAGCCAGTTGTAGATGTATGCTGTTAGTATAGACTCCAACTGTAAATACCTTATCTATAACTACTACGCCGTGCTTGTTATGAGCAGCAACAGATGTTTGTTTACCAGAACTGTGCCACAAAAGGACAAGTAAGAGGAGAAATTACTGCTGATCTTAAATAATGCTTGGTCGCATGTTGACAGGATGGTTTTGGTTTGGATCAGATCGCCATGGATTCTGTCTGGGAACATCTTCATGGATAGCACTCATGCTGCTGATTTATGCTGGGGGCATCCAGGCAAGTCTCAGTTTAGGTCCAGGTGGAGACTTCCCGAGGTTCAGAGGTAACTGTCCTGTGTGGTTTTACATGCAAACCTGATATTTCAGCATTGGTGAAGTCAAATCATATAATACATTTCTCCCTCACATCTCCTCAGATCTGTTCCTGTATGCTCTCAGTCATGATGAGCTGCACTCTCTGCTGGTCAGTGTTGCTCTCCTGCTGCTGATTGGACCATGTCAGGAAAGGCGATGGGGAACAGTTGCTTTCTTCGCCCTCTCCATCATGACAATGACCATATTACCTATTCTTTACACACTGGTCCTCTTCATCCTTAGTGGCGAGGCGAGTCGTATCTGTGGTTACTCTGCGGTCCAGCTGGCTCTGTTAACAGCACAGTGTCGTCAGGTGGCACAGAGAAGGGTGCTGAGGTGTTTGCCAGTCTGGTTTCTCCCCTGGATTTTCCTGCTGATTGGTCTGCTCCTGCTGCCGGGGACACCTGCCCTGCTTCACTTCTGCGCAATATGCATCGGACATAACTGTATCCTTTCCTTTTTTGGCGTAGTTAACCACAGCACATGTGATGTCTTATTTCCCTTGATGGATGCTTTAAAGCCTCTACACACTCAATATACAAGCATATATGTGTTTTCACTTATTTTGGTTGATTAGACCTCTACTGAGAACTGTGTGACTGTTTCACTTTCCTGCTAGTTTTGTTCAACTCTTCAGAGTGGGACAATTTACAGCTTTATTACCTATTGGTATAGAAATGGTGGACATTCTGTAATTTCCACCAAGATTCTGTGAACATCAACCAAAGCAGAGGTCTTATTAGCCACAGCGAATGAAAATGCCCGAGTGCGTGTTCAGGGTCGTTAAGGTGTTTTAGAGGTGTGCCCTCTCCCACCAAATCTATAATGAAGTGTATTTCCATATAATCAACACAATGATTGTCTCTCAAGTCTTTTTTGATAATACTTAATACACCTCTCAGATCGTCAGCCCTTCATTGGGATGTTACAGGAGCTGGAGGAGGCCAGGGTCTTGGCTTTCATTTCTGATTGGGCGTATGTTCCCACTTTGGCGAGGTTCAGATTGCCCACCTACACTACCTCACAGAGGTGTGATTCATGTCATTCAAAACAAAAGTCTCTGAATGTTCACAGTGGCAGATTTTCTTTCATCTCAACTTCATCTGTCGTCACAAATCTAGATCACAGTCTCACATGACACCTGTAGATCAGGCATCTGCTCCCCCCATGAGGGACCTCTTTGTCCTGAACCACCATCCATGGATCGAGCCATCGCCTGCCTGGATAATGGAGGAGTCCGCTGCACTGTCTGAGGCAGAGGTGTTGGAGGAGCAGATGCTAAAGGCAGGGATACTGGCCTCATTACAGGACGCTCCTGATGACCCTGATGCAAAAGTGGAAGTTCCTAAATCATCAGTTTCCTCGTTGCGGTTAGTAATAATTTAATGTCACCATGTCTCATTTTCTGGGCAACGCCAGATGTTTATTGATTTTCATTAACTTAACACTGCTTTCATTACATCAGAAATGTGTTTTTATTTATGTGATTTAAAGTAATCATTAACAGTTGACTAAGTGTTTTCTCTCAGACTCCAGCAGCTGGAGAAGATGGGCTTCCCCACAGAGAAAGCTGTAGTGGCATTAGCAGCCTCAAAACAGCTAGATGGCGCCATCTCTCTGCTTATTGATGACAGCGTTGGTGAACAAGCTGTGGTGGTTTCAAAGGGAAAGAGCCCTCAGCCACCGCAGAGCACCTAGTTGACCTCACATCTCCGGACAGTATCCGGCAGTAAACTGGACTTAAATAATGCTTGGGTTTTGCTGAGCTTTAATATTGTAGATTTTCCCTGTGGGCTTCTTGTTGAACTATTTTAATGATCAGAATTTTGTTCTGTATTTGCACATCAAATGAACACTGGAGAGCGTGGATGTAATGTATTTACATTGTGATAGTGTTTAAGTGAATATTGCTGTTACACAAATGAAGACAGACAACATGTTTAAAAAACAATGAACATTATTTAATTACACCGATCATCTAGACAGGATTATCTTAACACAATAACACATTTGCAAGAAAAAACAAGTTCAAAATATGAAATGGTTACACAACAGCGTACAAAATAAACTACAGTTGATCATTTTAAATAGTTTCACAATAAGTTTGATATAAGATGAAAAAACAATCATCAAGTCTTTTCATCAGGACAGTTTAAGCAGTCTGAAGTTTACCAACACAGCAGTGGTAAAAATATGTTCAAGTTCTGTTAACAGTTTTGCTATTTGCTATTATCCTCTGTGTGTGTGTGTGTGTGTGTGTGTGTGTGTCTGTGTGTGTGTGTGTGTGTGTGTGTGTGTGTGTCTGTCTGTGTGTCTGTCTGTGTGTCTGTCTGTGTGTCTGTCTGTGTGTGTGTCTTCAAGATCTTGAAATGGAAAGCCAGGTTTCATTCTAACACATTTTGTTTCCAGAGTGCAACATGATTAATGACTGTTTCCACTCATGTGCAGCCAAACCCAGATGCAAATGTTTGCATTTTGTTTTGTTTTTTTGTTGTTGCACAGATTAAATGTAAATATACTATTGTATATTAAATCACTTTATCAGTGTGTTCTTTAAGGGGGGAAAACACTCACACCAGAAAACTACAAATCACTGTTAGCAACACATATCTCACTTAGAGTAGAGATGACTTCAATTTTTAGTGCACTACATAACATTGAGTTAAACAATATGATAGAAGTATAACAAAATTAATACTAGAAGAGGAGGTTTGTTTGTGTAATTGTGTCCTGCAGACTGTACATGCTCAATATACTTAAATAATGGAATCTCTTCAGATTGCAGTTACATTGTGAAAGCAATACAAACTCAAATCCAGTCTTTTCTCACATCTGATTTCTCCTTCAATTGATTACTCTAAATGACCCTTACAGTCCAGAACTGTTTGTCGCTCAAGGAGCGCAACAGAAGATTCAGATATTTTCCTTTTCTTTTCAAGCATGATCTGAGGCTTCAGTTCTGTAGCCAAAGAAAATGAGACACAGAAGGAGCTGCTGGGTGTATTATGTATAGATAAGTGTTTGGTTATGGCAGTGGGTGGGGGTCAAACTAGTTCTCAGGTTCCTGATGGAGGAGGAACATTGTGGAGTATCAGTGGAGTTTCCCTGAGGTGTCCCCCATCCTAAATCTGACGGTAAAGCCCAGAGATGGTATCAGATAAGGTCTAAATCTGTTGAGTGCCGATGAGACCTATAGGAGGGGGGAGTCAACCCAGCCTGTGATCCTCAGGGTGAGCAGGGGGAGCTACTTCCCTCGAACCTTGGTGTCGGAGGACAGAGGAGAAGCAAGTCGATATGGAAGCGCACCTGCTCGCTTATCTCTGTAGAAACTAGGGGAGGCTGTGCCAAACGGTCCATCCCCAGACCCTAGATCAGGCTCTGTTGAAAAAAGACAGCAGTTGGAACGGGGCCTCCCTGTCCATCAGTGAGTGTGGACGTGCACTCTATCCTCCTAATCCAAGTCTACTCTGATGCTATATCATGAGTGGGATCCTTATTTTGCTTTGACACCAGTCGGCCAGTTTTTTTTTATTAAAATGATCAATCAGCTAACTAGTCAGAACGTTCAAGGGTCATCAAACTGACTGTTGTATCAGACCAAAACCCAGTGTATAAGAAAACCAAACAGCAAATCCCAACATTGGAGAAGCAATTTTTGCTTGATAAATCACTTAAACAATTCATCAGTTATCAAAATTGCAGTTGATTGTCATCAGACAAATTATTTTATTGACTGATCACTGCAGCACTACTGGCTTGAATAACATACTTTACATCCATTGGAACACATTAACTTTCAAAGCATGATTATGCAAGATTAATCTTCCTAACATTAAACCCCCTGAAAACTTGGTTTAAAATCTTCACATTCATGCCTAAATAACAAATGTTAAAAGTAAAAAAAAATAAATATTCGGTGTTATTTATTTAATGAGTTGAGTTTTTGAGACTTCAGCAGGTCTGTTTGGGTGTGGTTTGATCGAGTTTGATTGATAGTGCTGGCGACGTCAGAAACCAAACAAGTAAATGGTCATCTGGTTTTCTTTCTAAATCCTAATTTGGTGCTTGGAAGTATCTGATATCATCATCTGAGTCCCTTCTACTTTTAACTCGTGAGAAAAGCACAGAAAATGGAAATAGCTCATCTGAAATAACCAAAAATGTTCAAACTTTGGCAGAAAGAGCTCATGTAGGACCACACCTCCCTTAGTAAGAAGCCGATTGAGGAAAATGCTTTAGGTTATCTACGCTGCCATCATACTGTAGCACCATCACCACAAAAAGAAAAAAAAGTCATACATAAGATTATATTTCTAAAAGACAAACACTTTTAAACGACTTGATCAACATTCAACATTTCAGTAACAGGAGGTAATCAGAAATTTTATGGCTCTAACTCAACATCTTGTCAAAAAGGTCAGTGAGGGCCGGCAGAGCTGTGGGTGGGGGTGTCTCAGAATTACCTGGCCAGATGATAGCCTCCAGCAGTGTCACCCTGCGAGCCAGAAGCTCAAGGTCTGCCTGCAACTCGTGGAACATCTGCAAGCTAACGTCCTATCAGAGAGCAGTGACAGGGGGACTGTGTGAGGGGGTGGAAACACCAGCCCGAGTCCTGGGGCTGCTCTCGTGACTGTTCCCACTCCCTGTCCCAGCAGTGAGGTACAGTGGGAGTTTGAGTCCCTCCCCCTCACCTTTGACCCCTGCCTAAAGCTGACCCTGCCTCAGGCCTCCTACTCACCATGAATACCGATCATAGTCTCAAGGATTAAAACCCTCTCGGCTAAGATCTTCAGCGCCTCTCTGATCTGATGTATTCCGTCCCCCTGTGAAGATAGATACAGCCGTCAAGGTAAGGAGCACAAGCCAAAGAACTGCTCGCCAAGATGCAAGTCATTTTTCTCAATACAGTTCAGCAGTTAGAAGGTTAAAACAATCCACATATCTGCCCAGCACTCTCAGACATCATCTGGTCCCTGTATTTCTCTGTATCTCCCTCATTCTCTGGCCATGCTGCTGTATGAAGTCAGTCTCTGCCATGCTGGGCTGGGCAGCATCAGCATCAACATGCACATTACAGACCAGCCTCATGTTGGTGACATAACACAGCTGAATTAACACTCTCCAGAGTTGATCATGCCATCTGCATTACTTTTGTTGGGTAGCAGTTAAGCCAGGCAAATATTTTCAGCACCACAGAGTTCATTCTTCACGCTGCGGTCACAAAAGATACCCAACGTAATCTGACAGAATGAGCTGTAGCTATAGATTTACAGTGAAATCTGATTTGTCTTTGCACTGGCTTCATGAGTCACACCTTCAAAAATAATAAAAGTAGTAGAACAAGAGAAGTAAAGCAAACGGAGGCAGCTGAAAGCATCACAAAAGATGGCATGCAGAGAATAGCTGAAGCTATTGGTGCCCAGGTGAGTGATTCTCACTATGAAGTGTTCTGGTTAGTAAGACAAACTGAGGACATACTTCATGTGTGAAGAAAAAAGGCAAAGTTTCACTGAGTCATACAGTCATTGATTACGTTTTATTTTTAGGCTCTAGGGATGACAGTGTCAGTTTGTTGGTCAGTCCACCACTCCGACTGAAACATCACAACAACTTTAGGATGGATGGTCAAACAGACATTCGTGTTCCAAGAGGCTGACGTGTAGCTATCTTGGATGGGTTGCCATGAAACTTCATACAGACATTCACTTCATGGATGAATTGTGATATTGTGATCATCTCACATTGAATTTATCCAAGTCTTTGCTTTATTGCCACATACCCACTATTATAGAGCTACTTTGCCTTATTTCTATTTTAACGGCACCGTGTTAATTTACTTATTAGACTCATTTTGTAGTTGATTTTCACATCCAGAAAAGAAAGTTTATGTGTTGCAGTACTTAAAGATGAAATCATGCAAGGTTGCATTGTGGGATAAAAGAGGAAAGCTGTATCCACTCCACTCACATCAGAGCACAACACCTCTAAGCCCAACAGGACCCACCACTGACTATGAAGTGATTTGGCATATACATTTCACACATTTTCTTTGTGAGTCAATGGAACATTTTGAAGTCTGTAAAATTAAAGAAACTGATTGAATGTAAGCAGAGCTGAATTCAGTTAAAATGGTTATAAATTTGCCTTGAGAAGGATTTTACTATATTATACATTCTTTCCGTCCATCTGAGCTGGTGCATGTTGTTACAGGATTGACACTGTTTCAGGTGTTTTGTATATCTATATGTATATGCCAAAGTCAGATGCTGAAAAGGTGACTGTGAAAGGTAGCCATGGGGACAGTAGCTTGCAGAGGGAGTCAGACAGCTTTAGGGTCAAGAGGACAGTGTCGTGACAGGGGACAGTCCAGAGCACACCCCAAGGACCGACAAAAACAAAAACACATTAACACCGAAAGATTTCACACAAAAAATCAGACAGATCAACAGCTAAAATCATATACACTCAAAAACAATGTTTAACAGACACTATGACTATCAACAGGTAGGAAAGAATGGACTTGAGAGAAACCATAACCTGAGATGTAGGTCATGGTTAGACTTCATTTAGGTCACTGAATAGATTCATCACATTGCAAAGTGAACACATGATGACATAAATAAAAATATCTTACATTTAGATTGCTCTTGTAAAATGAGAAAGAGGTAAAAAAAAAAAGGGTTAGATACACAGAGATTTAATGCTCAACAAAGGAATCTTAAAACTTTTTAGAAACTTTTTTTTTCTAACTGCCCCTCATGTCCAGACCCCGCGTCACCATGTAAACTGTGAACTACCACCAACTACTTTCTTACCGGCAAGCCCTTCTCCCCCGGCTCTCCCTTTGGACCCGGTGCTCCCTGTGAAGAGATATTAACAAAAGAAAAAAGTGAGTTTGACTTCCAAACATTAATGAACACAGAGGAGCAGTTTAGTCCAACAGAAAGAGCTCATTCTCTCCGAGACTGTGTTGTCACTGGTCAGTGTGGTTTGTAGTGCTGCTGGATAGTGTAGTTTACAGAAATATAACTAGCTATGACATGTGTTGATGTTTCCCCCTACACACTCGTTTACTCAGGCCATATTCTTAAAGGCAGCTGGGTGGAGGTGGCTTACCGGCTCGCCCCTGAATCCCCTCTCTCCTGGGTAACCTAAAGGACCCTGAAAAACCAAAGGCATGTCTCAGAGAGTTTTGTTTAAGGATGTAGATTTAAATAAAGAAAACCTACTGAATACTGAGTGTACTCACTCTCTCTCCACGTTCTCCCTTTGGCCCCACAGGGCCGTGTGTTCCAGGAGATCCAGGTTTCCCCTGCATTGAGTCAGAGAGGAAATTCAAAATGACAAAGATAAATTTGTAATGCCACAAATCTAACAGTGCTGAACTCAGTAAGTGACTGCAGTTCACCACTGTGCTGTGAGCGAGCTTACGTTATGTCCTGCTGGGCCAGGTGGTCCTACTGGGCCTGTCGGACCTGGGGGACCTGCATAATAGATAGAAAGATTCATAGTAGCACCAAGTAGCTTCACGTGCTGGGAGGACGTGGCTCTGGTTGTTAACTTTATTTTACCTGGTGAAGTGCACTGAGCTCCACCTGACATGCTGTATATACAGAAGCTGTAGCTGTTTATGACTTTATATAACTTTAGAGTAGCGTTCAGTGTGTTGACTCAAATTTGAGTGATGGTTTGTGTTTGGTCCCCTGGTTAAGAGCTCTCTGACAGAGGAAAAATGAGACGTAAATTAGAGACCAAATAACATCTGATTAGGAAAGTTGAATGCAAAAGTGTGTGCTGGACAAACAGTATACAGTAGACATACCAAGTATCAGACAATCTACAGTGAGCATGTACTGTATTTTGTATGTAAAAGCATTTTCAATATTAGAATCTTTGAGTCTATGGAGAAAAGTTTCTCAAACCCAACACAAACATCCTGCGTGCAGGCAGGGATAAACACAATGAAGAGACTGATAAACACTTACCAACAGGCCCGGGAGGGCCCTGAGGTCCTGGAACAGGCGCCCCCCCTGAGTCGAGGAAAGTGTTGGTGAAGAAGGGGTCTTTTCCACGAGCTGGAGTTGAAACAAAACACATTGTGTTTAATGGGATGTAGAAGCGAGTCTCGTGACAAAGGACAGCATCTGCAGGAACTCAGCTGATGAATCTATGATAATAATCTGTCAAACCTTTACACAGCATGGTGTTGCTTCAGAGACAGAAAAATCCTCACTGTCAAAAGAAACTTTCAGATACCATATAAGGTATGTATAATTGTATTACTCAGGTATTATTTCATCAGTTCTTGTGGATTTTATGTTGCCTTTCAGGGAATTATTGGGACATTAAACTTCCACATGCTCCACCAATCAAATGGTTCAGTTTTGGTTATATTCATAGATGGTGATGTTTAGGGCCATGGTTGCCATTTGGGTGGACAAATTTTAATGGGCGAGGCATGATTTGTATGTTGCCTAAGAGAAAGTGCTACTTGATAAGTGAACCTGAAGAAGCACGTGGCAAAACGAATTGCTCCAACAGTTGCACCTGCAACTTAATAAATATGAACTGCTGAAGAAAACTTCTTTCCATCATATTCTGTCAGTGTGCAATGTTTTACTTTTGTGCATGAGCCTGCTGTCTGAAGCATGTGGTAACCTTTACTTTGCTGATGCCGCCTGAGAAACACAACTCAGGGCAATAATGTGCCTCTCACTAATTAGTTTAATTAGCTTTACCTCTAGAGGGCAGTGTTTTCCAACAAATACTCAAACTAATGACTTCAGCTGGGGAGTAAACTATACTAAAATGTATTCAAAAGCACTGGATGGATCAGAGTTACACATTCATTAAAAAAAAAATATGTAATATTGCATAAAACAAAACTTATACTCAATATCCACTGTGTATCGACACTGAGCAGGCACACACAACTTCATGAGTCTACAGAGAAAGGACAAGAGGAAGAGGGTGGTGAATGTGTGAGCCATAGAGGAAGTGTGAGGTCATCGGGTCATTTTATACTGACAGGAAACACAGATCTAATCACAGCATGAGACTTCAGGAGATACAGAGGAGGAGGAGGAGGAGGAGGAGGAGGAGGAGGGGATGACAGCCAGAAACATCCTCCAGCTGCCAGAACGCAGCACACCGCTAACAGATCAGGTCCAGAGGTGACATCCAAACCAGGGCCACTCTCTCTGTGTGTCTGTGTTTATTTCTACACACTCTCTTTATTCCCTGCTAAGTGCACGATGCGATCTGTGGCTTAATGTGACATGAAAACATGTGGGGGCCACTCAGAAACACTGTAATCATGCTTTTAAACAACTGAACAGTCCTCCTCTTCTTCACTGCTTCAAGCTCTGGCTGCTGCCGGTTCAGGGACCCTCTCCTGTTCTGCAGAAGGGAATTCCAACCTCCTGATGCAGACGTAAAAGCCAAATAATCCAGTGTTTTCCAAAGGAAGCTCAGCACAGAACCCCTCCACCTCCACCCCCACCGCTTACGCTCCCTACTGTTACTTTGATGTGAAAGAAATGGCTCACAGTCTCGGAAATCATCATGCCAACCTCAACGTAGCCACAGCTTTCTCCACACAGGAACCCAAAGCTTACAAACCTGTGTGCTGCATACTTTGTTTTACCACTGAATCCACATATAAAAGCCACCGATCCGTTGACCTTGAATGAGCCAGTGCAGGCCCCCATCCGTCTCTCACACTCCGCTTCAGCTGTCTGAGCGGCCTACATCTGGAAGTTGTTGAGTGACATCAGTGGTGGACAGGTTCTCATCCCAGCATGTGAAGTCTGCGTCAATCTCAGACCGTCTCTGCCTCCATTTAATACTCTTTGATTCTGTTCTACTTGGCGGGTAGACAATACGGAGCAAGTAGCAGTTAAAGGATTACCGTCATCCTGTCTGTTTTTCATTCTCTTTGTTTCTTTTGTTTAGCATTAGTCCTAAAACTAGCGAGAGCTCTCACGCAGCAGGAGAGAACATGTCGGAGTGGCTGCTAAAAACGCATGAATATCAGCAGTTTGAAGCGTCAAGCTAGAAGTGTGTAAACCTACGTCACCCTGCCTGAGAACAAAGGCTTTGACTGAATTTGTGTACATCTACTCATGCGGGGTTTGTGGTAAGTTGATTTTGTTTGGAGCATGGGTTCAGCATTGTCTGGCTTGGCCCAGAAAGAAACCTCTAAATGCACGGAGGAGGTGGTGAAATGGTTTTCTGACATGGATGTACTCTCCATCTGGATTTTTGACCTCTGGGAGAGGTCCAGATCCATAAAGACAAAGTGTGAGAATTCATAAGCGGTGCAATAGAGGTCATCCAATTTTTACAAAGCCACAGAGGGAAGAAAATGACAAGGAAAGTAAACATAGCAAATTAAAGGGAAGTGCACTGATTTTACATATCAAAGACTGCTTATAGGTCTTAGGGAATACTAAAGTATATATGAAAACATTGTAAATATTCACTGAAGTCAGTGTTGCTTGGGTCTGAAGACTAAATGTTTGAAAATGAAAAAAAGCTGGGGAGTGTCGAGTTAGAAAGAAGTGAGCTTACCAGACCTCTGTAGCCCGCTCCTCATCTCTGCTTGAGGTTGGCGGCTTGAGGCTACATTAGCCGGTACTCGAATAGCACACCCAAATCACTCACTAAAGTCAGTTGGGTTGCATTGTGTGTAATGTAGAAGCCAGGTTTGGATCAGGAAGAAGAATGTATGGTATAGTACTCTTTTAAGACAAATGCGAACAGAACTTTTAACTATGTGGGGTGGAATGGGTGCCATGGCGACTGTATGAAGTCTGTTAGTTGTCCAGGGTCTTACTGTGGTCTGGTTCTGGGATGTGGGCACTGGCTGGTGCTGGAGGCCCTGGAGGCCCAGGCAGGCCTGGTAGACCCCTCTCTCCTGGGAGTCCTGGTGGACCACGGGGGCCTGAGAGGAGGGATGACAGAAACATCACTGTGGTGATCGACATGATGTAGCAACTTCAGAGTCATGTCTTAGCAAAATGTGATCCTAAAGTGTCTTCTGGAGAGGAAAAGCACAGTGGCAGCCTGGTGGTGATAAATGGCTGTGGGTCATGTGGTGATAGGAGGATAAACTATGACGAAGACCAGAGAGGAAATAGATTAGATAAAGTGTTGGACGATAAATCATAATCGTGTCTGGCAGGAGTGTGCCTGTGTACGTGCACATGTGGAGTAAAATCAGCAGCGTGTCAACTGGCCAGCTTTTGTCTGTAATTAAGGAGGAGGGTCTTTAATAGGCTGGTGCTGGGAACTTACTCAGGGACACAGGAAAACTCAAATAAACCCCATTAAACTCTGCAAAATGTTACTGGCACTGGTTCATATATATGAAATGCTCCCTGCATACACACCTCTAGCTTTTGTAGATGTGATTTTTTGAGGGTGGAAAAAAAAAGCACCACCACAACCTCACCTGACCTCATTGTTTGGACTCTCCTGAGGTAATGCTGCCCCCCCTAAACACCACCTCTTGCCCTCAAACACACCCACACTCGTCACCTCTCTGTTTATGTACAGATGCAACTGACAATGACAGTCTGCTAATTACAGCTTTGCAAGGTAATGTTGTTACAGCTCTGATTTGACACCTCTGTGGGCTGTTTTCACTTAGCCTTGGTAAACACTGCTCTGTGACCAGCTGTGTTTTGGCTGCTTTGGAGAGACTGTAAGCTGCAATCTGCGACACAGTGGCTCAAATGGCCAGTCAAAGTGGCCCATTAGACTCTATGTGACATATTTGGGAAAACAGTTTTCTTTCTTTTCTGCAGAATAATGGTTCCCTAGAGAAGCTGTGGGATGCTCCGTCAAAATATGAGTCACAGTTTGTAATACAACTCTCCTGTAATTTATCAGGACTCATATTAATGTACTGTGTCACTTCTCCCAACATCACAAGTTAACCCCCCCCCCATCTTTCCCATAACCCCTGGCTCAAAAACATATTTGTCTACATTGTGCCTGATATTGGACACATTCCAATCCTGTGTTTATCTTTCTCTTTAAAATGAAAAAATCAGTGCAATGAGGAAAACATGGCTTTGGATGCAAGACACAGCACTGGCTTTGGGTACTCATGAAGTAATGGAGATAGAAAAAACAATAACACCACAAGCATATGGAAATCATAAGGACCCGGGATTTGTGTACGTATAGCTCATGTTCATCTCAGATTGAAGTCACATGGCGCTTCTCGGAAAGTGGGTTTCTAGTTTAACTTTTGCTCTAAATCTCATCTTTACCCAGCAGCAGGCACAGAGCAGGGGTCATATGTTCGCCTGAGAGGAGAGGCACTCCCTTCATGATCCAGAGTATAGGAATAACAGTCTATAGCAAGAGCAGATGTCGTGACAAACTTATACCGCCATTTACTTTATTATCATTCAAGTCACAGCTGCCCATGGATTTACTTTTTTCCATCAGGTCATTTATTATTTGTACATAAGCGGTGAACTCTGGATACATAGAACAGATGTATGCCTCTGTTTCTGTTCTGGCTGGTGACCATGATCAGCAGCGAATGTTGGGGAATTTAAATGCAGTCTGAAAACAAATGCTTTTGCTGCCCACTCAAACACCACTTTTAGAAACATATGATTTTAAAAGCCAAATAACAAAATGCCCGAATTCCATTAAGTTACCAGCTGGCCTCGGGCGCTCCGACATTTACCGCTGGAGGGTCTGTGGGTAGACCGAGTTTTTTCAGAGGAAGACAAACACTCTAGAGCAGGACTTCACGGGTCAGGCTTTTGATTTTTCCACTGTTGTTTCCACAAGTCTTTGGTCAGTAGTACTGCATTTAAATGTCTTGTTCAACAGGCAATAAGTTAAGTGGATAGGCAAGTATACAACTGCCCTGCAATACTCGTCATCACTCTCAATGACACACATGCACACAACAAAATCCTTATCGACAAACTGTGTCAACATATTCTAAGAAGTTCATTTCTTCCAATCTGCTCCCTGCTAACAGTCAGTTGTGTGTACTTCTACTTTCTTCTTACCTGCTGGTCCTGGGGATCCCTTCGATCCAGGGGCTCCAGATGGGCCCCTTGTCCCGGCCTCTCCCCGAGGCCCACTGGGACCTGGCAGCCCCCGAGACCCTGGCTTCCCTAAGAGGAGGAAACAGTCATGAGTAATCATGAAGCCTTAACTGGTTTACATCTTAAATGGTTTTACACTGAGTGAAAGGCAACTATGATTACAATTTACCATCTCTGCCAGGAAGCCCATCTCTCCCCTTTTCACCCTGAGGACCTGTAATGAAAACAGAGAGATGGCTTCATTGAGAGATGTAGCTCTGTGAACAAAATCTGGGCTCAAACCACATGGAGAAGAGGTAGTGTAAAACCCACTGAGGGATGAGGTGTAACTCTGAATTCTGTCCAAGTAATAGAGCAAAAACATTTGTCATTACCATGTTTATCGGGGCTGATTAAAATTTCTGTTCTGTTAATTAATAATTAACTTTGACTCAGCCAACAGATTTCAGAAAATGACATCTGGTTGAATGATTTCACTTGTAGCATGCCTTAATTAGACCTTAGTGATGGGTTCAGCACAGAGCTCTAGCTGCAGTGATGTTGGGAAGGCTCTCATAGTTAAAGGGAAAGTCCACCAATTTTTCAAATTGAATATTGTTTGTAGTTCTTGGAGAGTACTGCGGCATAAGTGACAAGAAACTTGAGTCAGCATCGGTCGGGGCTGAAGTTTGAAAAGAAAAGATATCTGGGGATGTCGTAGAGTTAGACAGAAATGAGCTTCGCATGCTCCTCATCGAGTGGCTGAGGGCTACATTAACTGCTACAAGCATAACATATCCAAATCTCCAACTAAACTGTCGATGGTCATGTTGCATTTTGAGTAATTAGGCACTGAAAAGGAAGAAGAATGTGAGGAATAAAAAAGATGATGTATTTGGCTTTGATCCTTTTACAGTCTGAGGATTGCAGTGTGAAATTGGTGGAATAGCCTTGATTAGCCATTTCATATGTTTTATGTGTTTTCAAATTGTGAGTGTGATTCTTATTCACTACATTGTGTCCAAAAAGGTTTCACAGTAGAGCGCCCATGGTGTGCACACTGCTTTCTGCTAACAATCCCACAAATTCAATGCGTCTTTATACCTGTCAGTTATGAAGGTCAGTGTCTGAAGTCTCAACTTACTGCTCACTACAGAGTAAACTGAGTGTCTGTTAAATGGGGAGTAGTGAATGAGTGAACAAGGCTGCGATTTCAGACACTCTCATAGACTGCACCCACTTTCACTGGGACCGTCTCAATTTTCTACAAATGAAAACTTATGCCATCAGGTTAATTGTTCAGAGAGTGAAAGATTATATAATCACAGAAAATTCCTTCACACAGTGGCAATATTTTGATATGACGGTACACTTTTTTAAAACTCTTCTGACAGTGAAGCAGGGTTGATGAACTCTGTGTTTTTAGCTGCAGCCAGCGCCGGGCTTGACGCCAGGGAAGGAGAGGACTTTCATGCTCTGAAGTGTTTGCTTTCCACACAGCCACAGAGCCCTGAAAAGTGAGCGGCAGAGACAACTGAGCTCTTACTTTTGCTAAAGGAAATTAGTGTGTGTGCAGAGGAGGAAAAAGGATATGAGTAGAGGTGAGCAGGTAGAGGGCAGATAAAGAGTTGCTGCTCATGGAGAAAAGCTGCAAGGAGTGATTTCTGACTCAATTACCAAAACACAAAACCCTGAACTCCCGTTCATGGAAATATGCAGTATTTTTTTTTTTTTTTACTTAAGACTTATTCATCCAAGGCAGCGTGGTGTACCTACCTGCAGGTCCCTGCTCACCAGGAGCTCCCTGAGCGGGCACAGCCCCCATCAGTAATGAGGCGTCTGGTGCAGTTGCTCCTTTACCCTGAAGGTGGCGATGCGATATGGAGGCCGGGGCAGTGAGTAATTGGACCTTGTAGAGGAAGACATAAAACAAGTGTGGGCAATTACAACAGTATGCTTGTTTAATGGAGACCTGGCTGTGGCTGAATGAGTGACATCAGACATCGGCTCTTACCTTCGCCTCCAGTGAGGTCAGCCTGTCGCTCAAAGCTGTGATTCGACTGCAGTTGAGACAGTCTAAAATAAAAACAGAAAATTGCTTTCTTTACCTTCAGGAATCAGACATGTAGTATACTTCTGCCATTGTGTTGTGTTGTAAAGTCAAAGTCGTAACATGTTCTTACTAGAGATCGACTCTCCTGTGCGAGCAGGCGGCCGCCGTAGAGTAGATGGTTTCCTTATTGCCTCCTGAGCCACAAGCTGGTTCCCTGATTCTGTAACAGAAGATAAAAAGACAGAAAATGTGTGATTTCTGTGGCTTGGATTTAAACTTATACATATTTCTTGACCGGGAAGACACAATCTTTAGATTTGGAAGTCTATCTCCATTCATATATAAGATGGGAATCCCCACCCAGAACTGTTCAGTTATTTGAAGGGCCAAAAACTATTTGTCCACCACATTAATGGGGATCAGTTCAAATATTTTTTGCAGTATGCTGCTGACATTAGAGCTGAAAGGATTAGTGTAGCAATCAAATCATTCTTTAAGCATAAATCCAAGATTCTCTGGTTTCACCTTCTCAAATGTGAGGATTTCCTGCTTTTTTCTGTTATACATCATTGAAACTTTAATATCTGTGAGTTTTGAATTGTTGGTCAGACAAAAGTCAGACATTTGAAGTCTTCCGAAATTATACATTTTCACTATTTTCTGACAAATTAATTTCAAAAAGGATTGATTAATCACATCATGTGAGAAACAGCATGTTTATTGAACTGAGGCGATGCAAATACATTAATCATCCCAAGTATACTTGGAATTAGGTGACAGTTACAATGACTGTGGACGACAGTCAGAGGTCTGGACAGACAACAACAGAAAAACAACTAAATCTCAACAAAAAGAGAGAAGAAAAATACTGATCCAACCTCTAAATACTCATTAATAAGCTGCAGGCGTCAGTGTGTCATGTTGAGTTAACTGTAATGTCATCACCCAGTGATATGGAAGTAAGACAGACTGTGCCGTGGCTGGTTTGAACATGTTTCACCAGAAATAACGTCCATGCTGTTTCTGTCAGTGTGTGGCTGTCCTCCAGGTGAGCTAGTATTTTGCCAGAAAGACAGACATGGAAATCAGCAGTTCCAGCTTTTGCTTCTCTTACATTTCCAAGAGACAAACATTGTGCACGTTGCATCTTTGCCAAGCTGCTTTCCTTTATCCTCATTTCTTTATAGAGAATAAAATCACAAGGCCTGGGAGAGAGGGCGTGTAAAGACAAACAATAGTTTCCTTGTGCAGAGAGAATGGGCAGTCTCGGCTCACATTATGTCTTGCCTTCACTTTATGAAGTGTGGGAGTTTGTGTCCCTGGATTGTGGATGCTTTGAATGGGCAGACCTTGGTGGAAATGCTAGACTGACTCCTTTGTTTGGCCTGGTCTGGCTCTAGTTGGCCCAGGTGCTCCTGATACAAACATGAGGCCGGGTTCAGCACCTCATTAGCCAGCAGGACGCACGTCTTTCCATTCGGTGGCCAGAAGCCACAGTCAACGCCAAGCGCTGAGCTAAAACAAGCCATGAAATAGCACCTGCAGCACTGGAGCTGGAGCAGGAGAACGGTAAGCCCCTCACTTCTTGTAACATCACATGTCATGATCTGTCTCTGCTCACTGCAGACCCAGAGAAGGAAAATGGAGAGCTTATTGTCACGAAGGAAAATAAACGTTTGGGAACTTAAGACAGGGAAGCATAACGGGTTGAGTGATTACCCAAAGAGGAGGGAGAGAGAGGGCAAAGGAGGAGTATGAAAAGTACACAGAACACATGGTTTAGGGTAAATTGAGACCACTCCAATAATTCCCCCTCCTCAACCTCTGTGCTCATGATTTCACTGTTTTAGGTTCTGGGTATTTCTCAGAGGATTACAAGTGTAGATGGATTTAAACCATGTAAGACCTGAGACTGAAATGTTATGGCATGTGCACTAGATCGTAGAAAACTCTTCCACGTTTCGATAACAATATAAACCTTGCACAGAGACAAGGAGAACACGCACACACACACACTTACACTTACTCCTTACTCGCCTGTACCACACTTCAGTCCACACGGGGAAGACTGCGGAGACAAATAGAGAGGTGTATATGTGTGTGTGTGTGTGTGTGTGTGTGTATACACAAACATGCTGGGGATGTGTTCTCTGGAGTTCGGCTCATGGAGATGGCTGCATTCAATTACAAAAGGGGCTCTGGATAGGAAATATAGCCCCTCCCCTCCCAACGGCACCTCTTCTCCCTCTAAGAGAAAAGAACATTTAAGCGCCAAGATCCCCCTCACCCACACTTGGGCTATTGTATGAAGCATTAAGCCAGTTCTGGCACAAGGACAACTGTCTCCCACACACACAACTCTGACACACTCCCTCTCCCTCTCTGGTCCTCATCTTTTGTTTTGCTTCCTCCTGTGACAGTGTGTTATCTACAAGGCCTGTGGTGTGTGTGGACATCCAGGCTCCGTTAAAGTAATACCTGAAGACAGACGATGACTTGGATGCCTCGAGTGTGATCTGTCGCTCTCTTAGCCAACAATAACATCATCACAGCTAATGAATGCCCCCTGATGGACACGGTTCACTGTGTCCACTCTTTGTTCTCAGTGGGCTAATTGCCCCTTTGGGGGGTCAAAGAAATGTGTGAATGTATTTGACCTTTTGCCCCCATGTTGCACTGGGCCCTAATCAGAGACTGAGTCAGAGCTCTTCATTAGAGAAATACCCCTGCAGAGAGTTCAGCGGGCCAGAGGCCGTCCTGACATCAGCTCTGTCTCTTGTTCTGCTTCTCTCTCACACACACACACACACACACACACACACACACACACACACACACACACACACACACACACACACACACACACTTAGCTTAGTTATTTGTTTACAAACACTTTGAATAATCTTTGCCCCTTCTGGTGCAATAATCTCATAGGAAAAGGAGGAAGATATGAGTGGTGAAGGTCACAGCAAGAAGGTTATCTTTTCCTATTCCATAATGAGTGTGTATATTGAGTCAGTTATGAAGGATTGCTTAAGGGACTGTTTCTGCTCGAGCACATGATGATATGCACTGTAGCTTGTGTATAAATGTATTTTGTAGCAGCAGGAAAAGGTGTTAGGACTGTGGCAGTGGTGAGAAGACTCTAAAAAGCAAATCAGATTTTGCAGAACGTCTTTTTCAGACCAAATTTATCTAAAGGGAAGTTTATTATGGAGCTGTGAAGCCATCAAAAAGTCTATGAGAGTTTTTACAGCATAGACTCTATACATGGCTATGGTTAGACACACCAATGAAAGTGTTTTCCCGAAATCTGGGCAATACGTCTGCCAACCCACACAGTTACCCGGGTGCGCCTCACATGGAACCCATACAGGACTTTCTCACCTTCCTCTGCTTCACATGACTCACCGAAAGTGAGTAAACTGGCCACTAGCCCACCAAATGAAAAGAAAATATTGTCTTGTCAGTGAAACTGAACTATAATGTAATGGATATAAGTTTGTTTAAATTAAATTTCATTGTGTAATGCATCAATATGAGGCCGGCTGTCTGTTCACACAATGAATCTGTAGCCAAACAGTGTCCAGATTCAGCTGAGACAAACCACAGTTCACATATGGTGATAAATGTGCACAGAGTTATCACTTGTCATCATATTTCACTTTCCCACTCACATTAGATTTTACTGATAGGGAACTTGCAATTTCTGCCAGAAACAAAACACACGGGATTGAAGTGGCTTTTTACTGGATAATAATTTCCAAAACTTTGAAACAAAAGTGAGACGCCATTTATACCAATTGTGAACTGTGCAGAAGAGGGAAACCCTGGAACTGAACTTCGGTTCCACTAAAACATTAAGAACCTGGCTGCTACTATCATTAAATTAGTACGTTCTTATTGTGACAGCTTTATTCCAAAGGTCCTATTACTATTGGCCGTAAAGAAAAAACACTTGGAGCTCTGCTGGTACCACCCGAGTGAGAGCCAAGGGCACAATGACCTAAACCGCAGCTGCACCTCTCACTCCTCAAAATAAGGTGTGTGTGTTGTGCATGTGCTCTTGTGTACAGTTTTGGTTGGTGTGTGTGTGTTTGTGTGTGTGACAAGTACACACACACACATACACACACACACACACACATTGATGGCATTATTAATGGGCCAAGGTCATTCCTTCAGTGATACTCTCCCAGTGAAAATAAACTAGAGCCCTCATGCTAAGAGCCCAGTTAGCCCTGCCAGCCAGACCCCTTAAACACACATCTCACACTCAGCTGCACTGACTGCCTGATCCTTGAAGCTCACCACCTACTGGGGTTTATTTGCTCTCCGCTTCTGCAGAGAGATTCGGCAGCTTGCAGACAGGCCGGCCTTACGGAGCTTTATGACTGTAGGAGCGAGGCTTGTGTTGTCCTGTCATATGGTCTGCAGCAGAGGGTGGATGAATATATGAAGACAGGGCTGAGGCAGAATATGTGTTGGACAGCCTCTAAAGGCTTATCTGGACTGTTTTTCTTGAGTCTAACAGTGGTATCTGAAAGTTTTAAGTTCCTGTGGGGAAATACAGTAGAGGGCCTGGCAACAGCTGCGAACGCAAACATGACAACACGCACACACACACACACACACACACACACACACACACACACACAGCAGAGAGCAAGGTCCTGATCCATCTCTGTCTGGTCAATTAGCTGAGCTCAGCGCCGCAGCATCATTAGTGACCAGCTGCTGACAGCCAACCAGGGGAGGCGTTTGTCTCTGTCTCTGCGCTGCCTCGGACAAACTGAAGTCTGCTGCTGCCGCCCTCAGATAAACACACACACACACACACACACACACACACACACACACACACACACACACACAGTGTCTACTCAGACAGAAGAGTGTACTCCTCAAAAGAGACAGACTGAGGTGATGTGAACCTGGTGTTGTTTCATTCTGCTCTTCCCCCTCTCACCTTCTCGCTCTCTCTCTCTCTTTTCCCTGTCTAATACTCTGTTTCCAAAAAGGAACTGTGTTAAACCCAGTTATTTTTGCAGACCCTACTATTCAGTACTTGCAATCAGTTACATTCAGTCTGTCATGGCAGGCTGCATCATTGTTCCTTATAGTAAAGTGTATAAATTTTAATTCTGGGGAAAAATAAAGCGCTGCTATCAGTACTAGATATCAGCAGATAATTTTAGCTGAGGTATTTTCACTGGCATC